GCGAGTTAGTACAGAATCTACTGGCATGACTGAAGGGCTCGCCGATCTTAATATGGAGCCTCCTAGTAGCGAGACTCAGCCAAATTCGCCAAATGACACTTCTGCCGCCACTGAAGGCGCTGTTGCCGACATTGAAGCGGATGACAGCCATCAAAACTTTAGTCAAACTGGTTCAGATGACGAAGGAGCTGTTAGCGATGCAGACCATTCTTTGATTGGTGACCTTTTGCAAGGCGCGGAGGAATTAGCTGAATCGCTTCGTGTGGGCAAGCCAAATGCCGACCTCCCGCTGGAGATACCAAAGCATGAGAAGTCTAGTCTCATGAAGATGTTAACTAATTTCTGGGCGGAGAGATCTGCCAGTGGTTGGACACAGCTTGAGTATCCCATTAATGCTGGTGAGCATATATTTGTAGATTCTGATGTTATTATTAGAGAGGATGAGCCGAGCTCGTTGATAGCTTTTACGTTGTCATCGGAACATTATCTAGCTAAGTTGGATGATCTTCGACAACAAGGTCCAGCATGCGCAAAAGCCCAAGAGCATGATTCTATGCCTTTAGACGGTACGCCAGACATATGCGAAGATGGTATCAACCAAGCAGAAGTCGAAACTTCATTATTGCGTGCCACTGGTACTCATCTTGCGTACTCGTTCGTCGATTCCTCGGCAAGAATGCAATGCAAAATTTTCTTTGCGGAACAATTTGATGCTGTGCGAAGAAAGTGCGGAGTAGCAGATCGAATCGTAGAATCGTTATCTCGGTGCTTGAAATGGGATTCTAAAGGAGGGAAGACCAAATCCGTATTCTTGAAAACACTCGATGACAGGCTGGTCTTGAAACAGTTATCCCCCATTGAAACTCAGGCATTTCTCAAATTTGCGCCAGCTTATTTCAACATTATATCCGAGGCGCTGTTTCATGAGTTACCTACGGCCATTGCAAAAATGCTTGGTTTCTTCCAGATTGTTATCAAAAATCCAGCTACAGGCACGGAAATCAAGTGGGATGTGTTAGTAATGGAAAACCTTTTCTATGATCGTTCGCCTACACGTATTTTCGACTTGAAGGGATCCATGCGAAACAGAAAAATTCAATCTACGGGGGAGCAGAATGAGGTGCTCCTGGATGAGAACATGGTTGAATTTATCTATGAGTCTCCTTTATTTGCACGTGAAGTAAGTAAAGTAAGAGCAATGCAAAGTCCATGTCACTGATTTGTGTAAAGCATTCTAAAAAACTTCTTCGATCTGCCATCTTCAATGATACTCTCTTTCTGCAACGAAACGATGTAATGGATTACTCGCTAATGGTAGCTGTGGATGAGGTGAGTGTTGCTAAGCAAACACGAATTTAATATATACTTACATGATGAAGGCACGAAAAGAACTTGTCGTCGGAATCATTGATGTAGTTCGTACTTACACCTGGGACAAGAAATTAGAATCGTGGATCAAAGGTACTGTTTCATCCAAATCTAAATCTTGTCATTTCATGCTAACGAATACGTCCAGACCGTGGTTTCGCTGGTGGTGGCCGCAATCGACCTACCGTCACGTCGCCTAAGGTCCGTTCAATTCTCCTTTCCAATTATAAGTTACGTAGTCTTAACCAGCAAGCAGGAATATAAAAGCCGTTTCAGAGAAGCGATGAATAGATATATTCTGCAAGGTACCAATATTTCCTTTCCCTGGCGATCTTACGTTTGCTAATGAGAACAAATAGCCCCCAACAGTTGGCACCAACCTCTGGATGGAAGACCGAGAAGAGACTCAAGACAGATGGTGCAAGAGGCAAGAACGCCAGTGTTGTGATATACGATAGGGACGATGCAAGTAAAATAGATCCCTGGCATAATATGAAGCAGAGCTTGCGTTGGGAGGTGTGCAGACTGAATTGGGCATTGAGCATTGAGCATTGAGCATTGGGCATTAGGCATTGGTCATTGGGCGTTTAAACGGGGGGGCTGTACGAGGAATCAGTCCCATTACAGGCTAGATTGGGAAGGCGAAGACTTGAGATGTGGCTATAAATTTCATGCCGACTATAGATAAGAATATAATCCAAGAAAGCCCATTGTATCAAGATTCAAATTCGGTCTTCAATTATGCAACAGAAATCCAAGAAGAATCCAGGTAATCAGTGCTGAACGTCAGTATTTGATTTGGAAATGAGGAATTACTGTCTGGGGTGATTGTCTAAGAAGGCCTGTGGCCGATAACATATGTTCAATTTCAGCAATATTTGTATTGAAAGGCATGCCAAGATTATGTGTGATTGAGACATAAAATCATCGTGGGGGTATCATTGGCATTAACATTAATATATTCTATCTAACTACATAAGTTTTCAAGTCTTTTGACCTTTCTTCCTAGATGGCTGTTTCCGCCTCGGGGGATTTGGATCTTTTGAAAGTTGTTTGCGAAGTTGCTCATTGACAGCTTCAGCATCGTCTTCTTCCCCGGCAGGTTCGTCAGCATCACCAGCTTCGCTTTCCTCGTCAGACTCTATGCCAAAAGCCTTATCGATTGTTTCAGCATCAGCAACATCATCCAGCGCGGCACCACCATCTTCATTATCACTGTCAAAGCCTTCAAATCTACAAGACATGTTAGCGTAAAGTTTGATGTGTTGTGTTTTCCTGAACTTACGAGTCATCCTCATTGTCGGCTTCGGCCATTGAAGCAATATCTCCAATAGATGTGTCAGCTACTGATTCTCCAGCTTCATCACGCTTTCTCTTCCGTGGCATTTCGCCCAATCTACCTTCTCGTCCTTCAACTCCGGTTTCTTCTGGACCTTCGAGCTTTGGAGGTGGAGTGAACCATGGAATTTTGCCCCTCAAGAAATCATTGAGGACCATCTTGGCTACGCCGTCAACATCGGGCTCACCTCCATGTAATAGTCTTCCTCCCTTTCGTGCAAGAAGCTCTAAGAATTCAATATGGTTTTTGTATCCCTTAAGAGCATATGTCCTTTCAATATGTTGGGGTTTTGTTTTACTCAAAACTGCGGGAATATATTGTTCTGGATGTTCAACATTCTCAACTCTGACTACACCTCGTAGTAGAATATCTTGGGGTGTATCGGTAGTACTAGGAGGAACTACTCCAGGACAATCAATAAGATAAATGCGTTTCATGAGAGTAATGTACTGCCAAACTTTTGTTTCACCCGGTATTGGAGCAACTGTGCAGACCTTCTTCTTTCTCAACGTGTTAATGATTGACGATTTGCCAGTGTTTGGGTACCCAATGAAGCCAACTGATATTTGTTTGCGGTCGGCATGTAGGGAAGAGAATTGACGGAGGAGTTGAATGAGGGATCCTTTTCCGAATGAATTTGTTATCGAGGCATGAAATGCAAGTGTTGGATAATCTTTGGAGAGCGATCGCACCCAAGCGGCCTGCAGTATATTAGCATATGACATTAAATATATTGCATGTGAAATAGTATTGTGTGCACTGGTGAAATGTATGAATCATTACTAAGAAAACCACCACAAGCCACTAGCTAAAGAGGAAGTGGACTTCAACTCAAACGAAACATTATCGAACTCTTTGCGACAGACTCTCCAAGACGGTGAGCTGCCTACTCAAGACCCGAGAGCCAAGAGCGGCGAGAATGAACTCGATCTACCAAAGTTGTAACAGACTGCCTTCCATTGTGAGGAGCACATAGTGCAGAAGATGCCTTGACTTAACGATGGAATAAAAACGGGGGCAATAGATGGATGAAAATGGTTAACATGGAAAATTGGGCAAACTTACAGCAACTCCGGTGGGTACAAGATCGCACTTGTTGAGTACGAATATCAAGTGCTTATGCGGTGCTTCGTCCTTGATGTACTTTTCCACGGTCCGACAACGAGTTCCTAGAGGATCTCTAGCATCTAAAACATGTATGACCACATCTGATGAATCAATAACTTTGTAAAGCTCATTCCATATGCGTTTGCTTTGACCCTTGCTGAAAATCGCCTCTCGAGCACTGGTGATGTGGCCATCATCAATAGCAGCAGCTTCACCAACTGCTTCGGGATCGTTCGAAGTTCCACTCAGAAGTTTTGCTTGTTCGAGTCGATCCAGATATGTATCGTGGCTCTTAACACTATCATCGGCAAGATCTTCCAATGAACTGACACCGAGCTTTACTCTCTTTCGTTGTGCTTTGGGACCGAAGGTATCACTGAATGGAGACGCCTCGACTGCCATCTTAGCTTGATGCTGCTTCAATCCATTCTTCCCTTGTCCATCGCGAATCAGTGACATTGGCAATTTATTAGTCTTTAGCAATACCGAGTAAGGATCACTCGCGCGTTCAGCCATGGCTTCTCGGAAAGAGGTCAAGGCATCTTGGCCAATGACTCTTGAGTTTGTAAACCATTTTCTGTTGGGCTCAATTCGTGCAGGTTTTGTTTCTCTACTTTGGAAGGTAGCGGCTTGAGTAACTTTTCCTGCGGCATTGTGACGAGCTTTGCCTTCATTGAACATATTCAAGGTCTTGGCTTGCTTCGCTGTGCTGTGAAATGATTAGTTTTCAGTCCGTCAACGTGTGTAATGGCGGGAACATACCGATAGAAATTCTCGCCCTTGGTCTTAACGTTGGCCATGCCATCTCCTACTTTCCCTTGCTTGACCTTTCTGGCCGCTTCTTTCTTACCGGTACCCATATTGATAATTGATGCGCGATGCGCTGTGAAAATTTTGAGGTTGTGAAAAAAGTATGAAAAAAAGAAGTCGAAGTTCAGGAAAAAAAGTTTTAGAGACTTTTGGGGGTTGTGGCTGATGTGCATCACGCTAAGGTGTGGCTAGGTGGGTTAGCTTCTAAAATATATGTCCACTAACCAAAGATATTTTATCAACTTCGATTGTGAGGTAAGGAAGGAGTGCCTTTATCAGAATGACCTCGGAATACTGAACCCTATATTCTGACAACCTACATCTCTCTCCCGTCTGATCCACAATATCGTCATTTTCGCAGTATCATTCGAATACAATGTCATCAAGTATGTCGAAGAGTTCTTTGAGCTTCATTGGGCGATGTAGGCCCAGTCAATCAACCGCGGTCTCATCTCGAACTTTCTCCACCACTACTTCATGTAGCGCTATTGGACCTGAAAATCCTCGATTTATTGAAATACCCACCACTCAACAGCCAGACGCCCGGGGACATAGAGATATTAAAGGAACTTTACCTCCCCCACGAAATCTTTTTCCCAACCGCGGCCCCGACAAGATCTCGAAAAAGTATCTAGATTCTGTGACTCGTGAGCCCTCGCAACCTCCGAAGAACCCAAACGATTATGTTGCGTGGAAGCATCGGCTAGCAACTCAGCGACGTGAGAGCTTGAAGGAAGCGTTGGTAAATCTTCATAAGAGGAAATTGACCCAGGAGCGCATAGTTGCACACAAGAGCTACTCGAAACGAATGGCCAATGAAAAGAGACTAAAGGCCCCCCAACGAGAGGATGAAAGACTGATGAACCCCACGATTACGGAAGCTATGTCGAAACTGCAAGTAGGCTTTGTTCCAGATCCAAATAGAGAGAGTGAACTGGCACAAAAGGCATTAAGGGTGCAAATTAGGGCGGCTGAAAGGGAGGAACAGAGGAAGAACGCGTTACATACGCTGTACATGAAGGCTCGGTCATTCATCACGACAGAAGAGCAATTGAATGCTAAGATTGATGAGATCTTCACGAATCCTTTCGACAAAAACGCACCTTACAAGAGAAATATCTGGGAGGTGCATGAGAAACCACCCACTGTCCAGGATATGCTTTCAGGCGTCAACAATTCCCATAAGACTGCCGTCGGAAAATATTCGCATCCTGCTGTAATCACTGGAACCAGAATGCAGCACATCGCAGAAGAATTAACGGGTGGAAAGATGGACTAGTAGGCTTGCATCATGACAGGGATTTCGGATGCTTCAACAATGCTTGCTTGTACAGTATTCAGACATTCAATGATTTGTTACGTCTCTTACGCCAATTGTATGTCAATTATTCATGTTTCGAGTGCATTCATGGATTGTTGCGTTGTTTTTGTGATCTCAATGCCCATCAGTTTGTCGTTCATCATGGTGTGGGGGCTCTCTGGCGTATTGCGAAGGGTGCTTTGAAAGAGATACATTTAGATATGGCACGGCAATCTCAATGTGCTTATGAACGAGCAATCACCCATCTCTAATTTGGGAAGCAAACCTCGAAGCTTAAACGTGCAATGTTGAAAATTGTTCAACAGCTTCAATATTGGAGATTATATCACTTTTCTACACTATTTCCCACAGTGTCATTGTCAAATATTACACTCCTGCATCTCTCGTCCAATGTCCAGACGTTCAGGAATGTCGTCTCATCCCCGCCCGTCTGTCTTTCCGCCCAGGTGAAACTGATCCCCAGAATCTTTCACTCATTGCTGTGGCCGCAAATTGATTCGATTTCATAATCCTCTCAGCGTAATCACCTCACAACCTTCATGAAATGAAACGCCGTGCCTAGCCATAAAGCCGTTACTCTACCCTACAATTTCTGAACCAACTTCGACATCCCTGTACTTGTACCGCTATACCTAAATACACCTGTCGGTGACGTGACCATTGACGCTCATGATTCAATCCCCCGCGGCCGATGATTGAAAGCGCAGTCGGTATGAAGTACCAAAGCCATTTGCGCAGATAATAGTGTCTATTGGTGTGGGGGTTGAGGTAGAATCTACTAGTTTGTCCATCTTTGGTCCCTTGTTTGCGGTAAAACGTACGTCGATATTGGGCTGCTGAATAGCTTCATGAAACCGTTTGCGGGAGTGGCACGGCGACAACCGAGACCGAGGGGGGCCACAAATCAATTATAGCGACAATAAACCTTCAATTGCATGTCGTATACATGTTAGCCGTGAAGTCGATGATGTATTTATTTAGATTGAGTCGACAACAGCTGACACTGCAATGTCAGCTGTTGTCGGTTATCTCGAGGCATAACTTTCCATCAGAGCAGATATTAGATGTGCTCCTCGTCAAAGAAGCAATTGTTTGACAACCAGGAATGTAGTCAAGGAAATGATTTCAAATAAATCATCTAGACCAAATTTGGCACTCTTGATCTTGGACATACTTGAGTAAAAGCGTAAGGTAACAATAATATCTACCGATATAGTGAAAGTTGTAAAATTGTATTCACCGGGTGCCCTCTGAATGACTGCGCTCTTACCTGCGTCGGAGATAGCACTGACTGAGTAAGACGAAAATCCCCAAAATCATACTATGCAGCTCCAGAGACTTATGTGATTTCTCCAGAGCAACCAGTCTCTTCGTGCTGATCCTAGTCTACTACTTGCAGAATTAATATGATACAAACATAATACTAGTGCATGTCAAATATGCTGTTGGAATGATATTGGATATAAAATGCGTGATCCTTGTACACACAGTGGATTGATATGCAGGTGGATGGAAACTGGTTGGTGGCGTCAAAGAGATGTCGATTCTATTTGTCTTGGCCTTGAGTTTTAATATAAGAGGAACAAGAATCGTCAAATGCTGGGGTTTCTCTGTTGTTAGGGCATTGAGCCTTCCATTTTCCATTACTTCTCGAGACAAAGGCCATCCCCAGAGAATTCTGTGTTGAGCTTCTGTGCTGAAACGTCTTCGTCCTTTTCTTTAGTATTACTCTTGACGAAGGTAGCTATATAAGCTATGTCTCTCCCTCTCACTCAGGTCGCAAGTTGTAAACAACTATGTACTCAAAATTTCATTCAAAAGAGTTTGTCTACCCAGTATTCAAGCATTATGGCCTCAATCATTTTCGAAGAAGGTACACTGGCCCCTCATCGCCGGGAGCAGCTTTAGAATCATATTGTTGATGGAATGGCTAAGCACCGCCCAAATTCGTTGTATGCTGAGATTCCCAAATCTCTAAGTAGCTACAAAGATGGCTTTCAAAAAGTCACATATGCCAATCTCGCCAATGTCATCAACGAATTAGCACATTGGATGTACCAGACACTAGGTCCGGGGGAGAACTTACCCACACTGGCATACATCGGTATAAATGATATACGTTATAAGGTCTTGATTTTAGCTGCCGCGAAAACTGGCTACAAAATATTGCTGAGCTCTCCACGAAACAGTCTTGCTGCACACTCAAATTTGTTCAAGATTCTTGATTGTAAGATCATGATAACAACCAACCCAGCACTTCCTATGGTTCCTGGTATTTTTGATGCCTGTGGTCTTTGTATGATTCACATTCCAAGTCTAGAAGACTTGCTTGAGAAGACATATGGCCACTTTCCTTATCACAAAACGTTTGCTCAGGCAAGGGCAGAACCATTGGCTGTCTACGTACATCTGGAATCACCGGCTTACCGAAACCAATTATCTAGACACATTATTTTGCAGCCAGTTGGAATGAGTGGCTAGCTATGGAGGCTCCCGAGGGGTATGCTAACCAGAGCAATCTTTGGACATCGTACGTATCCTATCCGTTTAAGATCCATTGAACAAAGCGCTTATCAATCCGAATTAGAACTAGACTCTTTAACACCTTTCCCCCATTTCATGTGAGTTTTGTCATTCAAATGAGAGCTGTATTACTTCGATGTTGATGATTTAATTTTTCCTTAATATGACTGTTCCTAGAACGCTGCAAAGTTGCAATTGTCACTTTTTCATCATGTGAGTTTTCCTTTGCTTTATTTGCAGTAGCATTCTAAAAAGAGGACGTCCCAGAGAAAACGCAGTTGATCAATATAAATTAATCGATTTTTCCGTCAGTATGTGAGTACTTTGCTGACAGTCACAGGATGGTGGTCTTTTCGCCTCATTTTTAGGTGCACTTCACAACCAGAGATTAGTATTACACCCTCTAGCTGGTGTTCCTCCATCCGCACAGCTTGTGGTGGATGGATTGCGGTATACCAAAGCCAACTGTATCCTCTTGCACCGCCGTTCGTCGAAGAAGTCGGAAAGAATCCCGAGCTACCTACTCAATTTCCTTGCAAAAAGCGTGGATTGTTTGATGTACGCAGGCGATGATGTGTCGCAAGTGGCTGGAGATAAAATCTCAGAGCGCGTAAAATTCTTCATGGTTATAGGCTCTACTGAGAGTGGAGTAATTCCTAATATACGACCTGCAAGGCAATGGCCAACGAAAGACTGGAAATACTCTCATTTCAACCCTCATGCAGGCATTGATTTTAGACACCAATCCGACAACCAATACGAAGCTGTGATTATTCGGGATCCAGTACCCGAGAAGAGACAGCCAGTATTTTCTGTGTTTCCTGAATTAGATGAATGGGGTACACACGATTTATATAGTCTCCATCCGTCAATCCCTAATCTTTGGGCATACTCTGGCCGAAGTGATGATATCATAGTCCTCCTGACAGGAGAAAAGGCCAATCCCACTACTATGGAACAGGCCATCTCGCATCATCCTGAAGTCTAAGGAGCATTAGTTGCGGGCACAGCTCGTTTTCAGACAGCGTTGCTTATTGAATTAGTGCCTTCGCAAAATTCCGAAAAACATTCCACGGTGGAAAGAGCCCATGCTATTGAGAGGTTCTGGCCCAAAATTGAAGAGGCCAATCAAGAATGCCCGCAGCACGCCAAAGTTGCGAAAACTCATATATTGTTTACAGCCCCAGAAAAGCCAATGGAAAGAGCTGGCAAGGGGACCATCCAAAGAAAGCCAACTTTAGATCTTTATTCTGAGGAACTAGATAAATTGTATGCAGATGCCGAAAAAATGTCGACTTCGGCACCAGTAGACATCTCTCCTCCATAGGACGAGGTCGACCTGACCGATAGCAACTCTATTGCTCTGTTCATTCACAATATTATTGCACGGCTCACAGGCACCAACAATTTCCAAGACGGTGATGATCTTTTTGCCCATGGTATGATGGAGTCTTTGCAAGCACTCCGTTTGACGCGAGTATTGAAACAGACTTTTGCAATTCCGGATTTCGATATCAGTACTGTGTACTCCAACCCATCAGTCAATTTGCTCACAGATGCAACCGTCCATCTATTCTCATCGCATAAAATAAACAAATCGTCTAGCGAAGAATCGAGACAACATACAATAAGCCAGGTTCTCGATGAATACAAATTGCGTATTGATGAATTCAAAAACCTTACGTGTTCCACTACTCGAAAGGTTCAACGCTCTGAACAGCGGGTTGTTGCCCTTACCGGTTCTATCGGTTCGATTGGGTGTTATATTCTGCAAACGCTTCTGCATTCAGAGTCTGTTTCGCACGTATTCTGTTTGAATAGAACTAATTTGCAGTTCCTTCAAGTTGGAAGGAGCAAGGGGCATAGTCTTGAAACAGAATTCCCCACAGATCGTGTTACATTCCTAGCAGCTGATTTCTCGAAGAAGAACTTGGGTCTTCACCTCAAGATCTACAACAAATTGCAAGAATCAGCGACTGACATAATTCATAACGCTTGGACTATCAATTTCAATCTACCACTTTCAGCCTTTCGGTCCAATATTGAAGGCGTCATTAACCTTGCATCCTTCGCTGTTTCTGCAGCTCAAATACCATCTTTAATGTTTGTTTCATCTGCGAGCTCTATTGCGCATTTTCAAAGACTACCGACCACTCCCGAATCTATCATTGACGATGTTTCGGCGTCGCTTGCCATGGGTTACGCTGAGAGTAAATATATCACAAAGCATTTGCTTGACTACACGGCAAAAGAATATCCAGCACTGTTGCTACAGATAGCAAGGATCGGGCAAGTGGCGGGGCCCGTCAGTACATGTGGTTCATGGAACAGGCAAGAGTGGCTCCCTCGCCTGGTTCTGACTTCAGTGCAATTGGACATCATGCCTGAATCTCTTGATGCAACGAAAGAAACTGAAGTCGATTGGATACCACTTGATATACTTGCTAGAGTGCTTGTAGAATTTTGTCTGGGTGACTCTGACTCTAGCTCTACCTCTGGCTCTGATTCTGGCTCTGGCTCTGTTGAAGATGCTGGTGCAAAAGTCTTTAATCCTACAAATCCAGTGCTCGCATCTTGGAAATCATTGCTCTCTGCAATTAACAGAAGCCAGGACAAAGCTCTCGAGCCGGTCCCATTCAATTTATGGATTGAGGAAGTAAAAAGAGAAGCGGAAAAACTGGACGATGCAACTAAGCTTGAAGACCAATTGGCTGATATTCCAGCTGTGAAAGTGATGCCATTCTATGAAGGTTTAGCCAAAGGAAAGGGAGCACCGCGTCTAGGCAATGATAGAGCAATGAAAATGAGCAAACAGCTGAGGGAATTGGCAGGAATTAAGCCGGAATGGATGGAAGAATGGGTCAAAAGTTAGCTGGAAGCAGGTATGGGTAAGTAGTGAACCATCTGGGGAGGATTAGTGGCCCCAGAATGCGGAATACATGTATGTAAGATTTATTGGTTAGGTTGTGAGCCTTTAGTGAACTTTCAAAAGTATACAGTTGTGCAGGAAGAACATATTGTACTGTATAGATTGGCACCACCGTTAGGCACTTAGCTCCCTATAGACTGCGATTGGTTGATTCTCCTATCCCGTGGGGTTTGAAGTGACTGCTTTTGGGTACAAATAAATGTATGCATTGAAAACTGAGGAGGATGTCAACTGGAAGACAGGAGTGGCTTTATATTCCTATAATCGCAACTATGGAGCAACAATTCCCAGTAACAATCAAGAAAACAAGATTCAATAGGTGACACCTATCAAGGTAATCTCACAAAGAAGCATTTTCCGAGTTTTAACTGTTCTACCTTAACTCCGTACATTTCGACTCCGGTAGGTACTCGGGTATCTTGGATAAGCAGTTAGGCATGATTCCCCTCGGTGGAAATTGAAATCTCCCGTTTAGATGTTGGGGACAACGTCTACTTGTCTTTTCCAAAGGTCGTGCCGAAGTCGAACATGTGGGATCAGATTGAAGTTAATAACATACTGCGTACGAGCAGGTCGGAATTTATGAGAGTCGATTGTCAACCAAAGGCACGTGAGAATTCAAGTGGTTTAATGGGTCTGATTGGTCTCGTGTATCAAAATGCTTACCTAAGTAGCGTCAAACAGGTTGGCCGATGCTCGCGCCATCTCCATCACCATCTCTATATCCCTCCATCTCCATCGCCATCAGCATCGCCATCATCATCGCCGTCTCTATATCTCTTCATACGATCGCGGTTTCTCTGTCTTTATCGCTATATCCTTCCATCGCACAACATCGATTACGAATATACAAGCATTGTCTCAGATAAAATCGCCACTATATCGTGTTGTGTACAAGAGTTGTATTCTACAGTATATACTGTTTAGAACAGCCCTGGCGGTGGTTACGTCCTTCGGCATCTACTGTTTAGAACAGCCCTGGCAGTGGTTACGTCCTTCGGCATCTGCTGTTTAGAACAACCCTGGCGGTGGTTACGTCCTTCAGTACCTGCTGTTTAGAACAACCCTGGCGGTGGTTACGTCCTTCAGTATCTACTGTTTAGAGCAGTTCCAACATAATTTAAATTAATATAGTAGCCTTTATCGATCACTTCTGTGCCTCATTTTTCGAAGAGTCAAGGCTGCTCTATAGCCTGGGTGGGTGGGAATCACACGTAGAGTGTGGGCTAGCATTCTTTTAATGTAATCAGTCTTCACTATGTTTTACTGCTAATCTAATTATAGAGGTCAATAATGTCGGTCCCGATTGAGAAGCTCCAGCTAGAAAAGCTCCTTGACGAGAGAGTATTTGTAAAATGGATAGATCAATCAGGTACAACTTTGACGCTAGGCTCTTGCTTGTATGGTAATAAGCAGAATCCCAAGTTTTTTATGGTTGCATACCTCGATATAGAAGGTCATGTTCATATTCACTTCAAGCTTCAGGTATCTATCAAGCTCGCTGGCAAGAAGCAACAAATGGATATGCTGTTAGTTGTTCCTCCAGACGCCGACTTCGCAAGTGCCTCTACACCTCGTCCGATATCGAGCATCGATGATTTATCTCACGACGCTTCTGCCATCCACGAAGCTGGCTTGAGCGACTCACAACATGTCTTCCTCATAAAATTTAAACTGACTGCGAAGGGATTTGTTATTGCGAAGAAGAAGACTGCTCCGATCATTAGACCCAGCACTACAACTGCAGAAAAGTTGGTTCATAGCCTTGAATCTTTGTCTAATACATCCATCTTCAGCGTATACATCAGGCCAAGCACTTACGCAGAAGTGAATCTGCAAAACCTTCGCACGCACCTAGTCAACGCTTGTGCTACTATCGATACATGGAAAACCATCACAAAGGAGATGTACATTCAGCAAGGGGCTATGTTAGTGGAATGGAATAGATTTTTATCTGAGGATCAACAACACGTACTGCCGCCACCATATACTCTAGAATCCCCGGAAGTGCAGGTCCCTCGGTCACCAGTAATTTTAGAGAAGGAACCACCATCAATCAATATTATCGAAGAGGCAATTGCCGAAACACCGACTCGCACTCCAGTCAGCCCAAACCTTCCGCCGGTGCTGCATGGCATTTTCTCTCCTAACGTCGAAGAATCTCTGAATGATAGAGTGAGCCCGGATGATACCGAAAAGGACTTGAGATGTACGGAAGAGGATTCGAGGTATATCGAAATGGACTTTGACGTGGATTCAGATGAGGAACGTCTCGCTAACTTGAAGTCTCGAGAACTAAGTCAACAATTTAATCAAGATTTAGAAGTTTCAAAGATACTTGAGTCGAAGTTTGTGGGGTGGATACAAGCAGCAATGCGGATAAATTCGAATGTGTACGCACACAAACGTTTAACCACCAAATTGTCAATTCTAGGTAACTGCGTTCGTACGTCTAATGCTGGCGTATTTGACGCTACTATACCCTGGTGCTCTGCGCTACTTCTCTATGACCCATTCGATTCTGAAGATTCTCCTGTGTTATGGGAGGAGAGGAATTCATGGCTGATTTCAGACATGGCCAAAATGATCAGATGGGCTAATGAAGTTCATTATGGCGCCGAGATGAATCCATTGTTGGTAACTGATTTTGTGAAGCTAGGCAATATTGCTCGCACTGTTGCTCTACACTCTGGATATAACAAAAATGAGTACGACCTTCAGAAAAGTGCTTGTGTTGCTCATGTGTTTATGGAGTTTATCAAGCCGACCACTGATATCAGTGGAGAGAACAGCAAGCCTCTTTCTCGAAAAAGCTTAGGAGCTGGTAGCAATACATCTAAGCGAGTAAAGATATGAATTTTTATAATATGAGCTTACGAAAAAGCATATATAGTATTGGTCAATGATGTGAATAGCGAGGAAGCAGCAAGACACCTATATCATGAATATGTATATAGTCTAGAATATACAGAATACAATACCCTAGTATATCTTTTGAAATACAAACCTAGTACTGTGGGTTTGAGCATATACTGGTAAGCAGGTATTCCATGTAAAAAAAATGGTTTAGTCAACTGAATATCGTATACGTGATCATACAAGTTAACCAAAATCGGAGGCTGACGAAAAAGTGTACCTCGTACCTCGTATCTTACAACTTACAACTCGCACCAAATGCTTGTCGATTCTTCTAGCGAACCCTTTGCGACGTTGAAAAGTATCTATCTGAACAATTACAACAGCAACAGCAGCAACAACAACAACAACAACAATAATGTCCATCTACAACGAACCAATCTATCTGAAACAAGGGAAGAAAGGGGAAGACAAGTCTCGAGATAACAGGTAATATTATACATAGAGGTACCATATAAAAAGCGATGGGTTCACAAATGAGCATGAGGATATGGAAGCGGAAAAACAAACCACCTAGGTACCCAAGATACGATACTAGCAAAATTAAGACTAGAATTCGAGGTCTTTATAATTAGAAAAGGGATCTAGCTAATAACAATATGAAAGGTTCCACTATTATCACTTGTAACTAGGTAATCTATCATTATCATTATAAATATACACAGTGGCGCTCAACAAGGGTATTGTGAACAGTTAGAAAGTAGTTCATCCAATGAAATCCGCATTCATGGAGCTTTCGGATGAAAGAAGAGACGAGACGCCCTCACTTCTAATAAACTTCTAACTTGTAACTTCTTTCCAACCACATTCACCAACTCATTAATCTTGTATATACAAACCGTTCAGTCATGTACTCAAAGTGATATTCTTGAGAGATTCACTCCTCATTCAGTATTCAATCTATCGTACCAGTACCATTAAACAACTCAGCAGCATTCTAATATCGAAGGATCGGAGAAATTGAGGCCCTCATTCTAATCAACCTTGTCAGCGCGATTAAAAACACGCAATTGCCGCCCGCATCCTCAGCCCAGCCTACCAATATCTACCTACAAGTAAAAAAAGGTCATCAAATGTCAGCTTAGACGTCGATGAGGTGACCAATCTTTCACAAGAGCTCTGGTATTGCGCCTGGAAAACACATTCCGTTACGTTGCTTCTATTGTTCTACGATGCTCCCTGTCCGCAGACTGTCAAGGCGACAGGATAGCCCGCCTAGCAATGGACCTTCATCCACCACAGAACCTAATCATTCCTCTACAGAAACAACGGCCACTTCATCCGGACAGCCTCAATCTGATTCTAGTAGTAGGCCAACTTATATTATTGTATGTGCCTCGCATATACAACTTATGAACCAATGCAATTTCAAAGATGGCTTCTAATAATTATCTCTATAGGCAGTCACAGTAACTTTAGTTGGGCTTATAGCGTTGCTCCTTGCACTTTACCTCATACGTCGAACCCGGATCAAGCACAAGAATCCAAAATACATACCGACGGTATTTTTGAAAAAGGCTTGGGAAAGTTGGGACCCAGAAGCTCATCGATATCGTTTGCCAGACCAGAATGATCCCCATGAATACACAGGAGCCGCCGGCGTGTCTGGTGTCGGCAGAAATTTATCGAGTCGACCACCTCCATCGTTCAATGCTGCCGCTCGAACCACCGTCCAAAATGCCACAAACAACGACGCGGCAGGAGTTGATAGGAATACTTCAGTCCGCTCGGTAATGACGCTACCAGCTTACAATATGACACCGGGACAAAACGAGCAGGTATTGGGAAGAGAGGGTGACCGAGGGGGCATTGACGTTGTTTTAGAATTTCCAGAAACTATCGACGAAGAAGAGTCACAGCGAGAGGCAGAGATGGAGGCTTTATACCAGGTTCGACTTGCGAGACGACGTGAGAACGAAGAACGAGAAGAGCGAAGACGATTAAGGAGAGAGGCCAGAGAACGAGGCGATCATGTTGCATTGAGAGAACTTCAATCTCGACCTGCGAATACCAGTACTGGACCAACCGTCGAAGAGCTCAGAGCAGAACATGACAGGATTAAGAAAGAACGCCAACGTGCAGTTTCATCAGTTGCATATGGTGATCTGGGAGTCGCGAGACATGACGGCACACGATTACGCGCAAATAGTGATGAGAGTGAACGACAAGGATTACTTGGCGATGCAGCAAGTATGGCCGCGAGTAGTCGTTACCATCGAAGAGATCGAAGCGCAAGTTCAGTGTTAAGTATTGACACAGTGAACTCGGACCTACCTTCTCCGGGATTTACCAGGTCTCGCGCTGATTCCCGACCGGATAGTCCGCTTCGTCGATCCATAGGCCCTGGGGACTCGAATGATAATCATGAAGATAGGGCTGGAAGCAGTCCCGAGATGATAGATCATGACGATGTCCCATTGAGCAGTCCCCCTGGATATGAAAATGTATCGTTAGACACACCACACGCGGAAGCTTCAGCTCTACCACATCACATGACGGAGCCCCTCCTGATTATACCAGTCCAATATACGGGAGAGGAGAGGGGCCAAGTTTAGAAAGCACGGGGTCTCGAAGATCACAGAATCTAGACGGAGTAATGACGGAGAGAAGGACAAGCACCCACAGTACAAATTCGGGCCTATACCCTCGGGACGAGAGACGTACATCTACAAGATCAACTCGAGGTGTCGGTGGCATCCCGCAATTACCCAGTTTACGATTAGGATCTTTGCCCTCTATTCACGTCGATCCAGGCAGTCCCATGACAATGGGACCTACAGAGGAGGAAGGTCATAGTCCACATAGCCAAACCCATTTCGGTTAAGCTCTTTGAAAAAACAGTCAAGATCCTTGACACGATTAATGAATCTTGAATAATCAGGTTGAACCTCCGAATTTTTGATACACGTATAATCTTTCTCCAACGCAAATTTTGCCTTTTCTGCATCAAGCAATCCCTACTTTTCTATACCCGTTTTCTTTCGTAATAATTATTATATAGTTCCGATTTTGAGCATGGCGCTTTTGGGGGGGGGGGGGGTGCTTAGAGCCGGATACTTGCTTTATTGATCTATTTTCAGCTTGAGCCTTTGTTTGGTGTTTAATGCAATTTAATGCAAGACCTCTTGTATATAAAGGCAAGCAAGTGGCTAGCAAGTGGGATGGAGTGAACGGAGTAATTTTAATTGGAGTGGGGGAGTTTATCAATGGGCTGGATTGGAAATTTTCCAGATATTGGATAGGGTGGGATCGATGGGAAAGATGGAAGAGTATGGCTTGGTCACAGATTATACTATACTCGGCTGTTGAAAACTCACTCGATTGGTTGGTTCTAGTGTCAATATATACATATTGTTGATTTTTTGATTGATTTATCTTTCCTGCCCCATCTCTGCATCGGTTGCTATGTGAACATGCATTTCATGTCTCTAGGGAAGATAATTTCTAAATCAAAACGTGGCCGACTCATGAGTAGAAATTTAGCCCAGCAGTCTGTATTGAAACGCTATAAACTACGTCTCTCTTTTCGTATCCCGCACCTCTTTCTCCCTCATCCTCTCCCCTCCGTGTCTCTCCATTTTCACTCCAGTCGATAACCACCAGTTCCATCTCCCTTGGATTAAATTGACGTCTTTTCGGAAAAAAATCATCCGCCCAAACAACTTTCTCCATACTTTCCTAGAACCCTCTTCCCACCACCTCCACGCCCACCGACCATTCTGTCGCCGTGTTTTCCAACTCCCTCCTTCCCCTCCCTCTCTTTAACCTCTCTTTCCCCATCATTTCCCATTCTCTTCTTTCCTCTTCTTTCCTCTTCTACAAAGTTTCTTCTTAATCTCTTCCATTCCCTTTTCTTCTCCTTCTTACCCTTACCCTTCCTCTTCCTCTCTCTCTCTCCCTCTTAAGTTATGAGTATCAATCCCGAAGACCCAAGGAACCCCACTCTCCTATGTGACGATGTTATAAATCTTGAACATCCCTCACGAGGAACCCACACTCTACAGACCAGCGAAGGAGGAAGGGTACCCATGATTTCGCACGAGCTGCTGACTGCCGGAGATATATATTTATTTAGCCAAAAGGAAAGGATTTAGTCTATCGGGTATTGCATAAAAGATGCCAGCTCGACGATAGATTTACAGATGGATATAGTCGAGACGGTCTCTATCTACAGTGCATACATACATATCATCATCATCACAAAATCTACCTCTCAATTCTCTGATCCTCTGGCGACCACCATAATCTTTGAATGATATGCACTTAATACAATTTATAGTGGGACACCCATCTGCTTGTCTTAATAACACAGTGATTCAGAGGTGTAAATTTCTGAAACCATTAATTACCGAATCCTGTTTGCATTCCGTTGTGCCGGATGAGTATGGATAAATCATGCTGGAATTTCCTATCCCAACCAACACAGCACTTCACATTGTAGGTATCTATCATTACCATGCACATATCTTCACAAATATCAAGACCCATTGGGACTCGGGAGTACTAACTCTCAATTATCGCACGTATTTGGAACAATACAACTCCCTCAAAGACCCTGCAACGTTCTCGCCTCGTCTCCGTAGTCACCAGCAGGCAACACCACGAGAAACAAATTTACCAATTTTTTCATTTTTTTTTTCATTTCCCAAATTGATATCTCTGTATTCAGCGCTGTGAAAAACCGTCCATCCATTCCCCTAAAACATCTGCATAATAAAGCCGAAGCTACTACATACATTGCAACGAATGCAAACACCTACTGATGCATGAAATTCCCGTAAATAGGTATCAAGCAATGCATACAATTCTCCCAACACTCCTCTGTAACTGACCTCCAAACCACTTACCATTGCTCGACCCAGCGTTAACACAACAGCACAGCTTATACATGACTTCAGCTCATTCTCATTAGCTAAGTCACTGTCATACATTATATCCACATTGCTACTGTCCTGATTCAAAGAATCAAAAGATCTCTTTACTCGGAATTGTTCAAAGCAGCCATCATCTCCGCGTTGATTCTGGCAATCTCTGCTCTAGCAGCAGCATCCTCAGGGTCCTCATCATCTTCTGGCTTGGCTGCAACTTGAACATCAACCTTGGATGGTTCATCAGATGAAGGCGCGCTTTGGATTTGTTCAGTCTCGACTTCAGTTTCATTAGATGGTGTGCTTTGCTGCTCGGTAACATCTATTTCGGAAGATGGAGCTGCCTCATCAATTGCAGGCTCTGAGACCTCAAGTTCCTCCTTTGGCTCTGGGACAATGGGGGCTTCAACTTCCTTCTTTGGTTCTTCAGCTTCAGCAACAGCAACCTCTGTTTCAGCAACAGGGGCTTCAGGTTTCTTCTCCTCAACTACTGGAGCCGCAACAGCCTTCTCTTCGACCACTGTCTCTTCAACCGCAGGTTGAGCAATGGTCTCCTCAACATTTTCAGTTATTTCATCTCCAGCTGATGATGGAACGTCTGATTCCATAGGAGCAGCCTCTACTTTTGGTGAGTTTGCCTCCTTGGTTTGTTGTTTGGCTTCTTGCTTGGGTAGATCTGCCGACTTCTTTTTTGGCACTGTTTTGACACCTGTTTTGGTAACAGGGGCCGTGGACTTTGAAACAGCCGCCTTAGTTGTCGTGGGCCTGGTCGCCTTCTGAATTGCTTGAGAAGCAGCCTTAGTATCACGAACCTTGGAGTGACCGAGGCTGCTGGATGGTCGCTTTACAGATAGCGACCGCTTCGGTGGAGGAGATTTATCAGTCGACTTGGATGCAGAAGAAGCGGTAGGCCTCATCATACGCGACAGAAATCCATCATCGGCCAATGGTGCTGAAGCAGGCGGTAAACTCCCTGCTGAAGTCTTTCTTTGTAAGGTTGAAGATGGCCCAAGCGATGGTCTAGTAGTTCCTTTCTTCACTTGCGAAGCACTCCGTGAGACTGGTGGGTGCGATGACTTTGCCGTGGCGGCGGATGACCTAGGTGCACTTCCAGCACGGCTTTGAGAACGTGGTGCAGTTTCGTTCTTGATAGCTCCAGATGCACGACTTTGGGTTTGTCTGGCAGGTGGCGTTGAGGTAGCACCTTTCGAGCCAGAAGAAGCTGTTGGGGCAAGAAGCGAAGCTGGGAGCTGAACTGGCCTTGTGGGTGACCTAGCCTTAGCTTTGCTGAGTCCACTCTGTGGAGGCGATGGCGGGATTCTGCTCTTGACAGCCGGTCGACTAGCTGATCTTGGCTTACTTGAAGCTCGCGCGCCGCTTGAGGGGGCCAACGAGGTGCTGCTGGTCTTCTTGGCCGGCTTCTTATCGGGAGTCTTTGATGAAACCACTGGTTTCTTCTCCGGTGTTTTGCTCTTCTGCAGTTTCCCATCCTTTTCAGGACCTGTAGGTGTTGTTGGTGTCCTTGGAGCTGGTCTGGAAGATTTTGGAGGGGATGATATTCTTGGAGAAATTTTTGGTGTTGTGGATGATTTAGCTGTAGATATAGGTGCAGGGCGCGTAGCAGACTTGGTTCTTGTAGCTTTGTCCGAGACCTTTGGAGTTGCATTGGTCTTCGAAGGACCTGTTTTCGATGTCGGGCTTTTGTTTGCTTTGGCCGCAGGAGGGCTTGTATTCAGTGCTTTTGACTCCTCCTCGGATTTCTTTGGATTCTCCTTGATCTCTGCTGGCTTCGCCAATTCTCGGCCACGTTCAGGTATTGTTTGTTTGGTAGGTTCCGGATCCCCGATTTGTTTGCTGACTTCGAAAGCGGGAGTTTCTGCCAAGGCAGATTCGGGAATGAGTTCATCAACCATGATACTGGCCTTTCTTGCCTCGAACTCTTCTGATATTGACTTCTTTCGCTCTGCAGTTTCCTTCGGATGAGATTGTTCATCTAGACTGAAACTCGTCCTCCTTTTCGCCATACTGCCGCCGCTCGCCATGTTGGGTTCACTGTTGCTATCTTGCCTCTTGAGACCAAGTTGTATTGCCTGACCGGCTTGTTGTGCGCCACGTTCAACAGTTACAAAGCTCGTTCTGACTTTCGATAGTGGCCTCGGGGGTGTTGTGCTGCTTCCTGGTGAGAATACTAAATAAGGATCAGTACGTAAAGCTGCCCAATGTATGACGAAGGACTTACATGTATATTCTCCTGAAGAACGACCTCTCTCTGGTGGTGATACTGAAGTCTCCTTATTGTTTTGTTCGAACATTGCACGAAGGTTTTTTATGTTAGACATGTTGACGGGTTTTTATAGAGCCGATGGCTCTTGAACTTGTGCTTGAAAGTTAAATCGATATAACCAAGGCGGAAGGAGCTACAACCCAAGCTCCAGTATGAAGTAATTGCCACAAACTAGTTGCAGTGATCTGCCAACTATGCGGAAGAAGGAAGGTGTATCCAATTGCGTCTCCCCAAGTATTTAAAATTAGGAAGAGGTACTAGTTTTTATGAGTATTGAATCTCAGCTGGTCAAGTGGTGAATCGAATAAGGCATTGAGGGCCAGCTGTTGCTATATTACATCTGCTGTGCACTGGGACTTGTCTTGTACTTGATCAAGGATTGGATTGAATCGAGTAAGTTAAAGAAGCCACCGTACCACACGCGATATACGGTTTCGCAGTTTGGCAGTGTCGTAGTACTTATGGGTGGTGGTTGAGAGTAAACAAACGCAAAATGCAAATGCAATATTATTAGAAAAGGGTTAGAAGTTAGAAGTTAGATGAACCAGTCTGTTCCCAAAATATGGACAGAAGTAAGAAGGGGTTTTGAATGAACGGTCGTACACTCTATGTCTCGAATAAATATCACCAGGTCTTGATATTACAGGGGTGGATATGGGACTTCTTCTTCTTTTCAATATTTCAATGGCCTGCAAATTGACATTCCGACGATGGGGGGGGGGGGAAATAGGGGTGTTCTTGATAGGACTAGGATTTTATTTTGTGTACAAGGGACCAAAAGGCACAAAAAGGCACAAAGTTCACATCAAGACTGTCTTGTGTCTATCCATTCATTTATTTAATTTAACCTTCGGACAATCGGTCATAGTATCAGGACCAGTCTGGCGCCAGTCAGAGCCAGTACGTGAATGAGGATAGTTAACGGTACTCTTTTACTCAATTAGCTTGGACCTCTTTTTGATTGGGCTTTGAAGCGAAGTGAAACATTCCATGAATGATTCGAAATGGTTCGAGAGAAGAGAATTATTGCAATTTACATGGGGGCTCGGTAGGTGATGGAGGTGATGATATGGGTTGTGCATTCGTGCATTTAGTATCTGAAACTTTGAATAGACACGAAAGAGCATGAGGGAAACACATAACAGCATACACCGTACATACACACACCGTACATACATACACACATACATACATACCACATACACACACACACACACATACCTGCAGGTGGGTAGGACTAGGTATCTGGGTACTAATCAGGACAAATCTGGATTCAGAGAAGCATCTACGGAGTAGGGAGGTAGATGTGTTGGCGGGTACTAAGTAGGTGTAGATAAGTACTATTGATGAAGATACCTAGGTAGACTTGACGATATAGTCCCATCTGGTCAGGTAGAGACAAGAGAGTGTAGAGAATGTCTGAAAAGGTATCTATCATCTACTATCTACCATCCACGGATCTACTAGATGTTCATCTATCTACCCTAGTGTGTATCTAGCTAGACACGAGGGGGAGGGGGTTTCGGAAAAGAAGGCGTGTGTGAATAAATAAAAGGGGAATGAATGTTTTGTGTGTATTCTACAGGTGTGACAATAGACAAGACGTACTTAATTTGAGTGTGTGAATAGCCGAGAGGATGATCCGAGGGTCGGGTCAAGAGATTCACTGGAGACCGATCTCGCAAGTTAGTGTCAACTTTGGGGGAATCCCACCCACCACACACCACCACCACAATCAATTCAAAAAGTTTGGTCAAAGCAAACCAAGAAGTCAACAAAGTCAAAAATCATGGCTTCCAGAACTTTGAGGATAGGTAAGAAGAAATTTAAACATCTTTATTTTTTGACTTCTAAATCAATTGATATTTTGAAACAAAAACTAACGTTTCACTGGTTCATTAAGGTCTCATTCCTGGTGATGGAATTGGCAAAGAAGTAATTCCAGCAGGAAGAAGAATTCTTGAAGCCTTACCAGCTTCCCTCAAATTGAAATTTGAGTTTGTTGACTTGAAAGCTGGATTCCAAACCTTCGAAGAAACCGGGGCTGCTCTGCCAGATAAGACTGTCGAAATTCTTAAAACTGAATGTGATGGAGCTTTGTTTGGTGCAGTCAGTTCTCCTTCAAAAGCCGTCAAGGGCTATTCCTCCCCAATCGTCGCACTGCGCAAGCGTCTCGACCTTTACGCAAACGTTAGACCCGTCAAAAGTGTTATGACAGCTGCCAACCCAATTGATATGGTCATTGTGAGAGAAAATACCGAGGATCTTTATGTCAAGGAAGAGAGAACATATGACGCTGTTGATGGAAGTGGAAAGGTCGCGGAAGCAATCAAGAGAATTTCCGAAAGAGCTTCGTCCAGAATTGCTACAATGGCCGGAGACATCGCATTACGCAGACAGAAGCTTAGAGATAGTGGAGTTGCGAGCATTCACAAGTCACCATTGGTCACCATTACACACAAATCGAATGTTCTGAGTCAAACGGATGGTCTTTTCCGATCCACTGCCAGAGAGGCATTGGCCCTTTCAAAATTCTCGAGCGTTGGTGTAGAGGAGCAAATCGTCGATTCTATGGTTTACAAACTGTTCCGTCAACCCGAGACCTACGACGTTATCGTCGCACCAAATCTTTATGGAGATATCTTGTCCGATGGAGCTGCTGCTCTCGTTGGCTCCTTAGGTCTCGTTCCAAGTGCCAATGTTGGTGAAGGATTTGCTATTGGTGAGCCATGTCATGGTAGTGCTCCTGATATCATGGGACAAAACATTGCAAACCCAATCGCCACTTTGCGAAGTGTTGCTCTTATGTTGGAGTTCCTTGAGGAGGAGGCCGCTGCCGCTAAGATCTATGCTGCTGTTGACGGCAATTTGGAGGAAGGCAAGTTGCTAAGCCCTGACCTTGGTGGCAAAGCTACGACAACAGAGGTTGTTGAGGACATTCTTAGACGCTTGTAAAATGGTTTCCATTTTCTTTTAGAGTTCTTTCTCCTCGAAGGGTCTAAGGCTGTCTATCTGGAAATGAAGTCCCCCTCTGAGAAGGTATTTGAAGTCCTCTTCTGAGGAGGTATCTGGTTAGACAAATCCTGGACTAGGAGCTATGAGCTAAAATGATATCCCCAATCATCTACATGATCACCGCATTACAACCACCCCTTTACGTATTCTGCCTTCCATGATGACCATGCATTCTCTTCATTCCAGTCTTCTTGGCGAAAGTCTTATGCTCCTCTCTCCCCCGTGCTTTTGCCCACTTGCAATCGGTTTTCCCTTCTCCCCTCCTACATATATGCTTGGCTTGCATTGCTACAAACTCATGGTTTCTTTTGGTGACTCTTTACGTCCTTAAAGTTCTTCAACCCGATTCTCGGCCAAGTGCAGCTCCAAGTCTTCCGCGAAGTTCTGCGAGGATGACGATGTATTCCTCTTGATAGAACGACTCCCTCGACTCCTCGCCCGAGTGGACGACTAAAGATATTGAACAAGGAGCGACCCGTTCTTGCTTGGTGCGAGCATTCCCATTTTGATGCTTCAATGCCAGAGGGCTTAACGGAGGTGTCAAGGGAACAGAGCGTGGAGTAGACCTTGAGACGTTGTACATGCGCTCGGGTCGTTTTCTGTTACCCAAAAGAAGTCGATTCTTCATAATTTTGGTACTGTTTGAGAGTGGGATAAACATATTCCACTCAGCAAGCTTAGTCTTGTATGCCGATATTCTGTGGAACTGTCAGTATTTGTTCACATATCTCAACGATAGTTCTACTCACGATGCGTTGAAGTCGTATTTCTTCCTCATGATTTCTTGAATTGCAGACATAGTCAAATGTTCCGAGAAGAACAGATGCTTGATTTCGGTTTTATGATGTTCGAATGTGTTCTGCATGGTTGCGGATGTTATTTGACGAAGTACAATTCCTGTATCTTTGATATTCTGGAATTTTTGTGTTTGTTCGGAAGAGCAAATGGGGAGATATATATTTCTCCAGCTCACCCTGCGACGAAAAACTATTGGCCCATAGTGTATCTGATATTGATGTGATATTGTTTTGTTGATAGGTACAATTGGCATAGTGGGAAAGCGCGCTCAATGGTTTCCACGAATGTCATACATGACGTGCATGAAAGCATGGCAATTGAAGATTACTGGAGTTTGTCACTGGGAACCTAGAGGGGTAACCGCCTCCACTCGGCGGTTAACATTTCTACAATCAACACACTCCAGTAAACAATGGCAACGATAAGAAAGATTCGTCCAATTGTGCAAGATGCATACTGGTCAACGAAAACATTCCTATGCGCTGAATTGTAAATTGACGCTCAATTTGGAAAGGTGGGAGTTTGGTGATGGTGAATAATGAATTTTTTATGGGGTTTGTGAACACGGAGTGCTGCCCCCACGAGATAAGAACATTGCTTGCAATCTATCTACTTCACCCGTGAAGAAATGATGCATTCCTTCAGAAAAGTTCGCATCACATGTCTATAAGGTTGAATCCACCGGCACTTGTGCGGCGTAGTGGTGCTCTAGTGCCAAAATCTTCAATATAACATTGGACCGTCCCTTCGGCGTCGCGCTCTTGAGTAAATTTCCAGATATCAGCGCGTTATCAGCCAATATTCAATTTTAGCTACCTCAGACGATAAAGTTGCCGACTACTACTTCAACCACCACTTTTGGCGCCTTCGAGGTTAAATCGTGTCTTTAGTTGTACAGCTCGTCGCCCCATCATTCGCTCTCTGTAGCGCTTTGAGACCAAAGTAATTCATCGGTCGTTGATCCGTTTATTTTGTAATTGGCAGTGATTCTTCAAACTTAGAGGTCTGTCGCATTTCTTGAAAATCTTCAGCGGCTTCCGGAACCATGAAAGTGAAACTTCAAGAGGTCGAGGAAGTTTCTTCATGAGAGATACTTCAAGCGATGCGCTCTAGAAAAGACTGAATGATTTGTTGTGAGGCGCTTGGTATGGTTTATTAATATTTTCCATTCGACAAATCATTTGAGAGAGGGGGGTTAATTCAAAACAGGGTAAGCGCCGAGAGAACACTAAGGTCCAGCGCTAAGGATTAATAAAGTTACCCCGCCATGCCCACCTTCTAGCATTTGATGTGAATGAATGAATGTATTGGAATTGGAATCATTTCTCCTGCTTTGAGCTTGATAATAATAAACTTCCAAGCAGAATACTCGAGCGGCCGAGAGGGTCAGACTTCTATCCATCATTGTAATCGCTCCACTGCTAAGTTGATTTTAGATCCATACTGGTTTCTCGGTCTCCTGGCACAGCAGCCAATTGACAAGGATTGAAACCAAGCCACACCGAATCCCGTTTAGTAATTTCTGTGCTGTGGCTGGCACGAATACGATCCCCAATCATGTCATTCATGTGCTTGTTCGCAGTTCCAGTATGCATGCTTGCATGAACAGTTCGGATTTCTGTCACTTTTCGACTGATCGGCGTATTGTGCAAGGATGGGGGTTCAGCCACACCATTTTTGTTTTTAGAAACAAGGCTCTATGAGAGTTTGTCCCTCGCTGTACGGTCGAGGGATCAACTGATTGGTATAATGCGATTGTTTTCCGTTCCGAGATAATGAGTAATCTGCTCAATTGATCAACATATGTGACAATCCAACAAATGTGGCGTGGTTGTAACTGCGCTTTGAGAGTTGGGCGCAGCGTAACCCAGTGAAGAAGAGATTTGAAGTTTTGTATGATCACAAAAAGCATGACAATTCAGTTGATATCACAAGATCTTGCCGCAAATTCGGATCTCAGGAGATGCGTTGTTGCTACCATTACTATATCTAATTATCATCATACCTACACTCTCTGTCATATTATGTTTTTTTAAGAACGTCCCAAGCCTGTATCATTGGTCGCTCTACCCTCAGAGACCTAGCCCGTCTATTATCTTCCCTGTTGCCCGAATTTCAACCTTTGCCTTTTCAAGATCTAAACTAATTCTTCTCGATTGCGACACCCCGACCAAAAGTTCTATCTTTCTTCAAGTAGTAGATGATAATGATCCTTGCATTGTATCCATCTCCAATTGAGACACCGAAGCAAAATATTGTGGAACGTCATGTGAAGAGACTTGGAATTGAGCTCCTGTACCATACAGCTCATTGCTCAAACCCACCACGTCTTGCTCGTTGTTATCGTACCTATGACTTGTTTCGGACCATGTACAATCATCTTCTGTGGATTGGATAGTGTATGAGGCTGTGCTCGGGGGAGCGAGATATTGAGTCGAGTATCCGTGGGATAGCGGGTGAGGTTGTGTGGAGATCTGATTCGGAGTGTATGATTGGCGTTGAGAGTTATATGGATTGTCGGCAGTGAAATACTGCCGAGGAGTACTCTCTATCCCATCATTGCAGGCGTGGTGTCCGCCTATTTCATTTTGATAAAGATCGAATGGGACGTCGACACCAAGGGAACTGAACCCATTCTGAAGGCTCCGGATCTCGTTTTGTAAGATAACGTGCGTATGATATGAATTTCGAGTTAGCTGGGCTTGGTGAATAGTGTGTTGATTAAGCGTCTCATGGCTCAAAATTTGCGGATGAACTTGAGTGTTTGAAGCGGTTGTGTGTACATCGTGTGGTGTTTGACGAACGTTGTTAATTTGGGAATGGTCGGTTGATTGAGACGATGAGTGTTGTTGCTTGACTCTATGAGTGCTGTAGTTCTAGTCAGATTAAAAGTCGTGAAGCTGTGCCGAGGTCATGTAAACCAATATTTGATAAGCTACATACCTTGCATGATATCGGCGAAGATCACTTTTGTGTCCCGAGTTTTCGGGGGCCATGTCTGGAAAAATGGCAACTTCAATTTGATGGAACAGAAATCGCTGCTGAGATTCTCGATTGCGAGGAGCTTTCTTCGCATTGAAAGCACAACGCTATTGAATTGAGAATCAACATCTTGAGGATTCGAGCACTACTTAATGCCATTCAATATACGAATCCGATTCGCACTTTGCAAATGTGAAATAGTTCGCATTTCGAAAGTGCGATCCGCAAAAAGGGCAACGCTTCATTTGGCCTACTGAATCGTCACTTGCCACGACATTCGGATTCAGTGTTTTTCTGTGATAAATAACTCGAAGGATCTATTGGCTAATTCGGGCGGAGAATAGTTATCTAACAAACCCGTGGAGAGCAGCAAAAACTCAACCTCACACTCCCGACTTCAGAGTAAAACTAATAAACATCATGAGCTTATCTGGTGATTGGTGCTTACAATCAGAATTTGGGGAAACGGATCGCGGATGACTGCGGTAATTATCAACTTCAATATTAACAGGGAGCCAGCAGGTTAAACGAGCCAATAATACACTCTTTCTTGTACGATTCGCATTAAAAGCATACACAAAAAGCTTGTCTTCTCGAAAGTGCAATCGCACTTTCGTGGATATCTAGCACTTTCTAGAATCTTCCTTCTGTGAAGTAGCAGAAAACCGCCCAACATCAGCACTGTACTAGCGTGTAACACAACAAATACTTCACACTGTGGTGGCGGGGTCAAAAGGTGTCAGCTTATATCATCATCGGAAGCAGGGAGGCAGCGAGACACTTGGCGGACTGCGCAACAAATGGAACGCGTAACAGACAGCGATAAATGAATGACATAGGAAAGATTCGCCACGCTACTTACTCGAGATGAGGCTGCGGCTCCTTTTGCCTATCTGATGTTCCTCTCAATCATCATTATTATGAGCGGTTTGACCCGTTCAATATCTGAAAAATCCAGCAAAATGGAAACTCGAATCGAATCGATTCTACAGCATCAAAGGCCTATACGTATCAAATGAATAAACCGCGGCAATGCCAAAGGATTGGGCAAGCATAAAGGAAGAGCTGGAGCAACTCTATGTTACGGAAGGGCAAACGTTGGAGCAAGTTAGGGAAACTTTGATATCGACTCGCGGATTTGATGCAAGGTGAGTCGAACAATAACTTTCTTCTCCGAGGTGTCTTCTGGAATGCTAAATATTTATTCCTAGTATTCGCATGTACCGAATGATGCTTCGCGAATGGGGAATAAAAAAGTACAAATCAAATAACAAATGTGGCACCCGATGTTCCCGAGATCCACAATCGACTTCTTCTGTTGAACCGGAACTTACTGAAGACGATCTGAAAGATGCCAATTTCTTACTATTGTTGGACGAAAATCAATCTCACCCGCATAGCTTTACGGATATACCCATGAATGAATATCCTAATCAATCTTATATTTGGAACAATTCAGCACACAACACTAATCTGTTATCATCATCATCCGATCCTCAAAGCTCTTCCGAGAAACCTCAATATGGCTACTGCAACCCTTCAATGCCCTACAGTCCCGCGAGAGGTCGGGCTCCAGAAATATCCATTCCTTCACGGCCCATGAGACTTTCGGAGCTACTTCCTTTTATACATACTTTATATCCTGCCGAACATGTCTTCGAACCTTTGTTACAGAAATGGCAATCAGATGGGGAATATATGGCCTGTGCTATGTCATGGTTGGATAATCCTAACCATTGCAAAAACCTACTCGGCTCCTCTCTCACCGGTGGTAATTATTTCAAATCTATCGACCAAAACGTTCCTTTTCCAGAGCGCATCACTTTGACCAAAGCATTTCTCAAAGCTTCGATTCTGCACAACGTATCGCCATCACAGAGCATCTGGAGTGTAATTTGGGGTTCTACTCGATACGTGGATCAATGGCAAACGGTGAAAGACAATCTTCTGGATGCGTCATCTGGATTTATCGCAGAGCCAGGCTCGGTTTTCCATCTCTGTGCTCTTGCTGTTATGGGCGAAGAACTACTTCAGGACTATAAAAATCGACTCGAATCATTGAAGCCACTCACCATCGCTAGAATTGATGTTGCAAAATGTTTACGTAAACAATACGTTGATATTTTGAAGGATTTTCGCAATCAAGAAGTCGATGTTGATATATCCTTCTACAAATACTCGCTGGAAATCCTTGAATGGAATGAAGCTCTAGCGGCTCAGGAGAAAAGCAAGATTGATCGGTTACTGGTGAAATATAGAAGGTTGGTGGGCTTATGGACAAGGGATTCACCATCTTGGATCGATGTCAGTGTCGACAGATTGATAGAGAATGCTGAGCGCAGATGCCTATCTAGAAATGCTATGTCATCGCCCGGGCCATCGTTTGCACCGGAAATTGTTTAGTGGATTCTGTGAATTGGAAAAATATCCAGTATATTGTGAGAATCAATCAGATATCATTATGCATCAATGGGCTGCATGCAAATGGCAAGATAAATCAATATCATTCTTATATATATATTAGACAACAATCCATGGACTCTCCATTGAGTACTGCGTACTATGTTCGTTGAAAAGAAGAAGACAGGAGCGTCGAAAGAATTCTCGGTTTGAGGGGGGGCTTGTGGTCGCGCGAGTGGGCGTTCCTTCCTTTCTCGAAACAGAGCACCAAAATGGACAGCACCATTGTTACTTTCTCTTCTTGTCAGACAGAGACACCTGTGAATAAACTAATTATTTCTAAGATTATAATTTGATGAGAATCAATGACATCTATTTTCGATTCGTTCATGGAGAAATCTGATTAACTACACTATCCTCACCCAAGAATAGGTCTTTCGTTTCAGAGACTAAATTCACAGCATCTCCGTAGGCTCGATTCGCCGTTCGTTTCCATGAACTTCCACTGCCCTTGAAGGTGTACCATCTGCTTCTGCTATATCTACATGCCTCAGTCTCCTTCTGGGGTTGAAGAATGTTGGCTTGGTTTCTGTAGCTGGAAGTTCAGACAACCTGCTCCTGGGGTGCTTTCGCTTCCACAATAATAATGCGAATAAGGATATTAGCACAATGAAGGCCCCAGCACCTGCTCCTATCCCAGCCCTTGCACCTGTTGATAAAGACTGGGTTGTATTTGAGGAGGAGGAGGGGGTCGTCGAGGTTGATGACGGTAAAGGTTGGTAAACAGTTGAAATTAAGACTGATGCCTGGACGGTGCTTGTTTGTACTACAGCTGATAGCATTCCAGAAGTAGTGGATGACGTAAATTCCGACGCTTGTATGCTGGTTGGCGTTGTAGATAAAGCTGTAGTTTGGGAAGTTTGAGAGCTCAAAGAATCTCCCGCTGCTATATCCGAGACTTGGTTATTGACTATGAATTTTCCTTCATTCGCGTTGCAACAATCGGCTGCATTCTTCCCGCAGCAATAACTACCATTTGGACATGCCGTGATCTCAGTATCGTTTGCTACATACCAGGCTCATCAGCTACAATTCCTTGTTATAGTGTATACTATACATTAGAGAGTCCATACCTCCAACACACAATCGCAAACACAGCGGAGACTGCCATGTCTTATCTGTACACGATTCTCTCCAAAGTTGCGTCCCACTTATACCACAAAGACCGTACGTAGATCCAGAGCCACATTCATCTCCTCCGTTGTTGATGACTCCCAGATGACAGCACATGCTGACGGGTGCTGAACCATTACATGGCTTATATGTCGGATCCATCTCAACTCCCTCATAACTATAGCATTGTCCCTCCACCAATCCTAAAAGCCAACCAATGAAAACGAGAATAATGATTTGAAGCATTATTAACGATTGTAATGCGTCACGCAAAATGGGCAAAAGTTCGCCAGCAATCAATTGATCGCATTCTGTGATTGTGAGTGCAAAATTAATAGTCTCGAAGGCAGAAAAAGTAAAAGAGAGTCAGACTTCTTTGACGCGGAAACACAAGATATCTATTTGTATTCTAGATTACTGCTCTAAGTGAAGGATTGACGTCAAAAATACCTACCCGGCACGAATAGTACAGATAATTCCCTTGTGGCGGTTACAGAACTGATGCTTGGCTTGTAATTAGTTGATTGATTCGCTACTACGAATAAAAGGGGCAGAGTACGGCCGTGGATTATAGGGATGGTTACCGCTGAAGGATCGTTTTGAAGTACCGGGGCAATTTTCTGATGTCAGATTTCCAGCCCCCACCTTATTTTGGGTCCGAAAAGATACGAGGGAAATATATCATTAGATGTTTACTTTCCAATAACTCAGATATGGACAACTTTTGAATTCTTGTACCAGAGAATTGGCTTTCATTCATGGCCGTATATATTGATGAGGTATCACAAGTGTAAAAACCCCCAACAGCTGCCAGTGCAGTGTTTTTTTTGATGCTATCTACGGTTCAAACGTCACCTTACTCAGGTAGATCTCAAGAAGTGGTGCTTAGCAGCCATGATCAAAGTATGTGAAAATGTCATTTGAAATTTCTTTTTTAAATGTTGATTCTAATGCTGCTCATAACATGTTTTTCCAAAGTTAGAGGACAATTGACGAGTACCCTGTACACGATTCCCTATCTGTCTTAGGAAATCACGTCTTCCTTGATGGGTATTACCTCCAACACCAATAACGCCCTAGATCCATATGAGTCTCATTTCCATGCTCGGCTCCGTGGTCTTCTTCTTTGCTCCACCTCCCCTGAAATCCAGTATCGCAAAGACGTTGCAGAGCCATATTCAATTCTGATTCTCTTGCCACAAGCCGAACGTTCAAAGCCAAATTCAAAGTTGAGTGCACCGATCTTGCGAGTAGATAAGACCAAATACCTGCCATGGAGCTGAAAGGTTATAAGAAAGTTGAATAGAGATCTGGAATTCGATTTTGGTAGGGTTGCTGGAGGCAACTTTGACATCTTGCTCATCACTTATCTAAAAGTAGTTAGCAACGGCAAAAGACGTGAAAAAGAAAGAACCCCGTACTAGATAAGTGATTCCTTGAGTTCACCTGCCAATCGTAAAGATCAGAAACCCACGGTCATCAGAGATCGTCACTTCCCTCCCTCCAATCAGCAAATCGATCTAACATCGCCGCACCGTAAAAGTAGGGGGTATCAACCGGTTGAAATGAAACAAAAGTCGACGTGGGGATCTGGCTGAGCGTTGACCATTTCTGCTATTTCTCCGAACTTTCTTGAGCTCTCGGCTGGGTAGTGTGATGCCGAAGCCAAGGGTACTGTGTAAAACATTGTTTTCGACTCAGTGTTCAACTTTCTGTGACTTGAGGATGTAATAGGAATGAAAGTGGAAAGTCGAAAAGCGGGAGGCATTCTGAGTTTATATGGCGGTATGTCAAGATTGTCTTTGTCCTGAAAGATTGTTTCAGAACCGTGCCATCAACCATATGCATACAGCACGCAAAGTAGTTTCAAAAGTTTTGAAAGAAAGTCACAGATGCAACGAGGGATGGAAATTGACGGAGCCAACAAGAAGGAAATTAATTTTCCATGCAGTAGGGTCAATGTAGGTCTGCATAGGGCAGTGAGCTACACGTATAACTTCTTTGGATATCCATTGAAATGAATGTACTAGACTCTGGAATTGTGATTTGTTTTGAAATTGGAATCGCTGGCTGTGTGCCGTAAGGCTGCTTGCATGAATGCATGTGTGTTTTTGGTTTGATTGGATTGGATTATATTACTTCAGGAGATTGCGGATTACCTAAGTGTAATAAGCAACATGTTGGTTGTTGGATAAGTGGCTACCGATGCTCACTTCTCGGTAGCTTACAAACGAAGAGATATATGGGAAGTATGGTAAGATAGTAGGTGAGATAACGTGTGGGAAGTGAGATTTGATTAGTTGGTATTTCATAGTCTATTTATTGGCATGTTGTTTTGGTAGTGGATATTTTAATTTCCAAATCATTGATTGTTGGCAAGCGAGGTGAACTTGCGCTCTTGATGGTAACACGTCAAGTATTGCAGATAACCTTATGGACCAAGGGTTGTGGTAGTCCCAGAAAACCTACCTGCCAGTTCTACGTCTTACTTATCTTAGCTAGGTAATTGACATGTTTCATTGCTACTTATTCCGAGAAATCAGATGAGATGTCAGATTGATAACAACTAGTCTCAGAAGCTAACAAGTTATCAGCTAGTAAGACTTAGAGTCAGTTGCCTGAATACTGTTGACTTACAAATTAGTGCCCACTGATAACAATATGGCTCGGAAGTATTCATCCAATTATGTCTCTGTCTCAGAGAGAAGCGACATCGAGCGGGGATTGATGAGATTGATGAGGGATTGATTCGATCATTAGTTTATTTAACCACTTGGACGGTAACCTTCATGCTACGGAATATAAGGAGATAGGGCAAAGCGATTAAGTAAGTGTGAGTTCGGGACAGTGAACTCATTAGCGACCTAGTGTCCAAAAGACCCCCATTTAAGATACCAGCCGCTTAAAAGCTTTAAGGTCTTGATAGTAGTTGTCATTTTAGCCTTACGATTAGCATTTTCAAATGATGCCTAGCTCAAACACTAGTTTTCACACTAGTAAGTTAGGGTGGAGCCAGAAGCATGATGTCATTGTAGTTGGTCCAGTGGTAAGCGGTACTAGGCTCTGTGATTAAATACTTACAGGTATGCCCATTGCAATCGTGATGTGTATTAAGAATTGTGAACCCAAACCTATTCTCAACTCATTCTTCAACGCTAAATCTTCTTGTAAGTAATGACTTATCTGAGACATATTCAATTGCTCGCTCCTTGTCTGCCACCCTAAAAGTTCAGATTAAATTTGAACGCCGATGTTCTACTTTCAGTACTTTACAAAAAAAGATAATACTCTCACCCAGTCTTCACCCCAAGCCAGAACAGAGAGTGTCACTTACGCCAATCCAACTACATGCGTCTAATCCCACCAGCGGGCAACAATACGTTCTTTCATCCTTCCCGGCATAGAAACAAAGGGAAACACGCAGAAGTTAGAAAGAACTGTAAGCCCACTACGGCATCGTACTGTTGTGCAGATTGTCGCCAATGAAGATTAGGAAATGGGCAGTTCCACGGCACAGTGAGCTCTACTGCCATTGGAAAATCTTGTCTATGTTCTCGTTCGAATTCTTGGAAGGGAGTTCAATAATAAATGAATCTCCGTAGTTGAGGTTGCGGGTCTGGTATCGTTAGTCATGATCATTTGGAGGTCGATTTATGTGACAAGAAGATGGGTTAGAGAGCATTGTTTGTTGGAGTTTCTTGCCTTATTTAGGAATGTATAGTAGAGTATGTGTGGCTTGTGTGCGGCTTATTGAAATAAAATATTGCTTGTAGGAACATTGATTGCTTGTTCGGGCTTTACAAACACCTTGACACACTTTGCAATGGTAATGAGCACTTGGATTGAGGATGTGTGAACATGGAACACATACATGGCAGCGTATATGGTAGAAAAAAGTGCTGCAAATCCAGGTGAATATGTATGATCAATATCTGCACCCCTTATCCAAATTTACTTCAAATGAATCTTCAACTCATCAGATTCACAGGTTTTCTAACGGATACTTATACTTAGGTATGTATCATCCCCATTTCAGCAACGCAAATGCAACAGGGATCATTCCAATTGCGAGAAAAGTAAATGAAACTCGTTTCTCATCTTAGACCCAATGTCTCACACATCTATCGTCCGCAAAGAGAGAGTACCGCTCCCCTTACACTCCTGAAAATTGGGTTCGCAGATAAAGCACTTGCAGCAAAGATTATGAATGTACCCACTAGGTGAAGGTTAATGCACATGTATACAAATATGTTACTAACACCAACAAGAGTGGTGGAGAGGATGGGTACGATCTAATGATCTTTATATTCGGCCCCTCACCCACAGGGGAGAAAGCTCATTGGAATTGAGAAAGGAACCCGGAATAAGAAGTGGGGGACGGTATTCAGGTTTCACTACAGGCGGCTCTTGACAGGCTTCAGCAGCGAGAGCATTGACTTCTGCGGTTGAATTCTTCATCATATGATCTGAGAGGTATCCAAAGAATACCAGGCCGACCATAGAGTCGACGCCCAAGCTGAAATATGTTAGTCCAACTAGTCCAGACTTGAATCCATATGCCTCCTCAAATACCACCATCAAGCTAGTAAAGAGTAAATAGAGGTAATCATATATCACACCCAATATATTGATGTAGATAAAACAATAGGTGGATACACGATCAGTTCGCAGGACGTATGCAGATACAACAGATCCCGCCAATTCAGAGCTGGTGCTTTAGAACTCTTTCACAAGAGCTGGGACATCGGGGGCGGAAATCAACGATGCTAGAGGCGTTACAAAACAAATTGAATAAATTAAGAAACGGTTCGAAAATTTGATACAGCCTTTCTAAATCATTGGATTCTCGAAGCCATCCAGACCGTCCCACCAAATAATATTTGGATCGAGTTCTTCAGCATCATTCTCTTGAAAGATTTCTCTACATCTTCACTTGCTTGAGCATGTGTTTTGAAGGCCTTTGCAGTCAGAAGCTTTGCGATGGAGAGCTATGTTTTGTGTGCACTTCATTTCTTCATTCGCGTCTAGAATATAACCCTCATTTGAAGCTACATCTGTGGCCTTCACATGCAGCTAAGTTTATCTTTTCGACGTCAGACGGCTTTACGACGCTAATTGAATTATGTACAGGATGAATATGGGACAAGAGTTCTAGAAGCTCTTTTTCGATATGGCGGGCAATGCGTCTGCGGAACCTTACAGTTCCTACCGTTGCAATTTTGTAAACTATTGAACTCGTAATTCTTCCCTTTCTCCTCATTCCATGATACTTTGAGTACAGTTCAAATGTTTATTGGTAATGACATCGGAAAAAATGAAGATCTTGGTGTGGGGTTTGTGGAACTTGAGATAGATTAGGAAAGTTAACAAGTCATAGGATTGCTTGACCTCAGCTAGGTGTGTGAATTTATTTGCCTTTGGATTATCTCTCGTGACACACTTAAAGGGCTATGATTTCTTCCTATCAAGATGAACTTACGTATGTTTTTGAAGATTGATTTTTGAGCCTCATACTCAGAGTAGACAGGATCTTTGAATGTCTCTAATCCTTCTTCATCTCTTCCATTAAATCAACCAGATAAGTTACCTGCAGAAAGAGGATCAGGGCAACGAAATCGAACCAAATGAGCTGGTGCTCCATATCGGAAAAAAAGGTTGTTTCCCCATCATATGTCGAAACTCGGCTACAGCTAGCAAACAACGTCAAGTCGACGATGCCTTCGATGGTGATGATACTGATCCAGGTGTCACGACATCATTCGGTAGATACCATGAATGTCATCGAGTGGCTATGAGCAATTGACCGGTCTTGGAAAGGTAGAGTACGATAATTCCGATTATCCTAAGCCACAAATACCTACAGTTCAACATTAAACGCCTGCCAGCCTTACATCTCTTTTGCACGACAAAATTTTTGTTCTTCTTTATCTTAAAATTTGCTCTTTTTCTCTAGAACTGTTTGGATCTTCGTTGAGCAGCTTTATGTTGTAAATCAGTCCTTTGGAAAAATGTCACTTGGATTTTCTATTGGCGACTTTATAGCCGTCGGAGAAGTTATCACGACTTTGATCGAAGGTCTTCGTGAGACAGGAGGCTCCAAATCGGATTATCAAGAGCTTGTCCGTGAACTACAAAGTTTAGAGAAGGCCTTGAAGCATGTAGACAATATCAGTATGTCTAAAGGGTCCATGATAGGATTAGACGGTGTCAAATGTGCTGCTTTGCTATGTCGGTACCCACTAGAAGAATTTTTGAAAACGATTTCAAAATATGAAAATACTCTAGGCTCACGTGCACCTCAAGGAATTAGGAGTGTCGGACGAAAGATTCAATGGGCATTTACGAAAAAAGATGAGGTACAAAAGTTACTTGGATATCTGAGTATCCATACCAATAGTATCAACATGATGTTATCAACTCTGGGGTTGGAAGCATCCGACCTAGCAAACAAGAGAGCAGAAGAGAATCATTCAAGCCTCAGGAACTTAATAGATGATACTCGAATTGATATCCTCGATACAGAAGTATCGGTAACCACAATCCAGGACAGCTTCGTGGACCAATCACTCCTGGCTAGCAGTAACCAATCGATGCTAACATCACTGTCTGATGTTATCAATGGCGAAGTGATTCTTCCACTGAGGTCTTTGGGAGATATGACAACTCAGAACTTGTAGGTCCGACCTTGTTTCCCTGTATTATGAGACTGACTTGTATTAGCACCTCCACTCAACAAATGAGATTGGGTGGAGGTATGATAACGCTCTAGACGATACCGAAAAATGCCCCGAAGGAAATTACTTGCTCGAAAATTTTCTTAACCAGCCAACGACAGAAGTACTCGCACATGACCAAAACATTACCAGATTTTCACTAGAAAAAAATCGACTTCAACTTGAATGTCGACTCCAACAACAGTAGGAACAAATGCAGAAAGAGCCTTATCGACAACGATCAAGTGTGAGATGAAGAAAAGTGCTGATTCGATCCGGATGCACCACTATCGCCGACGACCCATTCCTGTCACATCGTTGGTTATCCATAAGAACTCTGTCGGCAAGCCTGAATATCGCAATTTATGGGACCCCGGGACTTCTTTTAAGTGTGGATCAGCTTTTGCACTTATAAGCTCGGCGCTCTTTGGTATTTACCTATTACCATGAGCCTCGTTATCTAGTTGCTTGAAAAGGTAGACCATTATTCAGGACATGTTGTAGCTTGAATCAGGATTAGCATTGGAAGAGTGAATGATGTTTTTCACATGAATACCGAGTCTTGAGAAAAAATTGTGGCGGCATTCTTACACTGCTTTGGGAGTTGTGAGAGATGCTCCGAGGCTGTCAGTGTACAACTTCGAATCGTTTGTTTGTTAGATGGAGCCTTGTTTCCTTGATGTCGAGAATCATGGTGCATCATGACTTTACATAAATAAACAGCTTGCGATCAAGATTATGTTTCAATCAATGGTATAGATCGCTGAACAACCTCATTGCACGAGAGCGGATACTTTCGCTCTTGGTCAGAAACGGAATATCAAGATATAAATCTTAGAAACGCTGTGGGCATAGCAAAGCTACACAGAGCAAGCCTAAGAATACAATCATGACTCACAAAGGATATCAGCACTTACTCATTGAGAGCCGCAGGAGATGTCAACAGTAACTTTATTTTCTCCCACCCTCGAATCCCCACCCGTTGCTTCTCAAAATAATCACTACTAAGCTCTCGTCTCGGTATATCATCCCATCCACCATCCCAGGACTCCACAAGGCACCATCATGATTCACCCCACACCCTCTCTCCCCTCACTACGTTCTTAACAACAATGCCCTCACCTCGCCAACTACTCAGTGCACAACCCCCAAAATGACACCCCTAGACGCAGTATAGCACAGCATACTATCCCATCTATTTTCCAAGCCCTAGGATAGTGCTCAATCTCTACACCCTTAGCCAATCGAAGAAAATAGAAGAAAAATAAACAAAAAAAAAAAAAATCAATCGATAAAAAAGGAGACATCACACCCAAAAATCCCACAACCGAATCTAACAGTACACACGAAAAAAAGCACATCATATCATTTAAACATCCCTACTCACCTACCTCACTATCCCCTCCCCAAGAAGATATCAATTCTCGAAACAAGAACTACTTGCTCCCAAAAGTATATCGACATACATCGATCGCAACAAAATACCATCTTCAAGATACCATAATATCCATCAAATTCCTCTGATTCACAATTTCACAATGTGGGGCTGATGGAGAATGAGAATAAGAATCTACTTAGATTGAACAACAGCGACAGGGGGGTATTTCGATATGTGCTGAGGTTTGTGTGATGGAGTTGCAGTAGAGGGAGAAGGGGGGGGGATAGGAGTAGAAGGTCTTAGATGAGTGTGTGTTTACTAGCTGCTCCTCGGGTAATACTTTTACTTTCATTTTGAGGAGCTGAGTTGTGGGTTACGGGAAAGGGCGCGGAGGATTAGAGATATCTATACTCCCACTCACTTGTGCTTTGGAACGAGTGCCTAGACTCTCATGGTAGAAATGAAATTATGCGAAGATTATAGAGAGCTATCGTTCACTCACTCGGACCATAGAGAGGGATGAAAATTTTGGTATAAGAAGGGTATCGTTCATTCATCTATCAATGTTGCAGAGCAATGCAAATAACTATGTTTTTCGAATCTTTCCTTTCTGCCTTTCCTAATTCCCCAGGATATCCACCCTTCGATCCATACCAAACCGAATTACACAAGACGTCATAAAAGTAACCTGAACGCCCGACGCTAAATGCAACAAATATCTTGTCTCATTCATCTCTTCCTTATATCCTCCTATCCGTCCAATGACCATTTTTCATCCGTAGACTCCCACCACTTAAATAGCACCATGCGAATAAGGCTCATAGGCACCAGTGCGCGTAGGTTGATGATGTTGTTGCTGGTGGTAGATACCGTGTTGTTGACCAGCATATGCAGTTTCTGGTCCATCAATCTTCTGATAAGCCATGGTTTGTGGGATCAACTTCTCTTGATCATTGACGCTGCGTCGGTTCTTCTTGCTGCTGTTGTGATCAGATGCGCAACAGCAGATAGTGAAGACCCAGAAGAAACTGCTTGCAATGCTGAAGACAACCGCGAGCCATGTGACGGCGAGGAAATGGGTATCGATAGAGGCTTCGACTCCGTATGCTTTGGCGGCTGTTTTGATGGAGCCGACTGTGACGGAAGAGAGAACGGTAGCCAAGATAGACGCGGCAATGACAGCGGCGGTACTGAAACCAGAGATGATGTATGTAACGCATGAAGCGGCTCTAGAACACATGGCGAAGATACCAAGGAAGAGCTCTGATGCTGTGGCGATCAAGGCAATGATGTATACTACTTGTGTCCATTTTGATACCACGGTAAAGGTCTTCAAAGCATGTTTGACTTCGCTTGGGAGAGTGGCATTGACACCTGTCTCAGAAGCAAGAGTATCGATGGTACTAGTGTTGAGAGAAGTGGCCGCCCAGTTGAATTTCGCCTTGGTGCATGTAGTGTTCTTGCCAGTGATAGCGCAATAACCCCAAAGACTAACCTTGTAACTATCCGCCAAATCCAAGTCTGCGGCCGTGATGTTGGTTGCTGAATCGGTTCCGGTGATTGAGGCAATAGCAGATTCGACAGTGGACTTCTCAGAGGTAGTGGAAGGAGTCAAGGCGGCGACGGTGAGATCTGCAAGACCACGTTTGCGCAAAGAGCTCTCGAGACTGAGGAGTGCCGAGGAGGAAATGGAGAGGTTGGTTGTGTTGACTACGAAGATATCGAGAGATTTGTCTGTGACGCCAGCGAGGGATGCGATAAGAAGACAGACTAAACTGGCGAGAGTTAAGCCAAATGGCACACCGACGCAAAGGAATCGACCGAAACCCATGATTTTGAGATACTGTAACGATTGGTGGTGGTGGTGTTGGTGTTGGTGTTGTGGTTCTTGTGATTATTCTATCGTTGATTATTTGGATATCGTAAAATCAAATACCAAGAGAAAGAACGAATGTGTTTCTTCTAAGATAGATAGATGGATGGAGGGAAGAAATCAAATGAAGAAAAGGACGAAGGGTCGATGTGAGTTTGTAATTTGTTGGTGTGAGATGGAAAGAGAAATAATGTGGAAGGGCAGGTTTGATATTTATTATTATGTCGCAGCTGTAAAGTAAGGGTACTGTGGTAGGCGGTGCAGTAGAGCAACGCAGTCTGTATGGGGCTGTGAACTATGAACTGTGTGAATGACGAAAAAACACAGACTTTTTTATGGGGAAATCCTGGTTGATTGTCGAAAGATTTGAGACATCAAGGGATCTTCGATGCTGTTTAATATGAAGGAAGGAATAGATTCCATTTGATATACATTATTCTTTACCATCATCGAATATTGATAACCAACAATATGCTGTACTCTGGACCTGATAGCCACCTAGTGATTTGGTCCTCGTCTCCCTTTCTCTCTTCCTCTCTTCCTCTCTTCCTTACTTACTCATCTCATTCCTATATTCAACCCTGACCTGGTCGAAGGAATATATCAATATACCACAAACTCGCATCTTAATCTCTCAAAGGACTATCACTGTTGTATCACGCCATCACACCACCACACTCTGTACTGTTTACCCTTTCAAGCCTTCCCATCTATCACCTCAACAACTTGTACTCCCCTCCTTCTCCCCCCTGAAGATGCAGAAGCTACAAACATGGCGACGCAACGCAAACACACCTACATTACTGCCGTATTCGCACCCACCCACCACTTTAAGATTTATATCACCGTGTGGCTGGATCCTTTCATTAACTCGTTGCCCTAAGCCCCTATAGGGATAGTTTCACCACTGATTCGTACCTGATTCATCGCCCTACCGTGGGTCACCCAATGAAAAAAGCCGAACTGACTGAAAAAATCTATTTATATCCCCTCTCCCTCGCCATTGTCTTTTTCCCAAACCCTACCGATAACCACTTTTAGCTAAGTCGAGTACTTGGTGGTCTCAAACACATCACCGGCTAGGTAATTTGGAAAAACGAACTGTTTAATACGAATGACAAAGAATTCGGAATAGTGCTAGGTATCTATCTTATGATGTATCGGTAATACCAAGTTTCCTACGCGAGGCTTTATGTTGCGTCGGAGAAGAGTATCATTGCCAAAACATCAAACAGCACATCGCAACCTCCATTCCTAAACTTCTCACCTCTCCTCCCTTAGTACGTAAAAAGCACGGTAACACTCCGGAAACCTTAATTTATTCTCATCAACAACCCATCCGTAGATATGGATATCCATCCCAATCACTGTCAATCACTGTCAATCCATCCATCAAAAGTATGGAGAAACCTCGCAGTCAAACTACGGTAGTCCGCTTGAACGGCTCGAGAGGTGGGTGTGTGAGTGGGTCACAAAATTCTTGCATACTTGCTCAAGCCTCCCAGCCTGGTGTGTGAAAACTTCAACTCCATAGATATCCCGCCATACCATACCATATCATACCATATCATACCATATCATGCCCCAAGTTCCTACGCGTCTTGTAGAGTTGCCAAGACCTTCAAAGTGTCAAGCCGTGCCGTGTCAACGTAATCCTGGACGTGGCTGAGAACTTTACAGAGAGGATATTCTGACCACATTTAATTATGGAGAAGAATAGATACTTGGAGAGAAGTAGATATATAACGGGGGTTGATCCGAAAAGTTCAGATCTTAGGTTCCCAATGACTTTCGAATCTGTAGAAGCCTTGATGAGCAGATAGGATTAAATGGTTACATGAGTTAGGGCACTGCGCGCGGGGATTAACATCGTTTCAGTGCCCTGTTACGGTGTGCTTTGGCCCCGTGTTGGCTGAAATGGGATAGACCCCCCCCTGCCTGCCATTCAGTGTCGATTTTGCTGGTTTGCTTATACGATATATCTTTCTTTCGTGCGGGGACACCGATATTTAAGTTTTGATGGGAGATTTGTTTCGCATGGGGAACTCACTCAACGTCGGGTGTCACCGTACGCATACCGGTATATAAGGAAGCTTATCTCACACTATGCCTAAATACTAGTTGAGAGCACTGATTACGAGGTATCATCTAAATGTGAGTATGTCTTGTCAGTGGAAGAACCAATGCAGAGACTATTTAATTCTAAATTTTGAAATGCGGCCTTGAAAAGTGCAAGTTAGATCTGTGAGATGTATCTTAAACTTGGAATAGAACATGAAAAGGAGGATCATGAGTTCTATTCGCTGATATGTATTGGATGTCTATACTAGTAATCGCTGGTTAAGATAGAAGACAAGTACTATGCTGTAGTTGGGTTCAAGGGATGAATCTGCTTTTAAGTTATGTTACCATTCAAAATAGTATCAATTCCTTCCATGCTGTCCATCACGATTAGGGAGGCTAAACCCATAATTAAAAAAACGAAACCAAAAAGGAAACAATTGCTAGCGCTACTACTATTACCAACTCGCTCAATAGCCTAAAAAACGCCTGAATTGGGTTGACACGTTGAAGCGATGTTCGGCTTTCCATATATCGTTTAATTCCTTGAGCGTAGCGTACAAAGTCTTCCTCAGGGAAGGGCTGCGGAGCATGATCGGAATTCGTCGCGAAGATCGTCAAATTATCTAGGGCTGATAGTCGATTCAGGCATTTCATAGTCAACGGCGACAGGCGACAGGCGGCTTCTGTTGCCTTTGGGGTTGCTGCTGTCTTTGGGTACTACCACGCAGAGCTTTCGTATCTTGTCCTGGTGTTTAATCCATATTAGGCGCTTCAGTGATTCCTCGGAAACAATAAAAATATCAATATCGAAGTTTACGAGAGCTTGTGCTGCAAACACATGGGAATTAGTGGGAAAATTGTAGCAATATAAGTTGTCCAAAGGAGGGCTAGACATTGGGGTGTACGACAAAGAAGAATGGACGGTACTCACGGGTAGAGCTTTCTTCTTGCGGAGATTCTGTAGATTGCGACGAGCGAGCGAGACGTTCATAATACTCTGGGCTAATGCTGTCAAGCATTGCTGTACCAATTTGGGACTGTGGATAATAGAGAATGAAGAAGCAAGGATCACCGGCTTCTTCTCGAGTGAGCATACGCCATGCATCAGGTTGGCCAGAATTTTCGGGAAGGAGAGTGCTTGTGCGAGAAGCAAAAAGCTCCTCGATGGGCAAATCGACAATTGCGGCGTCGTCAATGACAGCAACAGTGGCAGTAACGATACGCCTGTAAAGAAGTTTCCTTATCCATTTTAAATATCGAAATTCCCAATCAAGCGCTCTAAAGTTGAAAGGCAAAGTGTACCCGCGATAGTGTCTAGTTGTGCTTATCTCCTGAATGTTCATCTCAATTGATCCATGGCTGCCTTCGTCCTCACTGCTCCCCTGAGGCTCTGTTTTATCGAGTCCATGAACCAACTCACTCCTATTGTCCTGCTCTTGGTTTGTCTGCTGGACCACCTCCTGACCAGATTCTTGATCAAGCTCATATTCATTACTCTCAGGATGGGTCACTTGCTGGGGGGCCTGTTGAATCGCCTCTTGAATCTCCTGATCGCATTCGTGATCAAGCTCACACTCGTTGCTCCGATGATGATTCCCATGAGGATCCATTGTTTAATTGTAATGTGGTCCTATAACGATGTCTTTGGTAAAAACACAGGTGGATATACTATTACAGTGCTCCAAAATTGTGTATGAAGTTGGGGAAGATTACGAATTAGAACAGGATTGGAGACTAGATGAGTAAATAACAAACAAATCGGAAGAGGAGGAAAGTAAGGAAATGGAAAGGACGTAAGTATAAGTGATAATGGCAACCACAACTGGAATATACCTTCCCATGTACCAAATGATGGAAAGAGCACACAAGAGACTTAAGGTTGCTATGGTACCTTTCCCCAGAAATACCTATGCTATTGAAAAGCAAGGACAATGATGGACAGAGATATGAAGAATACTGGAAATCCTTCCCTGGAATAACCCCATGGACTCTCGAGTACTTGCACGACACCATTTTTTGCTACTTAGCAACGTGGAAAAGTTCACGTCTTTTTGGAGGAGATCGATCGATCTTGTCAGCCAATTCTATGGTTCGCATTTTGTTCCATGGAACAACGTCAAGTCCACATTGAGGTGTCTTTTTCTGACCAAGGTGTTTAACTTCGAGGAGATGAGCAATATCAGCAATGTGAAAGCAGCTTCAGTCTCCAGTCTCTCTTTCAGCTTAGCCTTCTCTTCATATGAAGGTATCAGATGGTATATCGGATGATGCAATTGCTCTTCTGCGTACGCCTTTGAATGTCCTTAAGGGTATCAAGATAATGACTTGTACCTTTTCCCGCTTTCTCCCAGACGTCTCTGATATTGTTCTTGTCACTCATGAGTATCACCTCAACGACAACGTATTGAACATCCCGACTGCTCTCCTACCTAGCTCTCAATATTCTCATGGTCACCCAAGATCGAATATCCTGTACTCCGTACCCAGGGCGATATGGTTCTAGAATAATCTAGAATGTAGAAGGCTCGGAATGGAATGAATATGGAACAGATATATGGAGATATCATAGGTTTATCTTGACAATCAATACGGAGTACATATCGTGTAACCTCGGAGGATATGAGTAGATATTTGATCAAAATCCATCATAATACGATAGAATATCGAGGGCTTCGAATCGGCGAATTTATAAAAAGTAGATTAAATCAAGATAATACGATAGAACAAATCCTTGAGTACTTCGGTCAGCACCTAGGAGTTGAAGTGATACTTTTTAGTTAGTTATGCTAAAATACATTTACTAATTTTGACTTCACTTGAGCTTCACTCTCTTTCTTGACTTTCTTGACTTTCTTCACCTTCTTAACTTTCTTTCCTCTCTTCCCTCGTCATCAAAATATGTAGTGCGATCGCCAAGCATTTTTTCTTCACAGTAACCAATCATTGTATGGAATAACGAAAGACCATCCATCATCTTTTGGGCCTTTGGCTCTTTTTTGGTCCCGGTTCCCGATAGCCCAAAATCAAAACTAAGAAACCAACAACCCCATTCAAAGGAACGAATTGGAAGAAAACAAGCAACCAACGGATCCCTTTACATAACGAAGCCTTTTTGATAAATTCAATCTATCTTTCATCATCAATTGTTGATTATTGATTCCCTTTTCTAGATGCTCCGTTGAGTCCTGGATTCCGAAGAAATTCATTTATAATTCGTCCACACCCCGTTGTACCATCTACCCACTACACACATCCATCGTCTTTGAAGCAAACCTATCGGTCTTTCAGGAAGCTAGAACGCATACGTTCTGGGACGAGCCGCTTCCGTCCCCCCACGATTGTCTACTCGATACAACTTTGGTAATACATCGAAAGTCGCTTTCGCCAATATACCTAGGCACTTGGGACGGTCTTCTCGACAATCGCAGTGTTCACGGAGCGGATCTCTATCTCGACGAAGACCTTAGCTTCAGCAAGATCGACTCAGCCTCAACGCTAGGAATTACTTAATCTTCAGTAAAGGTACGTACCAATCCCCATGCCCATGATATTCTTTGACCTCTTCCTTCACTGCTTGGATATACAAAGGTGACTTGCTTCATCCCGCTCAAGATACCGCCCAGCTTTCTGAAGGAGAATGTATAGTCGAACTCATGCTTACAACCGGATAGATAGTTCATCACAGTTTACCACCTTTCCGACAAAAAGCCTTCTTCAAAAGCCATACGAATTTGCTGTTACGATTGCATGCAACTCGAGCTGTCATTAGAACCATACGGCTTGTCTACTTCAGCAACATTACCCTACGATTAGCCACACGAATAGAGTACAAGATACTTGCCCAAGACAATCAAGGCAGTGCTCGGTGATATATTACAATTACTTGTCGACACAAGAAGCAAATATCCTACCTCTTTGGCTCATATTGACAGCTGAACGGCAGCGACATCTCTGAGTCATCCCGAATTACACGGAGCTGATACTCAATAAAGATCTGCTGGGTTCGCATATTTGAACTTGGAACGATGGGAAACCAACCCTCTAAAGGTTCGGGGTCTGCAACCCCGCGGAGAAGTGCTTCTCAAACGTCTCTTGATAGAGGATCGGATAACTTATCTTCTTATCCTTCATTTAGCAAAGCGGATACCAAGGAATCCAACAAATCATTCAGAGGCGCCCTTCGATCAAAAATACCAGGTTCCAAGGACAGTCCAAGAAACTCGATTGCTGGAATAGGCAGTCTCATAGATTCAAACGACAAATCCGATGTTGCTTCAATGAAATCGGGAAAAAGCACTAAATCGGGTCGGGCATCATCTGTACCAGGCTCACCAACATCACCTCAAGATTCTTCGGAAGACATCCCTTCACCAATCGATGATCTCAAACCTCCCCCATCGCCCGTTCAATCTGCCTCGGTGAAGTCTGGACATCATGATGTTAGCGCTGCACAACGTAGTGGTGAGGTAGATCATGTCTCCGACCAACCCCCTTCCGGCACAGTCAATCCTTACGCAGTCGGAGGTCGCGCTGGGCAATCTATACTGGTCAGGAGAGCAAATGAGATTAATCCTGTTGACACAGCTACCTTGCTAGCTGCTCCAATGAATGGATCTAATGAAACCGCACTCTCAACCTCAAACTCCGCACAAATCTCTATGGGTAGCTTGAAAGATAAAGATCTTGACGACTACATTTCGCGACTCTTGGATGCAGGATACCAGGGCAAAAGCACAAAGGGAGTTTGTCTTAAAAGTGCGGAAATCAACTCAATATGTCTTCGAGCGAGAGAGATTGTATTAGAGCAACCGCCACTGATTGAATTGGAAGCCCCAGTTAAGATTGTGGGTGATATACATGGGCAATACTCGGACCTTATACGCATGTTCGAAATGTGTGGATTCCCTCCCTCGTCAAACTTCTTATTTTTGGGTGACTATGTCGATCGAGGAAAGCAGTCCCTTGAGACAATTTTATTGCTCTTGTGCTACAAAATCAAATATCCTGAGAACTTCTTCTTGCTAAGAGGTAATCACGAGTGCGCAAACGTTACTAGAGTTTATGGATTCTATGATGAGTGTAAACGAAGAGCTAATGTCAAAGTGTGGAAGACGTTTGTAGATGTCTTTAATTGTGTATGTAGCCGCCTTTTGATCTAGTATAAATGCTTTTTGACTAACTTTGTGGTCAGCTACCTATCGCCGCAATTGTCGCAGGGAAAATCTTTTGTGTTCATGGCGGTTTGTCTCCCGCTCTTAGCCATATGGATGATATCAGAAATATCGCTCGACCAACAGACGTTCCTGACTATGGATTACTTAATGATCTTTTGTGGTCCGATCCTGCAGACCAGGAAGCAGATTGGGAGCAGAGCGAGAGAGGCGTTAGTTACTCGTTTGGTAAAAAGGTCATTCAGGAGTTTCTGTTAAGACATGATTTTGATTTGGTCTGTCGGGCACATATGGTTGTTGAAGATGGTTACGAATTTTTTGAAGGTCGAGTCCTTGTTACGGTATTCTCTGCGCCAAATTATTGTGGCGAATTCGACAATTATGGAGCCGTCATGAGTGTTTCGACAGAATTACTTTGCAGCTTTGAACTGCTGAAGCCATTGGACTCCAGCGCGTTGAAGAGCCAGATGAAAAAGAGCCGCAACAAACGAAACAGTATGGTCAACAGTCCTCCGCCGACCGGAACCTTTGCTCCACAGAGTGTATAATGAACTGTCGGATAAATTTCAAACAAATATAGACAAAAAGATTGCTCTGGATGGAAAATCCTATACATTCGAAGAAGAAAACCCAAAACAAGATGCGATATCAACAATTACGGGGCATGCCATGATTTACGCGCTTACAGAGGGCATCCACGAGTGGCCAAGTACACACAGGACTAAACCGTGGCCCGGAAGAGATTTTGGCCACTTTAAAATGTCTAAACGGTCGAGGCTCATTCTTCACGGCATCGAGAAGGTTAAGATAGATAGTGGAAGCTGGAGGCTGGGGGCTGCCCGTAGATGTTATATGCACACATTTGATTTATTTTCTTTTCCTGCGGATAGTTTCTTATCTGCGATATTAACAGGCTCTCCCCTTTCTCGAAAGTACGACACGGAAACGGATACATTTTATATTGGCGTTATTTGTTTTGGTACGTCTCGGATGGGGGACAGAAGATCACAAACATAAACTCTACTTTTCCTTCGCCTCTGTAGAGTACACAATCGCTGTTTATGAACATACAGATGGGTAGGTGGGTGATGGACGGTAGGTATGTATGCTGGGTCAGTGGTGTATCTGGTATTCATAATATGTGGAGCAGAAGTCAGAGTAGAACTCAGTGGCATCACTGGAGTGGGGAGTTGTTGTGAAGGGTGACATGGCATAGAGACATGGAAGCTCTTGAGCATGGTGTTGATTGACTCGACTTACTCATCAATTGATGCAATCGATAGATGACGAAACGATATGAGATTATAAGCGTTCTTCAACTTCTGATCTTTATACATGCGTGACCATTTGAGTGATGTGAATAAAAAGTTTGTATCTTTCTTTCTACATCTGGTTGTATTATTCTGGATGAAAATCAGAGAAGATCAAGTCCTTCAACGCAAAATTCCAAAATCGAGATCTCGTCTTGTAGTGATTGGGAAGTTTGAGATGAGATGCCTACTTTAAGCATAACCATGTTGTACTTGGTACGGAAGCTTCCAAACCTCTTTTGTTCTCGTCTCAACTTGTTTCACCAAGCAAGTCTGTAGGCTGTTACTGTGGGAAGACTCCTCACGAACTTTCTGAGAAGTTCCATACTTGAGGTAATGCTGTCTGGCCTCCATTTATAGACTTGCAGGTGCAAATTCGTCTGGGAGTTTGATTACGCAATTTGGTTTTTTGGTTTTTTGTGGTGGCGTTATGTTGCTGCTGTTCATATCCGGGTATTCATTTGAAATGGGATGTGATGTCCACGGGGGTGGAGGGATACCTCGTGAATTCCAACCTATGCGTTCTTGGGAACGAGTTGTAGTTATCAGGAGTACTCTGGGTATGCTCTAGCAGGTTGTTAGAATAGGCTTTACAGGTACTGGCTAAGCGAGATGGGGGAGGGGGTTTTATATTTTTGGGAATGGGGAATGGGGAATGGGGAGATGTAAGTGGTGTGTGTAAGGATTTTTTGGGGGGTAAGTGCAGGTTGATAGGATAGAGATTTGTGAAAGCTCGGGAAAACTTGGGTTTGTTGAGATGCTTTTGGGAGATGAGGGGGTAGGGAAACGAGTTTTAGGATTTGGTTGCCGATTTTGTTAATAGTCTGCGTAGATGGAACTGACAACTCTAAAGGAGAATAAACCAAAGTTTTAGGATTCGCGTATTGCCGAGTACTAAAGCTTCTATCTAATATTAGGGGCAACTGCTAAATCCAAAGTTCTGGGGACCAATGTTTTGCTGGTTATGCAGCTGGAGACGAAGTGTGTAGGAATGGCCCTTTGAACAGTCACAATTCAATCATGAAGCTACCAATTGTTTGATGATGACGAGAAAACACTTGATTAGAAGTAATAAATAATGGAGGTGATGTGGATAAAATCTGCGCATGGCCAAAAGAACGATGGGGAATAATCGCATGGCCAGCGAATATCAAATCAGCATTGTCGCATAAGTTGATGGCTTACATGTATTATTGACCCTACGAATGCCCAAACTTATGACAAAGACTAGGAGCACAACTAAGTATGAATACCGGTCTAATCTACGGCTAGATGGTATCTAGAAAGCATGGCTTTGCAAACTTGCCCCGAATCTCTGATCCTGGAGCCACTGAGAAAGAAGATCATAACCAATTGTCGACCTCTTCAAACTTCATCCGACATATCCAGGACTTGAGCTTCCTGAGAATTTCCAAGTCTCCTAATGAACTTTTACTCAAGATCAGGCTTGGAAATAAACTTCCGGGGCTTGAGTTTAGTCTTTACTGGCAGATGGGCGATCTCTCTTCGCTCTCAGCCTCCCGACTTTCAACCAACCCGTACGAAGTGGATGGGGATCTCTGGTGAATAAAAGGAAACCATGAGATCGTTCCTTCTAGTGTCGAGGTAGCAATTGATTTCTCGGATCTTGAGAGCTCGCCATCTTGAGTGTACTCATTGGAGGTGGGAAGTAGCCGGCTCAACGAATTGACGTTCTCTGGAGATGTGTCCTTGAAATAATTATAACAGCCAGTTGAGATTATGACTACCAATCCACCCATTATCTTCCACGCGGTGAAGCCCGATGATCGTAATGCTGGGAATATGACATACTGAGTTGCCGCAATCGTGAGCAGACTAATCGAAGTTCCAACCAATTTCGTAAGATTGTCTTTTTTCCGCAGCATAGCAGCAACGATCAAGCCGACACCGGATGTGAGACATGAGAAATATATTGCAATCGTTGCAGTAGATGTTACCGAGAGATTCGAATTCGTCCCGCGATCAGCCGTCATCCAAGTAGCGATGGGGTATGAGATGATGGAAAAGAAAACTCCCCAAAGGTAAAGCCATAGTTGAGATTCCCAAAATGACCCAGTCTTGGTAAGAGACTCGCTAGCAATGCTAGCGATCGCAGAAAATCCCGCTATCACCAGTCCTGCCATAGGAGCCACAAGCCAACCCTTTGTATCATCGCCCGAGGGGATGTTGAAGAGAAAGAGCCCAGAGCAGAGGGATCCAAGAGATATCCACGATCTAGCGTTTCCTTGCTTCCTAACCCAGAAATGATGCAGGATCGCCGTCGCTGGGATTTTCGCAAGCATACATACTTGGAGAAGACTCGGCGATGTGGAAGGCAGGATCGTGAAATATATCAGGTTATTGATGAGGTAAAAGGCTGCTGGAACACCGTATTGCAGAACATCCCTGAAGCCGTTCCTATTGAACTTTTTTCTTATAGAAGAAAGACCTTCCTCAGAATGATTGATAATTATAGCTGCGATAGCAAGCTTTAGAGTTTCAGAAAGAAGCGCAATCAATGATGGAGTTATCTGAGGAGCCGTATGAAAGGCAAAGTATGCGTAATTTGCGCGTATGGTTTCTCCAACGATATAGATTGGGAGGAGGTTGTCGGTGAAGGAACTCATGATTCAATGATATGAGGAGGATTGATCCGAAAGATTGAATACAGAAATGAAAGAACACATCTTACAGTGAAAGCCTTGGCTGTCCTTACTTACTTATCAGTGTTCTAGAAGCAAGCAAGGGGCACAACAGAAACGGAGAATTTGTCTCATTATTTGTTGTTTGGATCTATTTCCATCAGCTGGCTTTTCCATACCAAATATGATTGATCGTGCTAGAAAGGTGGAATATGAACAGAACATTTTTATCGTGCAATTGAAGTCGGCAATGATTGTCACAAGTAATTTTTTTCTCTCCATAAACATTGACCTACTTATACACACATCTCACGATAATGATCATGACGAGAAGGAGGAGATAGATAAACTATGTATGAATGACTATGTGCATATGTGCTACGGGCAAATGATAAAAGAATGATGCCACATCTGGAAACTTTTCATCTCCAACTCTTACTTGGATAAGTGAGTGCTCAACAAGATGTCATGAGATCAAGAGATGTCAAAAGTTTATCTGCGTCTAGATCTACAGTGCGATCGACGCACAAGTGAGTACAGAGGGGTTGTGCTTATGTAAGATCAAGATCTCACCCAACAACTGTATCTAAAAAAAATTGATGCTGAAGGGTAAAAAAGGACGCTAGCAATAAAACAACGTTGAGTAACATCGCGTCTGATCCAAAGGTATATAATATATTTCTTACTTCCAAGAGCAAAAAAAACAGATCCGGAAAGTGCAAAAGATAAACTTTGGGGCGTTGCCCGGGATTGAACCGGGGACCTCTTACATGAAGGATTAATCACGAAGACTAATCGATCCCTAAGCAAGAATTATACCACTAAACCACAACACCTTATTGATTGGTGATCTGAGAATAAAAAACCAATATAATGTATGCTTTTTATCTCTTTCACTGCTATCTTTCGTAAACAAGCATCTTACATCTTCATCCCCATGATCAATACAAGCATCATTTTATTAAGTATTGCGATATTTGAATTCCAAGCGTTTAATACCCAAAGTAAGTACTTGAGTTGTCCGTTCCATCGAATAAATCATTCGTTCTACTCGCGCGAATAGTATGTAAGCATATTAATGAACTCAACCACGTTCCAACATCATCATGCCCTCTTTTTATACTCCTCATTCAAGTCTTCAGATTTTTGATCGTTCATATTTTTTTTCCATAAAATAACCTGAGGTAAGTGGAACTTTTCTAATCTTGTTCCACAGCTTCTACCATTGTACCAACGACAATGTATCCAGATTAAGCCATCTCGGGCTATCTCTACCATGATGTCAGCATCTAACATCAACTCGCCTTCTGAACCTCATTCTAGCATAGATCTATTGGTAGGCCAGACCGGATACATATATCATTAACTAAACTGCAATTGTCATCATTGCTGATCAGCACAGCAGCTTTGAAGACAAGTGGTTCGTCCCGCACTCAGTGACATAGAGGTTTATGTTAGACATACCATTGGTGGTGGAGATCAATACTTTGGTCAGTTACATCTGCTTCTGTTCTTAGCTAAATAAGCATTTTCACAGATGCCAGATGATAAGACTTTTACTCATCATCTCACACAAGTTTATTCCAGCAGGATTACATCCTTCTCGGCGGGCTGGTGTCTGTAGTAGATATAAATAAATTTGAATGGATAATGAAAGCTTAGAAATTATATAAGTGTTGCATAACAAATTTATTAATTGTGAAACCAGCCTCTCATCATATAGCGAACCAGAAGTTTCCCCTCCATCCTCTCCTTATTCACCCGACACAATCATACCTGAAAACGACCGCTGTGGGTACTCTGTAAAAACTGGATCATGAATGGAGACTTAATTGATACGTTGTCGCTTCTCACTAGAGTTGCGCGACTGCAAATGTAAATCTATGTCTCTCGATTTCTTATCAGATTCTTGTGCCGCTTCTGGTGGATTTAATAGCGAAAAAATTGAAATGGGCTTGGTGTCAAGAGGCTTTGCTGCGATAGCTTGTGATTTCACGTCCGGATCTGCTTTAATAATTCTTAGCTCGGCGTATGGGTCATCAGGAACAGTCCTTGGCCCGGTTGATAGATTGGCAGTGACAGTTCTTGAATCAACAACATCCCATTTAAAAGGATCAAGCGCGACATTTAGAATTTGGTTGGCTACAAAGTCAGCCTCAAGCTGATTTGATAGCTCCATGATGCCTTCGTTCTTCAGATGGGCCATTGCTTCATCGAATTCCACACCTTTTAGAGAGTTTGGACTCTCCCACCTATATTATTAGTATACTGATCTGAAGGAAGAGAAGTATATCGACTTACATATCGTCTGGTATCTGTGGGATCAAGAATAGGGCGCCTTTGTCAAGAGCCATACATATCTTATTATATCTCGCCCCAGCAGTGACCCAAACTTGTAGGTTCGCTTTAACGACGTCCGTCTCATCAGTGATTCTGTTGCATTGTGTGAATGCTGTGATCAGTCGTTGATGTAGAACGTTATGCAATCTTTTCGTCATCATTTTCTGCCCATGACCAAACAACAATGCGAGCTGGTATAAGAAGCTAACGTGGAACCTTCGAAAGATGATGTCTTGCGCCTGTCGCAGACGTGAATTCCGGACCACAAGGTACGACTCAATAGCGACGTCCTCAACTGACCGATTAGTATTCGAAATCTCAAAGGGCTGCCAAAATCGGTAGGGATTCTCCTTCCATACTCGATAGTGATCGTGCACACTAGGCGGTAGATAAAAGCTATGAGCAATGACGAGTGCCAGCACTGGACTTTTAGTCTGCTTCTTTTTGGTTTGGTTGGTCTTGCGTAACATTTCCTGAGCAGCTCTTTTGTATTCTGTGGGTAAAGATGTGAGGATATCGCAGAGAAAGCTGGTAAACTGTATACGAAGTTATAACTATCTCTCCCGACAAAGTGCAGGAAACGACATCACTTACCTCTTCCTGATCTAACAAAGATTCTACGGTCTGTTCTACATCGTAAACTTTCAGCTTTTGAATAATACTACCGACGGTATGCTTATCATGCGACATGCTGAATCGAGGAGGAAACTTTATAAGAGCCACAAGACTCTAGGAAACTGATCGCCTGGAAAGCGTGTAGAGAGATTAGAGGGCTGTGATGAAAGAAACTTGGAGAAATTCATTCGAAAGAGCCGTTTGGAGGTTTCAGCTAAAGGATATGCAGAGGGAGCCAGAACAATGATTCAATTTTCCAGTCAACAATTAACTGCTGAGATCAGAAGAACTTACAATTTACAAGAAAACAACCATGAGCTGACAACGGGATTGGATAATCTTCCGAGCTTTTGCGCTTAGCTATTTTTACCCAGTGTCCCAAGTGGTTTGCGAAAAGGGTTTAGCGACAGTGACAACGCACTGTTCAGGGCCTTGTTGGTAGTAAATTGTTTTCACTTAAGATCCCGGATGAGTTACAAAAGGAGGTTATCGCATGGGCTACATGCATCAATGTTCTTTCAGCTCCTAGTTCACCAAATTATGTTCATTTCTAATCCTAAACGTCTATGAGAAGAAATCGGCAGAGGGATTAGGACAGAACCAAAGCAATTGGTCATTGCATATACCCTGGCATGCGGTATCAACGAATCAGTCTGATTGGTTTCGGTAAAGGAAGTTTAGCGCCGGAATTTTCTACCTCCTTTAAACCTCTGTCTGCATTGGTTTCATGTGCTCGTCTCCGATGCGAAAGACGTTCTTGTTTGTGGTGTATGGTAGGAATCAATCTTGGACCGATTTGCCATTGCATACCAGGTATCATTGGTTATTTTGTGATGTGTGATGATGGTATCAGGCTGTCTTCTTTGAATGGCCGATATTCACGCCTTGATATATGGAGAGATAGATTGTTCTAAGAGAAAAAATGAACTTGAACGTCAGTTGATGTATGATTGCCTGAATCCCAATTGACTCAATAATTAAAGTGCCACGTTTCATTTCCGTGCTATTTCTCCAATATAATATTTATCTTCTATATACCTAGAAATAATCATTGAGATGAAGAACGCCATCTTCGACAACGATAAATCAAGACAGACCTCAAGCAATAGCCCTAATGCAATTCTAGTTTTGTGCCGGTGAAGCCAAATATTTAATGTTACCACTGAATATATCTTGGTACGAAGTGCCAGACGACTTCCGAAGTCTGAGACCAGAGGTGCACAGGAAGAACAAGCATGACTACCGCCAGTGAAGAGGCGTGGAAAAGTTGTAGCCGATGTAGATGGAGATGTAGTTGTGAGCAGGTAAATTAAATTGACAATGTGTAGGCTGGCAAGTAAAGATCGAGATGGAACGATGGGAGGACAGAATGGGCAGATGAGATAGCAGATATTAAATGCTGGCCGCATGTCCTCAAGGAAATCAAAATTGCTTATAAGCAAGCTTGAATTTTTTCTCAGATCGCGAAGGTAGATGGCTAGGACATATAAACTAAACTTCTTTTGGGGATACCAGTAAGCATTGCAATACGACTCTTTGATGAGGCTGTATGCCCCTTTCGAGGTAAGATTCGCTTCCAATAAGTCATGATGCGCCATCTTTAACTTCCTCTCGTATGGTGCAGACTGATGTAAATGTATTTATGGCAACACACTTGCGTGACTCACAATGCTCCAGGCGTGTTGGACTGAAGTGTAGCTCTAACTAGAGCTAGTATACTTCGCAAAAGCGAATGGTTAACTATATCTCAATCTCTTGATGGTATCAAGTAGTATTTCAAAAATATCTTTGAACTTGTTCTTGATCGTACACTTCGTAGACTGGTGATGAGTGGATCAATGTACGATGAGAGACGCTCAGCGATCGACGAGATGTAACAATGGGGCATCATCAAATTTGATGGGTGCAGTGGGGAACCAACGAAGCGGTTTGAAATCGTAAGACTTGGAGGAAGAAAGAGAGCAATTTTGTTCTTTTCGGAGCAAAAGGATGATATAACGTCCGAAGCTATGTTTTTCAATATGATCGTCCGCAAGTTTGTGTTTGTGATGGGCATCTAACGCCTCATGCGTCAATTGCACGCAAAATTCTGAGAAAGCACCAAATCAAATAACTGTAAAGGTAATTGTTGAAATCTATAACGAACAGAAGGTCGTCATGGAAGAATGGAGTCCATTTTGGCATTGAAACAAACGCGTGATGGAGATATTTCAAAGGATTGTTTGCATGCATGCGCCAAACGGTTTCTGGTCAACAGTTGAACTTTCAATAAATCAATTCGCTGTCGTCTTCAACTCGAATGACGAGGGAAGTATTGAGTCGGCATCAAGATAAGTCATATAAATGAGAATACAATGAGAACACTATGATTTCTTGTAGACATATCGTTCAAAACACCAAATACTTTCCCCCGCCCAAAGAAGGCCTAGTACGTTGAAGTGGCTCGGTGGGGTGACTTTGAAAGTGGGGCACAATAGCTATCATTTTTCTACGACATACTAGGTAGGTACGGACGGAGTAATTATATCGTCGGATGGTAGATGATTAATCGCATACAATGCAAATTATCATACCAATCATTCATCTTCGTACTGTCCCGTGCTGTTCTTCCTATTCTGTGATAAAAGTTTGATATCAATACGATTACATCAAGGCAGAAAACGGGCCAAATATGTATAAATCGATGACAAACGGACCAACCATCAAAATTTGGGTTCTCCGGCTAAAACGAAATGGTTAGCGCCATTGAAATCTCTTTCCTCTGTCGTGATTTGTACCGTGTGCTAATTGAACGTCGTAGTGGATATTCTCGGGAATATAAAGGCGGCACACTACGGAGTACTAAATGACTTGCTAGGTACCGTGTGACTAGTATCACTTCCATCTTCACTTGTTTCCTTCTTCCCAAACCCATTCGTTGGTAATTTTTAGTCAAGTCCTAGATAACCAGTGACAATATGGTTCACAAGGGGGAAGACAACAAGAGTGTCATAATTGAGGCAAGAGATGATGCTCAACTAGTAAGTAATTGCTTTTAACATCAATCAATCCTGATGATGAATGACATTCAAACTAATCTTATCTACTCGTTCAGGAAACTCTTGGCTACAAACCCGTGAGTCAAAATTTTAATCCAAAATACAACGACTCAAAAACTCACAAATACGATATAGGTGTTACATCGTACATACACTCTCTTTGAGAACTTCTCAACATCGTTCGCTGCCTTGTACTTCGTCGGAGGTGTAAGAGTCACTTACACCACTGGAATCGCCTCCGGAGGTCCTTTAGCTTATTGGTTAGTTGTGCACCTGGAATCTAGAACTTCTCACATGACTTCTAACACTTTTAACTATATAGGACCAGTTATCTTGTAACATGCTTTTTTACCTTCATTACTGCAGCCGTTATAGCAGAAGTCTGTTCTGCGTCACCCTCAGCTGGCTCCATCTATCTCTGGGCAGCTGAAGCTGGAGGAGCCAAGTATGGTCGACTTTTAGGATTCGTTGTTGCGTGGTGGAGTACTACTGCTTGGATGACATTTTGTGCAAGTAAGCTGATCTCGAATTCATGATTCTTGAAATTTATTCTAATTACTTGCAGGCAATACCCAAGGAGCTGTCAATTACATGCTTTCGGTAAGTCAACGTGCACGTGATATCTGCACAGCTCCACGAGCGAATTCTGGATTTCATTGCTGGATGTTGCCTAACATTTATCAGGAAATTGTTGTTTTCAACGTCGATTTTCCAACGGATACCAGTGATATCAAGTTCCGGGCAGTTCAATGGATTTGTACTGAGGTTCTCCTTGCACTAGCCGCAATCGTGAATTTTCTACCACGTGAGTTATCACACTTAATTGGAACAATTGTTAAATATTGACATATGAAACAGCCCGTCTATTTAAGTATGTTTTTTGGATATCGAGCTTTTTAGTCATGCTTGATTTCCTTCTCAACCTCATCTGGCTACCAATAGGAGCTGCCCGAACCATCGGTTTCCGAACTGCAGAGGAGGCGTTTATGACAACTTACAATGGAACCGGTGCACCTGCTGGATGGAATTGGTGTTTGTCTTATCTCGCTACTGCTGGTATCCTCATTGGATTTGACGCTTCTGGACACGTTGCCGAAGAAACTAAAAACGCTTCGATCACAGCCGCCAGAGGGATATTCTGGAGTGTGATTGTAAGTGGAGTAGGAGGGTTTGCCACCATCATTCTATTTCTGTTCTGCACACCTGATCCGGATACTCTGTTCTCTTACGGCTCGCCTCAACCATTCGTACCTCTCTATGCCGTTGTCTTAGGACAAGGTGGACATGTCTTCATGAACATCATTGCAGTGGTTGCACTTTGGTTCAATACCGCGATTGCTATTGTCGCTGCATCTCGACTTGTCTTTGCAGTGGCTCGTGATGGTGTTCTTCCATTCTCGGGCTGGGTATCACGTGTCTCACCTGAGGGTCAACCCCGTAACGCCGTCCTTGTGATTTGGGGTTGTGCCTCGCTTGTGACTTGCACCATCTTACCTTCTGCAGTCGCATTCACATCCCTCATATCCGCTGCTGGTGTTCCATCGGCCGCCGCATATGGACTTATTGCTTTTGGAAGATTTTTCTTGACACCACATACATTTCCCAAGCCAAGATGGAGTTTAGGTAGATGGAGTAGACCATTTCAATTTATCTCAATCTTTTGGAATGGTTGGGTTGTGGCAATCCTTTTCAGTCCTTATGAATTCCCTGTCACTGCAGCTACATTGAATTGTAAGTACCCCTCCATTATTTCTACAGCCGCTCACCACTCTGCCACATACTAATACATCACAGATGCGCCAATAATTATGGCAGGTGTAACAATCCTAGCTCTAATTTCCTGGTGGTTTACACCCGTAGGATCATGGCTCCCACGAGAACGCATATCACATTTCGTGGAAAGTGAAGGAGCGCCAGCGGAAGGCCTCCGACAAGAACCGGATGAACAGCTTCAGGTGCCTGAGGTAGAAGGGGACGCGGTCCCAGCTACTTATTCTGAGAAGTGAGATACTCGATGATCGCCTTGACTTTTTCTTTTGAAGGATTAAGATACTGATCTTCTTTCTGTGTATTAAAGTGGAGGGCTTTTAGACGGGACCGCGCAGGAACAAGGAAATCCTTGAACACATTGATGCGAGAGTATATAGATTTGAAAGAACGGCAATCGTTGCAGTATAAATTTGAGAATGGTTTCATATACATAGATTAATAATACCTAGATCTTTCGGAAGATATTGATTTTATGAGATCACTGGCCTTCCAACGATCAAAATTGCAATTCAAAATTTGCAATCATTAGCTTTTGAGTTGCTGATGAGATGTGGTACACTGGGCTATTATGGGGTAACAAATCGTCTTGCCGCATCGGGTTTTTACTCTTTATATTGCCTGTTGTAATCGGCAATCGCTACCTAGGTTGTAGCCGTACTGAAAAGTTCTTTCCCAACTTGTCCAAACATCTCAGCCCCCAAGAAAGAACCAGGCCTTCCTCACAGCCCACTGCACTTTCCAAATCCACATTAAATTCTATGCCTGTTTGAAACCAGCAGGACCTGTCCACTCCAATTCCCAAGGTTTAACACCAACACGCACACCATTCTCATCAACGTTGACGCATCGAGAGCACTTCTCATGTTCGCATTCGCTATTGACCACGAGGATTTTCTGCTCTTTTCCCCGAACGACACCGATTTTCTCTTCTTCTCTTCTGCAAGTTGGCGAATTGGATGCTTGCTGACACTATATGCATATTTCAGTTTGTGTAGATCGCAAGGAAATGGAAAATGTAGTGATAAAATGTGCAAAAAGGAGAAGAGAACACTAACTTGGCAACAGCGGAAGAAAGAAGCAGTTGTGAATTTATCATCGATATTTTTGGAGGGGGCACTTGAGTTTTCTGAAGATTTTTCAGCAGACTGTTCAAGGATGTCGGCTGCGCCATCGAGGAGATTGCTGGTGTCGATGTGGGATTGTCTCTTCTCGGATGCGCGGGCAAATAATCTGGACTCGGAAGCTTCGTCGTTGGGCTTTGATTGCGTTAGATATGTCTTTTGGAGAGGGTGAAATGAGGAATTATCGCATGATAAGTCTTCCTTTCCTCTCTGGGACCCAAAGCAGATCGATAGAGATTCAGAGTCATATTGACAATGAGAAGAAAGTCCCACATTTGAGTATGAATAGTAGAGAACATACCATGCTATTGAGTAAATTCAAGATAGAAGGATTGAAAGGACTGGTGGGATTATTGCTTTCGTAGAGAATTGCTCGATTGCGCATGATGATTGCCGTTACGCTATTCTCAGCAGAGGCACCAGTAGCATTGCGAACAGCAGGGACAGAAAATGACGACATATTGGCAGATTAATTATTGAGGAGTACAATAATGACAAAGATTAGCATCAAAGAATTCTTGTCCAGCGATCAATTGATGGAAGAGTGATTGTTTAAAAACAACTTGTGTTGGAAAGATGGTGGTTGTGTTTTGAAGAAAGGGGATTTTCGGCTCGGGGTCCTGCCCTTTTATTGGCTGGAATTTTGCTAGGGAAGCTTCAACCGTATTGTTTTATTATAGTGGGTTTTTTTCGATCCGCTCTTGACTGAATCATTAAGCTGGTGCAGTAACAAAGATTAACTCATGATCTCAACAATTCACTGATTGGGCTGAAGGCCTGGTGATCAAATTCATTAATGGCTTTGCACAGTCAAAATAGTGGCTACACAAGGTGTGGATCTCTACTATTTAAATGGCTTGAAGAAAGGGTCTGACCTAAAGGGTCCGGCCTGTAGGATGAGAATCTTCTAATGACTCTAGAAACTGGATGCTATCATCTCATTCCCAATTGACGAATTCTTGGTGAGGTGTCTTTTAGAAGCAGGATTAAGACGCTTAAGTGGCCAGCATATTCGACAAGATGTTTCAATTTTACCACATTGCTTCTTTAATTCGGTTTCTATCTCTTAATGGGGGAAACTAATAGCACTGAGGTATTGGATTAGATTTCAAACATCATGGTGTTTTGTCCCAAATCTTGTATTTTCTCCCACCAGGAACTGATAGATATCACACCCCTGTTTCACATTACAACAGTATGTTCTTCAGAGAAGCTTGAACTTCCATTCAAAAGCGATCTTGACCACTCTACAAGTATTTACTAATGTTTCTCAAGATATTGTAATGGCAGATGGATACCACAGTTGCTTGAGATGAGGCCTACGAGGTAGATATTCATAATATTACATCTGGATTTTTATGAAGGGAAGGAATTATGTATAATGATGATTACTTTATTATGAATGGCAACAATCTATAGTTTCATCTGAAACTCATTTGAAGCGTGTGTTATGTCACAGAGACTAAGGTGACATTCATAACGACATCAAGCTTTTTTTTCAAAAAAAAAAGATCGATGAAAGAATCAAGAGAGAAAGATAATCAAATGCACTACAGAGGCAAGAGCATGAAGATCAAAATAGCTTATTTATGATTGTGAATACTGGTCAGACACTTCTTCTATAATAGCACAAAACGAAGCTTCGTTCCGAATGGAACATGCTATCCATTCAGCACCCGTCCAGAATCCATCCAACACCCTTCAAACACCCCTTCACATTCTTCTCACTGACTTCGCCATTAAGAAGATTCAATAGTCCCAATTTGATCTCTCAAGAGGCACTCCGAGTCAACACCCATCTCCTGTCCTCTCTTCAGGTACCTGGATTGCTACCGTTGGCAGCTTCTTTGGCCTGCTTATTGAAAATGATGATACTTTTTGTTTGTGCATCTAACCATCTTGCTTCTGCCTTTATTTTCCTGGTTTCTGAGTTGATTTTCCTGATTGATGCTCTCTTCCTCTGGAGTTTCAGGTCAAGAAGTTTGTCAGAATGTTGCTTCTGTACTGGCATCTTAGACATCATGAAGAATATGTGATGTGGTACTTGTGATTCGAAGTCAGGTTTTCGATGCTTGTGGTAGTGATGGTGTAATGATGGTGTAATGAAGGAACTGATGTGAATTGATGTACTGATTTGAACCTATTTTTGATAATCATGTACGGGATAATATACCGTAAGCATGTGCCTTTGTGAGTCATGATATAAAACGCCCGCAGCACAATAGGATTGATGTAGAACTAGACAGTATCTCCCAGAAACAAGATATTAAACAATCAAAGAAGTTTCTGGAACTGCATCAAGAAAAATTCTGAGACACCATGCGTCGGTCACTGTGGATAAATGTCAAAGAACTTAGCGAAAATATCAAATTCTGCAAAAGTTTCCAATTTCTTCGAAATTCCAGAAACAGCCATAGAACTGTATCTAAATTGAGGAGGTGCAAGTAAGATCTTGGGTTGTCAATTTTCAAGCTCATGATATAGTTGTAGTAAAGTATAATGACTTCGAGATCTTTGGGGTAAGTCCCTGTGTCTAGTTAGATCTGGATACTTGTGTTATAATATCTCACAGAGCCTCAGGAAAGCCACAGGCCATTCTCACTAAGCACAGATATGTCCCTTGAACTGAAATATGAAAAGCAATTAAAATAAAGAACTGCAAGTTTATCGACTTTCCACACCTTATAAGTTTCGGGGAGAAAGCTCAAAGTCCAGATTTCCCAAATTCCCAATTCTCCCATATCCTCTATCTTCCCCGTAGTCCATGTAATAACACTCTCATGTTGATCATGAGAGACGAAAAAAGCTCATGGCATACGTGTACCGTAATGAATTTAGCTTCATTCAATCTTAGTAATGAAGTTCGTCTCGCACTAGAGTTCGCTTAGCCAAGCAGCTTAGGGAGTCTACCATACCTAGCTTCATCCACACTCACTTTTACCGTATTCAATTATCGATACTGAGTACACTTCAGAATCTGCGTCATTCATATCTTACGGCACCGATATATATTTTCATACAGCTCAAGTCAATTACATTCTAGATATCACCATCTCCTTTTCCTCATCACGATACCGTACCGATGCAAAAAAAACCCGTATTCTCTTCTAGAATCTTTAATGACCCGAGATAAATATTCAGCATCATCATTTCATATTAAATCTTAAAATCTCAAAATACCAAAATACCAAATACAAATAACACCTCTCCAATGTATCATTCACAGAGAAATTTCAGGCTTAAGTCGAAGATGGCGCCTCAACCGAGTCCCCTGTCTGCCTCATTCTCGGACTCGGAAGGTGACCACCCGCAACGTCAGGATCGTGAAGATCTTTCTCCGGAGCTCATAAAAAGTCTCAAGCGAGCTTGTCGGAATCTCGAGAGACGTATGATTGAGGAAGAAGAGAAGATAATGTGGGCAGCGGTTGCAGCAGGAAAGTCGATCAAGGCGACGAAGCGATGGAGAGGAAGAAGTCCTGCAGGAAGCGAGAGCTCAGAGAAACGAAGAAAAACTTGAGATAGGGATTTGCAATCACTTATTTTTGTGATATGGAGGATGCAGTTGGCTACATCATATTATCCTACTTTGGTTACCGATATGGTGTACTGTTAGACTACATCTAGGAGGGTGAAGTGTTTGAAAAGTTATTAAGATGATGGATATTTTGCTCTTTCAACACTGCAAAGAAGTCCAGCATATCATACCAATTCCACACCTGATTGATCCAATGTACAAAATTTACTATGATTTTAAAGGTGCCCAGTGACTTTCACGTACCGGAGGACTAGTAAAAGCTTTTGTTTAGTTTAGATTATTGGACGTACTATTTAGTAATGACATATGAGTCCGTCTTTCACCAAATGTTAGGGTTAAGCTAGAACGTTAGTAAATTTCTTTCCAAACTGAGCATATCTATATAAATCTTTTCAGTTTCCCCCTCTCCCGTAATTATCACCATCAAAAACGCCAATTATCTGCTCCTTCAATTCTCATCAGACGACTACATAGCTAGCTATCTTACAATTATCTTACTATCTTATGATATCTTATTGTAGTTATCACAATTGTCTCACAATTATCTAGCTATGTTAGCACCTATTACTATATCATCTGAACCTGACACCTACAAGATGGCTTCACATGTCAAATATTTAAACATTCCCCAAATAGGAGGCTGTAGAGCTCCAGGCGTCAGTTGTCGACGATACCAAGAAAATAAGATCATCCAAATTCTCCAGCACAGTTGTGGTATGCCTTCTGAAGTGGCAACTCCATCACCAGAATGCAATTGCCAATCACTTGAACCCGACCGCCATGATGCTTCCACAGACTGCGTAATTGTATCTTTAGATGTCGAGACAACAAAAAAACCAGAGAAAGCCCAGAGAAATTGGCATCTATACGCTGGATACAAGAGACCTTGATATTTCGAAGAAAACGTCGACGCCTGAGATGAATCATATCTTGAAGACATACGGCTTTTACACTGGTGTTTACCGGCACAAGAACAGAAGGAACTTTCACTATGGCAAAGAGGAAATGATGACAGGGCATGATCTAAAGAGTATGCTTGAACAGGTTTTCCGTACTGGAAGCCCCGTACCTCAATCATCAGAAACTCGCCAAGTGATTTTGGTAGCGAATGGAATTTGGACCGATCTGCAAAATCTACGGAATCTGGAACAGATTTAGAAGACTTGCCAAATGTTATTCTGCTTGACACAACTGATGTTTTTAAGCATCTCATTAAGGAGAACACAAGACTGTGCCTCTGGGCTATGTTGCATTTTTTTCAAATACCTGACCGCAACAGTTTGCTTCACAATGGCGGAAATGATGCGAATTTAACTCTCAAAGCTCTCATGATGCTCACGCTAGAAAGTTGCAAGAAATTAGACTGGCGTGCAGAGCAGGAGGAGGTGAAGGCTTTAATGATGCTTCATGCTCGAGAGGAATTGCCCGGTGCCAAACGGCGTCGGAAAAATGAAATGAATAAGGAAGCAACAATAGCTCGAAAAGAGGCGTTTCGAGCAACCAGGATATATTATTGGGCAGATAATGATGAGGATGAAGATAGCTGTCTTGTATTTTCATTCGAAAATGAGTAATTGACTCCTGATTAAATCGTTCAACAAAGCACACATCAGTTAAAATACCATTGATAACATTTAAGCTGAAGTTCAAAGAATTCTTTTGTAGATTCTTGTTAGCCAGTTAATTACAAACATCTCTATTTTGTCCGGACACATTCGATCTGCCAAATGCAATTACAAGTCTGTCAATTGATCTTACGGCCTGGGTCAAAGAGGGAAGGAGCATGGTGGGTTAGTGAAGGCTCGCCCAAATCATTCCACGTATAATGAACGAGTCTTCGTAGCGGAAATTCTTGATTCCACGGATTCTGCCTTGTAGAATGTCGATAAAAGGAAAATAAAAATAACTGAAAAGATATGACGCCCCGAGCGGGATTCGAACCCGCAAATTAATCTCCCTCAGGACAAGGAGTTGCTCTACCACTCGCACAACGGGGCATTTTGTACTTTTTTATTATTATTTAGATACAGGAGCCATATTGAAATCCATATTGCTAATCCAATGTATACATATACCAATTGGGTGTCTAAACTTTGTTTGAAGTAGGATGGCAGAAGGGGGCCGCTTGCCACATTGAAACATTTTTAGCCGAGCCGAGAAGCAAAGTCTGAACCAAGAACCGTTTCTCAAAGCATGCGGAATTCAAGAAGAGTCTCAGCAGATGTGCTTCAAGATAGAGCGTGCATGCTTTGGTCTGATGAGATATACTTGTTCACAAGTAGACGTATTCGTAACGTAAGTAAAGCTTACCATGCAGCGGACGTCAAAGGAATCAGCTAATTCTAGTCTCAAGACCTTTACCAAGTCAAAGGGAATGGTTTTATTTTTCATTCTATAACATCAAGCTTATGAAATTAAACCCCCTACAGACTGTTTAAGACTTTGAAGTCCGGAAGCTTCGTCGATAATCGTGGGTATTGTGTTGTGAAATCTCGAATTTTCGTCCGGATTGATAAATCTAACACCGGCAACGACACGATCTGATAATATGTCACAGAGCACCCTTTGAGATGGTTATAACATCACCATGATCACCGTTAGGAAACTGGTATGATTGATTGTTGGGGGTGCCATGAACACAGAACACCGCACTAGCTAGAACATTTGGCGCAAACCCCTGTCAAGTTGAGGGAGAGCCTCTGAGATACTTGCCGAAGTATGATATTCTAAATTCATGGCACACAGCGAGCAATGAATGAGATTTATAAAGATAAAGCAAGGGGGGAAAGATCTGACGGAGATTCAAGTCTCAATTTCATACAGCCCGGGTCAATGAGGTAACTGCTTGAAGCAAACGAATCTCATTCTTATTGAAACATCATCTGTCTTGATATATAAACTTGATCAAAATGCGGTTTTCGATTGCAACTCAAGCAAAGCTCTTGTCAGTTCTGTGTACCTAGCTCGTGGAGGAAAGGAACGAAGACGTGCCTTCTTACCTATGATACTTAAATGTCAATTGCCGACCTTCTATTTCTATGATCACCCACCCCAGAGAAAGAATTGAAGAACTTTAAATGCCACCATCAATTATTGAAGAAACAAATCAATCTGATTGGAAGAAATGATACAGATTCCCAAGACAACTAAGCAATGGATAATTGCAAGGAAACGTGAATTTCAAATTCAAGGCAGAAGCGCAGCGTGGGATCGTAGATAACCTATATCCAGGACAGGTCAAGATGAAGAGAGAGGACTATTTTATGGCAATACAACGAGAAATTCCAATCATACAGGCCTTACTGTAATGGCTATGGGGAAATTGAATGCCCGCCATACCTCAGTCGAAGAAAATTCAATTCACCATCGTCAAGATTTTCAACAGGCTTACCATTAGACATCACAGAATACGGCGAACCAAAAGATAGACGAAATCTCATGTCATGGTGTTCATTATATATGGCCGTGGCAATCTCTGACGACATCGTTTCTCGATGACCTTTCCGCTTCGGCATTGTTTCGGTACATCTTAGAGGCCATGAAATTACAAGCATGACGACTGACTTGTATGTCCACCGTACCCACAGATCAAGATCAACCTTGAGCGCTAGCTCTATTTGCATTAGAAAATATTGCAGTGCAATCGTAAGGATCATGTAGCCACGCGGTCACATAGATGACTTCTCCTCCGTGGAGAACGTGACAATAGAATTTGTCCAAACAGCTCCAACACCACCGACAATTACTATGTAGTATCCAAAATCGGTTCACCAAGTCGAAAGCTTGGCTGAGGTATATGATCACATATATTACACAATGATAATTATAGAGGTGAGGCCTATTCTGGAAGAAAGGATGGCTTTTATCATGCGAGCATACGGCAAGCCATACGAATCTGCTGATATGTCGAAGCTGAACGCGTTCAAGTATATAAGGAAGCTCATACCAATGAGGCAATCATGGCCATGGTTACTTGTTCGTCATCGCAGATGGAACATATACGCTGCACACGTACGGCATGAGTAAAAGTCTCTGACGCGTCCGCTTTGAGAGGGAAGGATTACAGTCTCTAGAGATTCTGTTCCTAGGTTGTGGTGTTCGTACTGGAATGATACTAGACTCCGAGTATGTTGAACTAATCGATCGACCATTTGGAAATTCTTTCGCTTGTTCGACGACTTCATCACTGACGAGGCTTGCGCGCCCTTACACCGGGAATTTTGATTCTGGGGCCAAGATTGGTGTCAACTCTAAACTGCATTAAAATAAAACGACAAAGTCCGATCCAGAGACAGGCATTGAGAGCATCGTCAGAACTAGTTGGAATAATATAACTCTGGGTCTGCAGATGCGATCATCGCCTCAACGATGCTATCGAAAATTGTTTTATATTTGATGGCGCAAAAACTCATGAAGATTTGCCGCGTGATGGGTTAGCACTGTTTGTGTAATTGATCGTCTGTCATCTGAAAGCACTCTAAAACCATTCAGATGTGACGTCACAAGCCCGTGAGATGAGTACACTTTGGTATCAGATATCGGAGCAGTCCCTCATGAACCCAGCACTGATGTTCCAATCATGATAGTCTTAAAAGCAGCTTACTTCCAAGTGCACAAAAAGCTGTTCTTCTCGCCGGCGATGCCCAAGTTTTTCTCGAAATATAGAGTAATCATCAGGCGAGACGTAATGCTCATAATCGAGATCCGTAGAGCCCACGAGTAGCACCAGGGACCATGTGAATCTTGCTAATGATAGCACTTAATCTATTGGTGTTACGGGTATTTGCTTATTCAGCTCCCTGTATTTTTTCAGTTTTGACCGGGCATCATGCCTAGGGACTTGAACTTTTGTTCGACTACTTAGAGATAGGAGTTGCATTATAGCAAAATGGATGCTATGCATAGAATCGTTGAGGAAAACGACTCTTAGCATTAACCGAATAGAAGAACGTGGTCGCGGGAGCGAGCCATATGTACGGCTATAAGTCACTCCGATGCAATGGATATCAAAAAGTGAGGCGCTAGAGCTGTTAGACAGAGTTACTGGGAAGGTCCAGGTCGGCATAGGAAGGATAAGTGGCTGGTTTCTTTTATATCTGTTCCGGTATCTTGTACTCTGGTAAGCTCTAAGGAATGTGTGAAGGCGAATCTTAGCCGAAGGGTTTCCTCTCGCTCCTCATTGACTTCTCAAGAGATCATGCGTATAAGTGAGAATCATTCGTTACACCAGTATTCACATGATATCGGTGCAAACAACATTCCACTGTGAAACATAAAGCATGAAACACAGGAATAAGTTTATTTGTTCACTGCAGTACATGCTCGGAACTATACAAAGTGGCCTGCGGAGCCTTCATCATGTCTCTACAACGCTGTCATGGACTCGATAGTAACTCGATCTTAAAAGAGTAGGGAGGGTTGTGAGATTACCTGGACGTACGTTCGTGTGTTGAACTGATTCCTGCTCTAGCCTGGAGAGTTGGGTGACTCTCGCGATTGCGAAACCAAATTTGAATGTATTACTTAATACCGAGTAAAAGTTGCCTTGGTACGTACATACGTATATTCGCAAGACTTAAGAAAAGAGACAACTGATATGTGTACATGAAGCTGAGGTTCCACATCTCTAGCCCCATAAGCGCAAGGGGACATATATTCTAACAGCCCTGTTGCAATATTGTCGTTTCTTGACAAGTAGCAATTCATAGTTATGCTTATTGATCCTTCGCATCTGATCCATCAAGACACATGCCTGCCGATGATTGACAAGAGCCTAGTGATCGGAAGAACGGCAAACAAGGGTTGTCACTGAAAACGCAAGGCAAGCTCGCACACGTATGACACCAAACATGCATGTGCACATAAGGAGCGCTTGTATCTCGAACTAGTTCCATCTACCGAACTCGGGACATGCATATTGTATGCCAGCCGAATTGGGAGAATGTCGAGCGACCTCTCTTGTGGACGCCAGTAGTCTAGATTCTGTCCGAATATTATGTTCCTTCCCGCTGCTGCTTACTAGGATATGACCAGTGAAGTTTGGGGCATCTCGCGTTAGAATTCTCTGTTCGATTGCTAATAGGTGTCCGCAACAACAGCACAGCTCGTATATGGACTCAGGCTGTTTTGTCAGATTAAAATATATATGCTTATTAATTTTAACCGTTTTCTTAGTGATATTGTTGAATTTCTTCCGCCAGGCTGTCTGTTGCAACGGTTGCGACCGAGTATTTATACATAGGTACAACTAGTATACCTGCTCACGGAGCATATAAGTGAAGAGGTCTCGTGGTTGACATTCCAAGTATCAAACGCACAAATCTGCAAAATTGTTGGAGTCGAATAAGTATGTAGTATGTATGTATGCAATGTGACGCTATGCCTGTTTTACCGGATTGTATTGAATGGGCGAGGAGGGAAGGTTTGTGATGCTCAGGCGTTTTAATCGCCACGAGCCTTACCAAATTCCAGGGTTCCTAGCGTGTAACCTTATCCACAAATGCTCCAAGCATCTACCACCTCACAAGCCTTCCCAAGCCATCAAATTCATTTTAGGAGTTCATAATACTGTAACCATTTGCGGATATATTAATACAATTGAAGGATTTCCTCTCACGGAAGATACTAAATACTGTTTGATAGTATAGCTCTTACTCGATAAAGCTCTTGGCGCATCGATCTCCTTTTAACATCCAAGATGGATTATTCATATTACCCTCCGAATGCTCAGCCATTCTTCCCTCTTCTCCCTCCTACTCCAACTCACACAAACGTATCAAATACCGACGAGTTCAGCAACTCTCCACCTGTATTTGGCCCATCTCCTGTGGGCAGAATGTTCCTGCTAACATCAAACAGCAGGATGTCTTTGATCAATTCCAACCCTATGATTATGCCAATCAGTACGACTCACGCATTCCCAAAGTCACAACCCCGCTTTCACAGCACAAACCGTCGATTTCCCATCCCATGTACACCGAGATGCCCACCGATATGATCGACGATGCGATGCGACGAGATAGCGACGAAGAGGAGAATTTGACTCCGGCACAATCCCGGCGCAAAGCCCAAAATCGCCAAGCGTAAGACCATTTCTTTGAGCTCACTCGTTTTGAAGCTTTACTTCGTACCATAGTATACTAAGACCTGAGAAATCAGACAACGGGCCTTCCGCGAACGTAAAGAACGACATGTAAAAGAGTTAGAAGCGAAACTTGCAGAGTTCGAAAAAAGTACCGGAGATCTGGCTCAAGAAAACGAGCGCTTGAAGCTACAGCTAACAAAAGCTGCGACGGAAAATGAAATATTAAAAGCGACATCCAGGCATTCGAACCATGGAGGTTCGCAACCTCTATCGAATGTAGGGCCCATGAAATATACACCTACGGACTTTTACAGTGAGGTTCTATATGCGCACGACAATAAGTTTCCCAGCCATCGAATTGTAACGAGTGATAAAGGGGAAAGATTGTTGGCGGCGGGTGCGACGTGGGACTATATCATCAAACATCCGCTGTACAAGCAAGGTCTGGTGGATGTAGGAATTGTTAGTGAAAGGCTGAAGAACGCTGCGAAGTGCGATGGGCAAGGACCAGTTTTCGAGGAGAGCGCAATACTGGATGCAATCGAGAACAGTGTCGCAAGTGGCAGTGACGAGTTACTATGATTTGTGAGATGGGATGGAAGAATTTCAAAGGTGTTAAGGTTGATTGTTGGACATATGGGATGAGACAGACTGCTCAAGACGAGTGAAGTACATCAAGGAGTTCTTAGTTGCGTTCTTCTTTGGAGTTTTAGGAGGTAGTAAGTCTTTATGAAATAATTAGAGCGTTTAGTGAACGCTATTCAATTTATCTCTCATTCTTAAAGTCGTTTCGCTCTTGGCCTTTCTCGGATAGTCACATCTCAATCTTCGAAAGGCTCTTCGAATGTTCAGTTTGCGTACCAGATTGACCGATAAACGACTGAATCTTAGCTACTTTATCCCTGTTATGTGAAAGTCTCCATATAAGCCAGATCCACGGAATAGTGAATAGTGACATGTCCTAAACCTTCATAGAGATTCCATAATATACCATCATGTTATAGTAATATGAAACCCTTAAAACTCAATTAATTATGATTGAACTAATTATTCATTATTAACTATTAGCAATGGGATTCAGTGAAGAATGATTAAGCGAGTTTATTGTAGAATCCACTAGGTAGTATTCTGTTTTAAAAGTATGGCTCTCTACAGGGTATAAGGGGAAGCATAGACTAGAATACGAGGGCATTCAGAGGTTGAAGATTGGTTGCATCGAAGTGTAATAGCTGCGAGGTGAAGAGCTCTGATATAAGACAGAGCTCTTACTAGTATTAATTGAGCTACCTTCACATGAATCACACCTAGGTACTATTCATTTAATATGTTTGCCGAACAGTGAGTTTGATAACTCCCAATTCCAAAAAGCCCAAAACAACGCCCCAACTCCCTTGTATACTCCTTTCGAGCTTGTTCTATTCCACCTGTGATCTACTTTTCGCTAGTCAGTGGATCTATCTTTGCCCCTTGCCACTGCTCCTTACTGCGTTGCTCTTATCAGTACTGCGCTCTCCAATGTGCACCTCGTTATATTTCTTCACACTCCGCCCAATTTCGGCAGTCTTTTCTCTCATACTGCTTTCCAAACGCTTGATACTGGACCTCATGTTCTCTAATTATTCAGGAGCAGCTTCAATAACTTTGCCTGCATCCTTTGCAAAATCGAGCGCACCTCTTAGTCTCACATAATCCTTCTTGCGTCGGTCCATCTTCATATCGAATGGAAGTTTATCAACACGAGCCTTGAGAATACCAAGAGAAGGTTCGTCCCATTCAAATTTATAGGCTCTTTCATTTTTAAGGTGGTTGCAAAAGGCTATGACCTTTTCCAGCGCCTAGAACATGTGCGTAATTAGTAAAATATACCTTTCGTGGAAGCAGTATAAGTGAAATCTCACATGTTGTTCTTCTCTAACTCCAGTGGCATAATCTGTCAACCATCTTTCAGCTAATTTTCGAAGAGTACTTGGCCCACCACCATTCTATGTCCCCAAAATTCTTTCCGTTTCTTCCAATAGGTTACGATTTCTCCCTAATTTTCGATCTTGCTCGAAACAAAATGTATTTTTACTTCCTGCTTCGCGGAGACCGATTTTTGTTGTATCTTTTAGTAGATACTACATGTTTGCTCAATATTGTGATGATGTTTTGGTAACGATATGGATGAGTCTATCGTTGTAAAGAACGCTTCGAAATGATGATATATGTGTACAATGTAGAGATTATGTCTTGAATACTAAATCACACAAGAATTATTATGAGCTTTATAAAAACTTCAGCGAGAAAGCATTCTGGTTATCTACAACTAATGGGTCTCACGAAAATTGAAGCGCGAATGGTCCCGAAATGTCAGTACCCCGGCGCCGGCTAAGCAGCAGGCCATGATCTGAACAAAAGCTCAAATAAGATATATGTCACTATGTAGCGATGAAACAAAACACGCAGGATTTGAATGAAGGTCATCCATGGGTCTTCATTGTAAACTCCATAGGGGTATCAATAAAGTAATGTATCAGGGTCATCGTTGCTCAAGGTTAAATCGTACATTCGTCTAATTCGAGTTCCTCATCTCATCCAAACCTTGCAATTGATTAATTTATTATATATCACTATTTTTTGGAATAAAGAAAAATGTTTGACGATCTTGTAAGAGATGTTATCATTTGTTCTAAGAAGCTCATTTTTACCCTATCAACTTATCATTCAAAAATGCTGTACAGACCACTTGAGGTGACCTTCGTCGGGCCTGAGGGTTGGTACTACGTCAATGAGGCCAACTACCTCTATTTTCCGACCGCTCCTATTCTGGGCCACTCTTTTATACTAAAAATAACCTTTTCGACTTATTAAAAGATTCGCAAGATCAAACGTGGCTAGGTTGTACTTCATTGCGCAAAATTCATCTATCTCTATAATGATATCATTTTCATATTCACAGATTCACAAAATCTCACTCTGACTAGCACGACTAATTAGGTTCTTTCAATCACACAAGATGATTATTCTTGAGAGCCCATTGGAGAATCTCATAGGGGCAACACCGATGGCTTCAATAGAAGCTCGACAATATATGCAGTATTTTACTGCATGCATCTAAATGACTGTATACGACCACAAAGTGATGTACTTAGAGGTACATTTTGGTTATTGGATGCACTTAAGCAGTATGTATTTCTCATTCCATGCGGCTCATCCATTGTTCTTCAAGCTCTTATCCCGAAATTCTCATCAATGCCTCCTCTTCTGCCGAGATCCTTACAGAGAAACCTACACAGTCTCCATCACTCTCGTAAATTTAAGCACGACCCGTACAAGTAAACCCTGACGTCCCAACCACATTTGTACATTTATACCCTACACCGGCCGTCTGATTTGCATCCACGACGTCGATGTTTTCCATGGTGATGTCTGTGCAAGGGGCGACAGCGCTACATTGGAAGCTGGTTACAGGATTCGTCATACTGCCGGATATGTTGTACATATTCAGATCGCTTATTTGAACTGTAGGGCATTAGCTCAGGGGAGTATAGTAACACGCCCCAGAGGAAAATGTGCTCAAAAACTTGGAAAGAGTGCGGTTGGGAAAGGAGAAGAGGGAGAGAACGAGAGCTGAAGTACTTACACGCTGACGAAGAACAATTCCCTACAGTGCCAGAGAATGTTGTACATTGTGAAATAGCAAACGGTGGTCCCCTCAGGGAATTGAAAGAGAAATTTTCAAACGTTATGTTTTTCGCAACTGTGCTCATGTTAGAAACATTCTCAAGATCTCCATTGGAAATCATCAAAAACACTTACATCCCAGCCCCCCACCTCCACCATTGGGTGGATATCCCACTTGCTCCCCAGTCCACGTTTTCACATATCCTCCATGCAACGTCTTATAAAATACAATTCCCGTCGCCGTTACATTTTCAATACTCTCGTATACCCCTTTATACTGTCCAATACTGCCTATTGCCACTCCCAACCCGTTGTAGAATGTGGAGTTCGTGATTAATATGTTGGTACTGTTAGCTTTCATAGATATGCTATCATCGCCATTAACAACTGTCCAGCGATCAAAGTGGATATCGTCACTGTAGATCGTATCTGCACCGTCTGTATTGCGCGAGGGGTTACCGGAAGAGGAAGTACTGTTCACGTAGATATCTTGGAGGAGAACCGAGGAGGACTTGAAGATTGTCATGGTCCTATCTTATTCATCAACTCTTTGAGCTATCACAAAACCAGACGATTGGAACACAACATACCACATCTGACTCTGCACAAATCGTAACCCTTTGAATACCGAATTTGTCGCATTCCATATCGTAAGCGCGTGAGGTCTGTTCGGATAGTTCGAAATTCCCTTGACAAAATCATACCAAGCTTGCCCATTGCCATCCAAAGTCCCGTATCCATATCCGTTCACGTTGATGTTATCGCCGCCGAGCCACCATGCTGAAGTTTGGTTTTGATAGCCGAAGGCCATGGAGTGGTTGAGCCAGTAGGTTATATTTGTGGACCACTTTACATGGCAGCTTAGTCGACGTAATATATGTAGGAAAAGTATTGAGAACATACCAATAATGTTCCATAGATATCTATGTTGCAATTCGAGAGTCCCGTGGTGTTCATGATACTGTTGATGGTATATGTATGATTGAGAAAGACGACAGTTCCATCCTTGCCGCATGTTTTGAATGCAGATAGAATAGCAGGCGCATCATCCGTACCGTTCAAACTGGGTTGGACGGTACAAGTAGCTCGAGGAGCAAGGGTCGACGGATTTCCATCGGTACTACTGAAGAAGAACGAAACAGCCAAAATCACGAGATAATGAAGCGACCTCATTTTGAGTGATAAATAGCTATCTCAAAGTACAGAAAAAAGAATTCATGTATAGATCTCAATACAGAGATAATATATAACCTTAAATAGACAAAAACATTTCGTAAAACGTAACTGTGCATCTTCCCCATTTCTAAACTTCCATTGCATTGTGCGGGGTTGGGGCAATACCATGCAGATTTTGCAAAATAAACTGGGAAATGTAGGCTCAGATCGAACTTTAGATCAAGCTTAATCCAACTGACTTCCTTCGGAAATTTATATAACCTCCGAATTAGGAATGCAGGATGCATGAAATTTAACTATGGCGGATCGAAACAAGATCGACCTGGATGTTCATCGTCACTACAACCCTAGAATACAGATCTCGCGGTTTCGGCTTCACATGGGCCGAGATTTCCAATCTTTTCGGCAGTATTGAATGATTAATTAGGCAAAAACGGGGTGACATATTAATATCGAGGCGCTGCTTCTGGTCATTCGAACTGCGAAGATTAATTTGACAATGACCGTTGGACGGCGAATTGTTTGGAAAGCGGCATAAGAAACAGTCCAACGGAAGAAATATTTCACATGCGAGGAACAAAAGGCAAAACTTCATGGGTAATTAGGTAGATATTCTGAAGCGAGCCTCGCCTGACATCTCAGATTGAATTGCAAAATTGTGCACAACTTCGCAGCCACTAGAAAACTAATCTTGGCTAGCCTTTTTCTCAATCTTGATATCAGTATCACGTTGAATGGAGGTTAAATCCTCGGCAGCACAACCGAATAGGAGAAAGATTGCAGAGGTAAATGGATTAGTCTGTTAATTCGCTATAAATGGCATATATACAGACCGCATATTAGATTCTTGCAAATACCAGCTCAGCCACCCCAATCCTAGACCAGCTCCGACCTGCTAAAACCTCCTGCCGTCATGTTCGCATTATCTTCGTCGTGAATGGGTATTCTAATTGGCTTTCTTTGCCTCTTCTTCCTCGTTCCATGGATGTTTAATAGTTAAGCACCAAATGTCTAAGTAATCGCAAATTGTAACAATCACATCAACCTTGCGCTGTTAGCAAATGACAAGAGAGAATAGAGGAACTGATACTCACCACAAAGCTTCCATAAACTCCAACTGCAACACCAAGCATGCAGAAGAGATATGCGACCTGGTATACACCACCACCAAGAGCACTTGGCCATCCAAATCCTAAATTCTCCTTCAAAAATGGTCCTGCAGAGTCAAAAACGCCATAAGCCAGCGGCAGGTTCAATACATTCATGTAAGGGAATGGCAGTTGGACCAAATGGGCAGTGATCATCTGGCCCACCGAGTAAGCATTGACAAGCCCAGCGAAGAATACGAAAGGAACAAGATGATTGTAAAGAATTTCAGGGTTGAGATAAAGGTAGGCCGGAATGAGCGACCACGTGAAGAAGAAGGGAAGGAGACCCAAGAGCGCGCCTCGCGATCTATCTCCACGAGCTCTGCGAGCTTTGATCACATTTATGGAGCTGGAGGGGTCGTTAGCTGTGAGACATTTTGACAAGGGTCAAGGAGGGGTAAATTTACCTTTGTACAGTGTTAAGAACCAGCACAATTCCACCTTGAACCATGTACCACTCATTGAATGGCAATTCATAAACATATTCAGGAATAAACGCGTAATGTGGGATGCCAACAGTCCTGAACATCGATTGAGTCCAGAAGCTCGCCCCACCTTTAATTGCAGTGAACGCGTAGACAGTGATGAGGATAACGATTCCTTCTACAGGTCCAGAGATCAAGCCCAATGTCAGAGTCTTCGTGTGGTATTCGTCCCAGGTTTGTACGTAGAATGTGAGGAGAGCTATCAATCGTTAGCAGAATGTTGGCAGAAGATCACGAATTGAGTTCGCACAAGCAAATAAGACCATGACCGTCTTCCAGCCCATTCCCAAGTTCTGCGAAGCCGCGAAGATCAAACATTCGAGAGAAGTATTGACTGCGTCAACACCATGATCAAAGAGCTCACCAAGCGGTCCACTCTGATGTGTTCGTCGTCTGTGATTTTGACGTGCCAGGTCAGCTTGGTTCTTTTCGTATCAATTGCAAAAGAATGTAAACTTACGCTTGAGTCCCATCGACCGCGTCAAAGGTTTGATACAAGAATAATCCCACAGCCCAACTGGCATACACCCAAGGTGGACAATCCACATCAAGCGTCGGATTATACCACAGCAAAGTCAGGATATTGATAACGACGAAGCTGAAACCCGTAAGAGTAATCAGATTCGGTGCCATGCTCATCGGGAAACATTCTATCACGAAATTCGTGTAGAATGGCTTGAGGACATATCGAGATAAGAGGGAATGGTCGACACCGGAATATTTGTACTGCTTAAGGCCTGGAAGTTTTTCTTGTCGTACGTACACCATTGTGACGAGACCTTGGATTGTTTAGAAGAGACTTCGAGTAAGAACAAAGTTCATGAGAAAGATATGAGATACTTGAACGGTGTTGTTTCGTTCTTTGTGGTATATGAAGGGAAATCGAGGCACCTCAAATCAAGAATTCGAAATTCTAGAAAAACGTGCCAAGCCCCAAGTCATGCAACGTCATATCAGTACCGAGCTTTTCAGGCATTCTGATAGGGGCAATCAGTAAAGAGACCCGGGGCCACAGAGCCAACACATTGTGCAATGAAATGCAGAAATTTCTTCAAAATACTAATAATGCAATGTGAATGTTTAAGTGAATCATATAAATTCAAACTACAGATTTGATTGCGTATTAATAACTCAGATGAGAGTAATACCGCACAATTGAACATTAGACTAGGTATCTCTCCACCTGCTCATTCGAAGAACCACAGAAACTATGAAAGCACGAACATGTCAAATCTGTTTAATTGTGACACATTTCATATTTTTGACTCGATGATTCATGCTGTATCCTTCATCTTCCATGAGATGAAGCCAATCCATTTTTCCACAGCTTCTTATACCCATTATCTAAACAACCATCATCAAATGCACCCAACTTTCAACTCCATGAAATCGCTAACCCCTAAGCAACAGACCCGATAACCAAAGCTGCAATCCCTTCTTCCTCACCACGAACCACAATTTTACTTGTGACTCCTGACTTACTAGAATAAGCCATCCGGATATTAGCCACAACCCTTCCACCTGTAACTGTTTTACCAAATAATTTGAGTGTGTGAGTAGTTGTATTGATTGGCACATCAGTACCATCAAGAGGTTGTAGTGAAAGTGTTTTGGCAAGTTGTTCAGTAGCATCTGTATAACCATTAGCTTTTCAGTCAAAAGTATTCTCCGGGAAGAATACATACCTGCTATACTCTTGACACCACTCAATTGAAGTGTCTCTTCAGCTTCCTCGCCGGAAGCACCCACTTGCTCCCAAATGTGATTAAAGTTACCGGCGAAAGCAGGGACAACATAGTCACTACCGGTAAGTTCGAGATCCTCAACTTGATACTCATCATCGTAACCAGTGTCTTCAGGCTCACCAGTTGTTGGATCGATTTCTTTCGTGGTGAACTTCAGAATATTTGTAAAGGTGCTTGAAGGGAAAGCAGCTTCACCACTGATTTTCTTGAAAGATACATAAATAGTACCTGGCTCATCAGTTACAAGCTTGGTGGCAGGAATGATGAAATCTTCCTCGAGCTCTTCTTCATCAGATGGGCTAGCAACCACGGACACTTCTTCAAGAACAGTATCTGGCAGGGTATTCTTAACCTCATATTGAAGAACAATATGTTCCTTGAAGATATGCTTGACGACAGTAACAACATATTCAGTTTCCGATTCTGTCAATTCAACAACAGGAGACGATTTCAATACAGCACCATATGGCTTGAATTCTGGAATCTTGAGTAACTCCTGGGCATACTTCTGAGCAGTCGCAGAAGCGGAAGCAACAGCTTCGGCGCCAGATTGCGAAGTCTTGCTGGGACCAGATTTTGGAGCCTTGATCGTTGGTGTGACTGTTGTGAGTTTCTTGGTTCGCTCCTCTGCGTCTGCTTGCTCCTTGGTAACAACTGGAACCGAAGCAATATCAAAGGGGTTATCAAAAGTTGATTTGTCATCAGCTGTGACGTACATAACAAGTTGATGCTCGAGGTATGGCAAGGCGAAAGTGTTTTCTGTAAATGGTTAGAGCGGTGCTGGGGAAGTCACAATTATCACAACATACCATTTTTGATGAAACGATCCGCTGTATCATCAGACTCTGACATTAATCTCAAGTTCAATGCAGCACGGTCACGAACTTCATCGTCGACATCATCCAAACATCTGGTCAGGAGAACGGTAACACTGCGCTTAACTTCTGGATCTTTCTGTGCCACACCGAATTTTGCCAATGCTGTGACTGCGGCAGCTCGTACAATGGCATTTTCAAGAACCACTCGATTGTAGATATATCTGATGTACTTGGTAGGTTGAGATGTTTTTGGACCTTCCAATCCGAGAAGATGAAGGATGCGCACAGCCAATTTTGTGAACTCACAATCCTCAATGAACTCACAGAGATGTGCTAACGCATCTTCCTTTGAATCGGGAACGAACTTGATTAAGTCAAACATGCTCTCCACTACAGCGCGCTTAAACTCATATCCTCCCTCGTCGCGAAGTATACCACTAAGGAATGCTAGCATGCCGGCTTGCTTGTTGGGGAACTTTAGACAGAGGGTACGGATTGCTTCCACAATGGTAATCTTGAACTCGTCTGTAATATCAGCCATGAATCCCGAAATTTGCTTCATCAATCGATCAACACTGGCTTCGTTGCCGGTCTTCAAAAGGGTGGTGATGGCAAAGGTAGCAATCGATCTATTGGAGTTCGAGATGAGAAGCTCGATATCTGGGTTGCAGGGATGGACAGCTTGGGGCTTGAAGGAGGCGAAGTTGTGAAGTATGCGAATCGCAGCAAATTTGGTGACAGCTCTTGGCGAGGTAAGGAAAAGTTGCAAAACATGAATGGCTTGAGTAACTTCAGCATCGGTGACGTCTCGCATGTCGCAAATGGCTTTGGCAGCCTCGAAGTTCACCATTTCACTCTTGTGTCGGAGCCAGCCATCCAAGAGTTGCATCATTGGTTTTCGGAGTTGTTGATCTTCTTCTGCCAGTTGTGCTGCTAGGCGGACGAGCATGACAGTTGCAGCTGGACTCTTAACAGCACCTGCGGCCCCAAATTGCTGAACCATCTTAACTAATGCCATTCTATCGTGCATCCTCATTTGATATAGAAGACCAATCGCATGGTATTGTGTCATTGTTGAGTTGTTGACTGGCATTTGGCTGCTGGAAGTCGAGAAACCAAGGGAGAAGCCACCCGACGATTTTGTAGCTGTTGCAGCTTCTTGTGTTTCGCTTTGCCATCTTCGAACAACATCGCGAGCTATAGGTAATAGGTGGTAAGAGGATATTAAGGCAGCAGAGGATACGGAAGGGTTCTTGTCGACAATTGCAGTCTTCATTACTCGTTCAATACTCTGGACTGTGGATGCCTGGCTGTGTCAATGATATCCCTTAAAGTAATCCGGCGCACTCACATCAATGATACGGCACAACGCCCGAATGGCATTTGGTCTGTAGATTGCATCTGTTCCACCACCAGTATCCTTCATTATTGTACTTGTGACCATAATAATATCCTCAGCGGAATGCGCCAATTCCTTAATGATAAGGTGGACCATCTGCCGCAGGCTGGCATCTTTATTTTGGAACAGCTTCGAGATACCAAAGAAAAGGGTAGTGGCTTCGTTGGTAGGGAATTTCTCGCCGGTGTATAACAAAAGCGCAATCTTCGTAAGGAGAACACGACATCTTCGAGGTTGTATAGGGGAAGAGTTAAACAATCGAGCTTTGAATGTTAGCTTAGCTGGCCTGTTATTGGAAATGTTCACCGACCTTCTTGGAAAACAGAGGTTCTATCCACACGCATGATGGCCATTTCGCCATCTTCATCTTTCTTACTGTAACTCATGATGTGCAAGGTATGCTCCCCAGCGTCATGAATTGAGAATCAAAAGAAAGTCGAGTATTGCTGCAATTGTGGTCTTTGAGGTTGCGATACGTCGCCAAATCCACTATGTGTTGGCGTGAAGGAAATAATTCGATAGGGGTGTGTATAGACGTTTCACAGGTGTAAAAGAAACGGCTTTTGCCGAGAATGTCCCTTTCCTGGATAATTCCGCCCCGCTCGCTACTCTACCGCGGGCTAGATTCTGTTACGCGGAGGAAGCTCGAGGGTAGTTCAAGTCATGAAAAAGAAGCCAAAGAACAGAACATCAAGAAACAAATGACTTTCAAAAAATCATAATATCTCAAGGATTATTTCTGATTATCCCAAGAAGTTGGTCAGATTTCGAACTTCGAAACTTACAGGTATCGATGGCAAAAAAAGATATCGATATCTCTTATATATCACTACACATTCAACCAAGCCGACCTCACTAGTACCAAAACGATGAAAATTATAGAATATCATAATCAGTGAATATCAATTAATCTACACGGAATGAAACAGGTAGGAAAAAGTGAAGCTCACTACTGGTAATAAGTTACCCTTTTCACATTCATGTGAGTTTAATGGCTCGGCCCTATGACATTATATGGGTGACTTTCCCAAAAGTGCTTCGCAAGTGGGAAGCATCAGTTCAACTCCTAATACTCAATCGAGTAAGTGAGATAAAGTGCTTTCCTCCCCAGACAATTCAAATCAAAAATCTTTGTTGGTATTGATCTCAATTGAATATCCGCAAAGCCATAGCATTTTAACCCTGATTTTATTCACTCTTCCAAAGTAGTTCTTTAACACAACATAATTGAACTTTCCTCGGTCGGGAGAGAAGATGGCCTTTGAATCATATCATATTACTTTCGAACTTTGGAATTGTTCAAATGACAAGATAGTTTGGTCTTCAGACGAGCATCGTTTTTCTGGGTAGTTGAATGGGTTATGGGAACACAGTGTCCCCGGTGAGCTACCGACCGAATTTTCATTGATTCCCCCCAACTATACATCTACAAATATTCCAGCCTATGTTCAAGCACTTGAGGTTCTATTACTAAAACTTTCTTATATGTGTTTGTATATTACTTTATGGTATTGTTTCAGCTCATCTCTTTCACATATATGTTACTGTATTTCATTCATGGTCCACAAACAGCGCACGAGAGCTCAGCACTCCGAATTTACCGGAGAGTTGTAAGTTTCAATTATTCTGACTTGGAGCGAATTCACGCATTGCGCATGGAGCGCACCTAACGGCTTTACCTTAAACTTTGGGATTAGAGTTGGAGGGTATGTATAGATTCAGAAAGGAGTTGGCAAGAGGGAGAGCGAATACAATTGCGAGGGGAGGTCCTGGTTGACCTCGAGATCGGAACCTGGATACAGAAATTGACCAAAATTCATTTTGTATATGATCCGACTTTTTCTGTCCCGGATAGCGAGACTGAAAAAACTATCAGAGAAGATGCATTGTCCCTAATCTGGCTTGGTCAATTGTGACTTGAATACACCTTTGATTGGCTACAGCGGCCTTATATCAGATTGTTCAGTATGAGGATCTCAGGATCATCATTGAGCATTGAGTTGTAGTGCAGCCAACGGTCAGCTTCGATTTGTTCATTGAAGAAGAGGATTTAAATACCAGTACGGCCACCCCGAAGTGAATTGTAGATAGCCTATGCTTCATGAACACGACATTACTCTGCAAGTTTCGCGTAGTTGGAGGGGTAGCTCGCACTTCCACAAAAATACGAAGATATTCACAATACTAATAAATTTTCTTGCTTTGGATTTCTTTATATATTCACCTATCTCATCTATTTAAGTGAGGTGGCTGGCTATTGCCAGTCCTCATTGGTATCTCTCCATCGCCTTCAAACGATGGTTTTGCACATCATACAAAGCAAAATGCAACCGAAACTCCCCCACTCTATGAAACACCTTTCGCAATGCATGTTTGTTTTTGGAATGTTCGCTCGCTTTTCAATGCTAAAACGGAACCCATCCATCCCCATGCCCCAAAGAAGATATGCCGCGCCCACAACAATGCAAAAAGAGCAACTAGCAGAATGAAATGATTACAAAACTGAATGCCAGCCTTCCTGCTCCAAAGCCCACTTGACAGCCTCATAGACATCCTCGACGATTGCCTTTGGCTTATGGGCAGGAACTGTACCACTTCTATAGACACCGGTCTTGACCAGAACGGAGGTCCAGTCTGTGCCGTGAGATGATTCGAATTCGTTGGCACCACGGATATCTGATTCTGGATTATCACCCACCATGAATACGCGCTTTAGGTGTGGAATCTTTCGCTTGGATTCGCCACTGCCACCGAGCATGTGTGTACGATATTTGTGGAGTACACGCTCAGCATACTTGTATGTCGCTGGATGTGGTTTACCAATAACAGTGCGTTCTAACTTTGCTCCGCCGGTAGTAGCATTCCAAACGCCTTCGAGAGATGCCTGGAAACCACCTTGGCCAAGACGAGGCATGTGATGATTGGTTGCCCAGAAAAGATCTGGATTTGAGAAGAAAAGCTTTGGCTGTTCATCTTGTTGCCAACCGTTGTTGGGTAGTGAAGCGTCGCCGTTCTTGGAGGAATAAGTACCAAGAATGCCCTTTTCGGACAAGAGTAGATCAAGTACAACTTGAGTATCCAAGGCCCAGTCACGAGGATCATTGAAGATCATAATGGCATCGAATATGAGAGATTCAGAAAGGTTGTGTAGATCAACTGGTCTGGGAAGAGGGCGTGTAGCCTTGCTATAATACTCGCTAAAGATTTGGTTGAAGGGCCAGATGGTAGGATAAGCCATGAGAATATCGCCAGGTGTGACTACTTTGGTAAAACCATACCTGTGTATTCAAGGTTAGCTTCGTCTCCCAGAGATGTTCGGTCTTTGCTTGAGATCTTTCTTAGGTTTGATGTCAACCCAAAATAAATTCGCCGTGTGAGAATTTATCTTGTGAGATAAAGCAGCTTATTGGGGGGGGGGGGGGGGGGGGGGGGGGGAAGAGGGTCTAACATTTCTGCAACCTTGCGACACTTATCTCCATCTCCACCAGTGACAAGAACTGTCTTATCCTTAAGACTCTCCGTTGTTTCTGACTCCTCAACAAGTTGTTTGAATGGTGTGTGTGATTGAACAAAGTTCTCTTCAGTAAGAGGAACATTGAGCTTTTTGCTCAACTCTGCTACACGAGCACTTTCATGTTTGCCTCCTCCGTTGGTTAATAAGATGAAAGGGATGTTGTTTGAATGAAGTAAGTTCAAAGCTTCGGATGCTCCAGGGATTGGCGAAGAAGATCGAAGCAGGACACCGTCAATGCTAAAACCAGTCAGATTGGAAACTAATTGTATGATAATGGTTAAAACACATACTCAAAAGCAAAAGCAAATCCAGGTAAGAGGTTTGCGGTTACAGGAGTTGCAGTACTGGACCGACGTTGGTGAGTGATGGGAGCCATTGCAGCTTTTATCGGTTGTTTTGGGGAGCAAGAATTTGCAGAAGAAGAGAAAGAAGTTGATGGCAATCGAGAAGAATATATAGATCTCTGTTGCTTAGCAGGGTTCGAGATAAAGCTGGTTATCCTATTCATAGACTTCCCGCTTTTCAACATTATCGGATTCAACAACTGGTAGCGCCGGGAGTTCACGGAAACCTTGTGAGATACCTGGGCGATAAGGGTCATTTTTAATATTTGTATGTGGGTGCTACAGCTCAACGAATCTTTGGATGGGAGTGATGCACATGTGAAGGGTGTGAAGAGTAAAGGGTGAAGCGCGTATGAACTGAATGAGTTGGAGTGTGGAGATATATTTTTTGGTGTTTATCTTTATCTCTAAGTGGCCAAAGCTTCATTATCAGGGGTCCCCGCCCAGCATCCTTACAAATTCTTGAAGCCTTAGCTACAGTCTTAGAACAATTTGGTAGGTAAGATTATTTTATTTCCATGTAAAGTATTGATAATTGATGTCTCCCAGAAAGATAAGCAATAACGGAAGGAGAAGATTTCTCATGTTTAAAACATACACTACATTTTGGGCCTTGATCATATTTAGAAGATAAAACTATTCGAAATACTCGAAAGCTTCATGTAAAGAGGTCTCGACCAATCCTTGCGCCTACAAAAGCTATACTATCTACCTGGTAATCTAGCTATTCAGCATGGTCGGTTAGGCCAATAACAAGACCAAGAGTCCTAACATTACCCTTCCCTCGGATCTACTAATTTACCCTATCTCTGGTAGGGTTGATGCTACTGTGTGACGCATACACAAGTAGGGCAGGTAGCTACCTTCCCAGTCACATATCGTCTGACATGCTGGTGCCAGCACATATCGTTTCAAGATCTCCAGATCCATCGCATTTCCGAGGATAGCCCTTGAAGAACACTGTTAAGGGGATCAAGCTGGGGAAGATATGTACCCCAGCTCAAGGTTGGGATCCATGGATGAGAGGACCGTCAAGGCATCTGATAAAAGGTTGAAGGGATCGGAATGAGCCGTGACATATCTCTGAGTTCGAGTCCATTATCTCACATATCTTTTGAGTTGGTTACTTGTTGGATACTCGTTCTTCAGGATCCACTCCTTCATGGCTGTGTATGCGTATCTGCAACATGAGGCTGAATCCCGCTTAATTCGAATAGATAACACTGACACTCGTCAATCTCTCCTTACCAAACATAACACTAGATATATATCTAGCATTTCACTATTGAGGATTTAAATTTTGTTTGTCGTACGCGTTCGAGAAGGAAATCAGTTATCGTTTGAACAGTAGTATTCGTCTGAGCTGTCGTGAAGCACAGACTACATTCTCGAATTCACTGCTTACGTAATCACAAAACCACTAAACGCGATAATTCGCGGTCGATCGCGCTTCCCAACCGGTTTCATGAATGAATTCAATACCAAATCCCTGAAAGTCATTTTGCATGAGCCCCTCTTTCATTTCACAAAACCATTGCACAATTCTCAACCTCTCGTTCTTGATCAATATCAAATCAGTCGTCGTCATCATCGTATCAGTTGCTTTTGTGTTTATTTCATCAACATTCAACCCCTTGTACAAACATTCATTTAACGACCGTCAGTTCAAGAATTAAGTTCGGATATATTTGTGTGCTTTGTCCTCAATTTTGATACCGTAACTTCTTTCGACTTATCACAACAAACTCAATAACATCCTACTGTTTACCGGACCTCAACTTCATTAAACGGGGAAACATCCACCTACTACTCAACTTCTCATACCATCTCATCCATCAATAATAATATCATCATGCCCGCCCGCCAAGCCAAACGCCCCTACGCCGGCTCTCAATCCCAAATAACCTCCTATTTCACTCCCGGCACTACATCTCTTCCTGCACCTCCTCCTCCCTCTCAATATCAACCACCTACTCTCCCAAATCCAATCCAATCTTCCCTCTTATCCGTCGGCATGCGCATTCGCAAATCCGTTCCCGAAGGATATAAAACCGGTTCCTATTCCGCCTTCAATCTATTCTCAGACACCACACCTGCCACAAAATCAAACTTCGCATCAGCACCCCCCTCTTCAACACCCACAGCACTGAAACATAAGGGAGTAAGACCTCGTGCTGGAATCAGGGAATTGACGCCTTTCTGCGGTTTGATGAAGGTTGGGGGAATGAGCGTACAAGGATACAATGAATTGGGAGAGGCAATTGAAGATGAAGACGAAGAGGACTATGAAGGAAGAATTTGGGATAGCAGTCAAGAGAGCATGCTGAGCAATGATAGTTTCGGAAGCTACGGGGGTGGCAATGGGGCGAAGAGGCGCTTTGTTGACGAAGAAGAGGGAGAAAACGTATTTGGACAGGGTGGAAATGGGGAAAGAGCTTTGATGAATGTTGGTGATAGAAGAATTGCGATGCCAAGGTCCAGGAATAGTGAGAAGGCTAGAGGAGGGGAAATGATGAGATTTGGTGGAGATGAGAATGCGGATGTGGATTTTGAAGAAGCGGACTTTTTGGATTATGATTTAGCAGACGAAGTTCAAATGGGCGGTGTTTAAGAGAGGCTAGGAAATGATGTATTATCAATGGCTTCGAGCAATCTTTGCTTGTTATGGGAGATGGGACTTGTATTATGGGTATCAATGCTTTGGAAAGGGCTGTGTGTCGATTGCATACATTTGGGACGGCGTTTCTGGATGGATTATTTGACCATGATTGCATAGCCTAGAGGCCGCAAAATCTGGAAAGGCTGCTAACATTCAATTGGTTTTTGTATATCATACAACGCTTCCTGTATTCACATTTATTTCTACATAATTGATTATTGATCACATAAATCATCGGTTGTATGGAACAGGTGAATGTGTCAATAAAAACTGGTATTATATTCAGCTCATGAGAAGCAAGCTGGTCCGCCTCATTTGCATCTAAAGAAATATTACTTGCCGCAAAACCTACTACAAAAATACTTACATCCACGGATAACACTTCAGGCTAAAGTGAGAAAACAATGCAAAGATTAAGCTCTACTTGTCTGCAACACCTATTGAAATGTGTTTGACGCATTTCCGCTAAGTAGTTTTTCGACTGCCAAATAATTCAAATGTTGTTATCAGGCCGCTCGAGGTAGTCCTACTCACCCCATACTTCCCTAAACTCCAGCAGATCTCTCTGTCCGTACATCTCACCTGCAATCGTGATAATCATGTCAATTGTCGCTCTAGTATTCCAGTCAGATGGTTGCTCTGATGTGAGCGCTGACGCTTCAGTTGTGGAATTGGTAGGCTCTTCTGCTTCGAGCGGCTGAGGATCCGTGATTGCTGTGGGACCGGCAGGCGGATTTGAAGCGAGATTAGCGAGTAAGCGGGCTTTGAATGCTTCTAGTGCATGGGCATCTGGCGTCGCTCCCAAGATGTCTTCTTCCGGACTAGTAGGCTTTGCTGTTATCGTTGATAGCATGGAGTTATCCGTCGAGTCTAATATCAGCGAGGTATTACTGCTGTTCTGTGTTATCTGGAGCTCCATTTCCGGCTCGTTTTCAATCCTCTCTGTGTTCTCATCTTTGGATCTAGTGGCATTCTCATCATCCACAGTTTCGATCTCGTTATCGGCCTCGAATACCTTCTCCACCTCATCCAGGCCCTCTTTTAAGTCACTACCCGCCTTTAATCCAACACCAAGCATCACTGCTTTTTTCCCTAGTTCCCTTACAACTCCTATCTCATCACTACTCAATTCCCCTCTTACCGGTAGCCTAGCTAACAATGCCCAGATCCACATACTGACCTTCAAATTGATATCGGAGCCACTTTGCAACAACGTGCCAGTCAATAGGAGCCTCAGTAGTCTTAGAATTGTGTCCTTATCCATACTTGCTATCTGCACAGGCAGAGGATCAACTGTCTTCATTTTCCATCTCCACCATCGACAAAGCTTGGTGTTCAATACGTTTAGATATGTAGGATGATCTGCATCTAGATTTTTCACTAGGTCTGTTGGGGGAACTTGGTGCAGTTTGTCTCGTAGAGTTTCGAATCGCGTCAAGATGGAGTTGAAATACGCCGATCGAGGATCTTGGCCTTCGTGTTCCTCATCCTCCATTTCGTCTTCAACTTCAGCCGCTGCATAATAAGCACCATCCTCATAATATCCTCTAAAATCGCCCACGCCACTCTCATATATTGATCGATCGTACTCGCCGTTGTTGTTGGAGCTCGCAGTCTCTGCAGGGGCGTAAAATATTGGTGGGAGGTCTTCTGCTTCGGCTCTGGGCTTGCAATCAGCAATAATTCCAACTAAATGTAATACATAATTCAACACCAACTCATGCAAAAATTGAAATTGAAAAGCAATGTACCCACCTAACTGATCTCAAATAATTTAAGGCATCTATACCGTCCTCGTCTAAGCTGAGAGAATCATCATCTGCTGGAAGCGCACTTCGCTGCCCATAGATTGGATCTACACGCGCCTCTATCACGGAATTCGATTTCTTGTTCGAGTAGAGGTAAGAACCTGGTGGTGAAGGTGAACGAGCGCGCTTCGTACCGGCCATGATCTCCGGCAGTTGTGTCTCTCAATTCCGTCTCGCAAATACGCGCCTAATCCAGATATTTTCAACCGTCCTTCCAAACTCCTCGAAGAGAGACTTTTCAGTTTCCAGACCGTGATGTTTCCTGATTTCTGAGATATGCACTTTAAGAAACAGTGCTTCTTTTGCAAATTCGAAGCTCAATATTTGCGATTCTTATATCAATATGAGAGTCGATCGTGGTTGGAGCAAGTCACTCGCAAATAAGTTATTAAGCCTCAAGGTCCAAGCTTTTTAGACGGCCAGGATTTTGCCGTCTCGAGTGCAACATAATCTCAAGATAGCATTTCTTGTCGCTAAAATGTTTCCTTTTCGTATTGTCGAATTCGTACAGCAGTAGGGAACGGAGGATGCGTGATATTTATTCCATGATAAATCGAATAAGTCTACAATCTTACTTTCGTAATGTCTGTTATTACAGACATTAGTGCAGCTAGCTTCGCTGCTTCAAGAATCTTTTCCATGTCTTTTAGTTTCGTAAGACCCCGGTAACAGGCATTAGCTTTTCAGACATTCTAATAGGGGCAATAAGTGAAGAAACCCGAGGCCACAAAGCCAACACATTGTGTAATGAAAGCAAAATTTTCTTCAAAATACTATGATATTCTCGATGTTGATCATGAGGCTCTTGTTTTCAGCAGTATCTTTTGTAGGATTCCTTAAAATTACGATGAAAAGCACACCTTGCGAAGTTATTGAAGAAGATACATTTTGCAAAGGCATGAAAAGATGTCCTATCTAACACATCTCAGTCCTATGTAGGCACATGTCTTCCTTGTTCAGCTCCTTCTCCTTCTCCTTTCGCCTCCTGATGCTTAGGTTGTATAGAAATGTTTGAGTTATCATTGCCGATGAGCTCGAATGGAGAAGATAATGGCTCAAGGGAAAGCGAATCCTCCTCTTCGTCAATTTCAAGATCTGGAAGCTCCACGTCCGAAATATCCGAGGCTGATTCTGATAGAGATGGCCAGTCAACATCGGCAGCACCCGCCATGCGTATATCGCGCTGAAGAAACCATTGCAGCTCGAGAAGTGCAAAGCTAGGTAATGGCTTTGATTCTGGGTCATCAGTCTGAAGCGTGAAATAGTCACCAGATCGAATTAAAGGAAAGTTCTCATCTGCCCCATCTTCCTTAAACAGCTTTGCAGCCCCACCACCTAAGACATCTGTATTCTGAATAAGTCCTTCAGTCGAGAATGGCGTGGTTAAGAGACTCATTTCTGTTTGACCTTCTTGTTGTCTCTTTTGCCAAAAGAATTGCACTTTCAAGGAGGTCTTATCGCTAGAGATCGGTTTAAGTGCGAAGGCTCCCCGAGCCCACATATCATGTGCATGACGCGAAAATGTTATCAGGTTATAGACTCTGTCTATGCCAAACTCACATAAACTCAATGGAAAAAGTTCTGCTTCCCAAGCTGCAATCCTCTCTCGAGGCCAAAAATTCTTTAAATGATACCAAAAGACATACCGTTGTCCAAACTTGTCTGCTTCCTGGTGTGAGATTAAATGAAAGGGATATATGTGAGCAACTTCTACCGATGGGCTATTCGTGAGAACACAGCGCAGACAATCTCTTTCTGCAGCTAGATCCCTAGCTTTTTGATTTTGATACAGTGTTGCTGGTGAATCTGAGATCTTCTGCCTCTTAGTGGGTGGAGGATTGAGTGATGAATTTGAATTGGATAATGCTGATTTTTGTGGTGTTGTCTTCTTCAGTGTCGAGGCTTGCGATTGCGCTCTAGGAGGCGATGGACCCCCTATAAGTTATCCCTAGCTATAATCGAGGAAGGGTATTTTACTTACAATAATGCGCCATTGTGTAGGTTTGTAGAGTAAGGCCTGTCACAACATTGGGATACTCGCGCCCACAATTGACTATGTCTTCGGGGGCACCGAGGTCGCAGATCTGGCATGCAGCCCAAAAATGTGGAGGCACGTCGCCGATTTCATCTTCTAGGATCTCGAGCAGCTTTAATCGTTCCGGCCTGGGGAGATTAAAGTCCTCCATTATATTGATGTTTGTCTATTGAGTTCTAATGGTCGAGAGATTAAAGGTCTAAGAAAAATCGCGGGTGGTGTTATAAATCCGAGTTTAATATCAGATGACGTTATTGTCGTCAAAGTACCCTCAAGCGATAAGGCTGACTAATCCCCCGAGATAAAGCCTCACATGTTGTGGCGAGGCTATCTTCATATCAGAAGCCTCAATATACCATCATGCACATTACGAATCCTTTTTTTTTGCTTCCATTACAATGACTTCTCTCTGCTTCATTGATAGATTGGCAAATTCCTTTTTCGAACCGTGAATATTCTCAGAACACAAATAGCGCTGTATGGTTAAAAGGCCGGACAACTGAGGAACTTTTGAAGCATTTTCGACGTCGAATACTACATAATGGCTCTCAACGCACAGAGTAATTGGAACGTGGAGATGTCACAGCCTCTGAAGTTACCCATTAGATCACAAAATTCAGAGCCGAAGCCGGCTTCCGAATCAATGGCAGAGCTTTATCGTAAAGCTCCCGCGCAAGAGATCCTTCTGCCGATGGAGATCATTTCTCAGATCCTCTCATATATTCCCAATCGCGTGGACACCCAATACACCTTCTACTCCTGCGCACTGGTATCTAGGCTCTGGTATTCGGCATCTATCGCTATTCTATATGAGCGACCATACCTAAGTGGCTCAAATTTCAATAGCTTTGTCGCCACTGTTTGCCCCTCTAAAAATGCACATATACGGCAATCCGCGCTTGCACCTTTGGTCCGCCGGCTTGACATGGGTGGATTGGTACACAATAGTTCTAGGAGCTTGACTGCAAGATTACTCGGCCGATTAAAGGGGAATCTTGTTGAATTTGTAGCGCCACAGGCCTCATTCGCTATCAATTCCTTCCCCGCTCTCAGCAAATGTACCCACCTCAGATACCTGGATCTCTCCTTGATCTCCGCTTCGATATCGACCCGCTTACTATTCCAGACTCTCAAGACACTGCAAGAACTTGAAACGTTACTTTTCCCGCGGACTTCCAACAGTGACCAAGAAAGAATTGACGAAGTATATGAATGGCCACCGAAGCTACAAGGTCTCCATTTAGCAGGGGGAGTCGATGACCATTTCCTTCGGACCCATCTTCGCCATGTCCCATCGACACTTTCACGTTTCAGTATTCAACACTGCAGTATGGTATATGGTCCTGCACTTCTAGAAACTTTGGAGCACCTGGGACCTCAACTGCAACACCTAACAATTCGACACCCGATGAATCGTATGGGTGTTGGGGCTTTGGACTACGTCCTCTTGATGTGCTCCTCCTTAACTGCTTTCCGAATATCTGCCGATTTCATTACAGATGCACTGTTTGAGAATATATCCGTCGGCCATCCCTTGCAAATATTAGACTTGGATTGTAGCGGCACAGCAGGCACAGAGGTTGATATTACTGCTGGAGCGGTTTATGATGCAGTGGAAGAAGGAAGATTGCCATTTTTGAGAAGCGTAAGGGTTAGCTCTAGGCTGGCCTGGAATGCAACGCAGAGTGGAAGGCAGGATATAATCGATTGTAAGTCCCTATTTAGTTTTAATTCGTGACTTTGTGTAGAGGCTAACACTAATACACCTTGCAGTGGTAGAAACAATGGAGGATCTCGAAAACGAGACTCCACTTGGAATAGAGCCGATAGGTGTCTGGTTTTCAACGGATTGATGAGCTAGGTGTCACTTTTCATCGGCCCATATTCGAAGTTGGCAGAGGATAGTCAAGCATCACACCGAGGTATTTTGTATATTACCTAGGAGGCGACGCCCAATATTCTAAACCAGTTTAGCAAGTTGCTTACAAAAGGTTTTGGATCGTGGTATTTCATTCAATACTTCCTATGTGTTTTCTGGATACCTTGTATCATAAGTATGCCATGGAATGTTAATCCATGCGCGATTGAGGTATGTCTCTTACAACAACTATGGTACATGACACCTCCTTATAAGTTTTATCGACCTCCTTATTTTGGATGATACGAATGATACTATCGCCTACTCGAGGAACAAATTAGCCAGTATCACTACCCTCTTGAATTGGGATGGATGCTACAATTAAGGGAACGTATGCATGGTATTTTGCACTTGGGCGCCAAACTCAAGTGCTTTTCGGATACTCTTACGGCGGGCGATGGTAATGTTTGGGGGGACTTAGGGTATTGACAGAGTTTGCACAAGGTGTAGTCTAGCGAGATGGCCATTGAGACAAAACACGAGCTATATTCTGTAAAGCTATATGCTGCAAAAGTACATTTTGCAGAAGTATTTTTTTGGTCATCTATCTTGTCAATTTATTTCCCTCATCCTTTTCAGCCTATCAAACTCATCCACATCAATATTCATTCACAAATAGAACATCCCGCGTATTATTCCCAAATTTTCGTGTGATGACCTCCCTCCCCCATTACAGGAGCCACATAAAGTCATGATACATTTATATCAACCCAGAACATCGAATGCCTCAGTATCCCACAAGTTTCTTCTTCGCAGCGCGCAATATGGCTACACTCTGATCCCAAACGTTATTTGGTCCAGGAGCTTCTGTGTACTCTGTATCTGCGACACGTTCAAGCTCGACTTCCCACATTCGCTTTTGGTAGGCCTCGAGAATCCTGTTACAGTGTTAGCACAATTACACTTAGTCAATTTGAGATGAATTTGCAAACGTACTCCCTCTCGAGAGCTTCTTCTCTGACTCCTAGTACGAAATATGGATCCTCGACGTACACATCTTCAGTGTCTTGTCCCCTTGAAGGCACGTTTGAAAGTGGTTGTTGAAGAGCGACAACACTGTGGATAAATTCAACCTTCTCGACTTCTCGTAGGGGTGCATCTGCCGACACTATACCAAATGGGACTTGAGAAGTCGAAAATGAGTTGAAGTTCGTTGTATTCGAAGAATCCAAGATTCCGATGCTCTGCTGCATGTTCTGCTCTGGTAGCTGCTTTCGGCTGACAGAAAAGCCTTGATTATGTAGATATGAAGACAGGGAATTATTGAAAGCTGCACCTGCAGTATTACTTTGGGAGTTGGCCCCATTTACACCGAAAACTGGAGATCGTCCTCGAGGTCTTATTGGTGTGCGTGGCGGTGATTGTCTTTGTTGTCGCAATGGGCTTCTAGATCGACCACGTACCTGACGAACTGGGGAGATCTGTCTCTGAGGCCTGAACCGTCTTTCCTTTGGTGACGGCGATTTTTGACGAATCGGTGAACGAGATCTACCCCGCTTTACTTGCTCTCGCCCAGGAGATCTGCTTGAATCAACGAGTCGGTCTTGACGATTCATGATAGCTACTCACCTGGATCTACGGCGAGTCATTCTCTCTGCCAAAGGTCTGCCTCTTACTTCTTCTCGTCGAAAATGATGCTCTACACAACCTTTGTAGATGCAATAATCATCAATGTAGATATTGCAGCTTGGGGAAGACTTCAATGCGTTAAGAACTTTTGTCCTAGAAAGAAGCAACGTCAACGATATTCTCATCTGTTGAATGTGATTGTCGATTGTGTACTCACCGAAGCGTAACATCAGTGCCCAAGCCATGATAATCACACCATTGACGAGTTCCTGGTAGTGCTTGATCGCGAGGCCATCTTGTGCGACGACGTGGACAATAGCGCTCTATGTGGTTGTAATCATTACAACGCCAGCATTGTCTCGGAGCATCGCGACAGTATCCGTAATGGAAACGGCGACAATTTTGACAAGGCGCCGGAACCTGAAATTGAAAATTGAACATCTTATCTTTTGGCTGATGATCTTCAGACGAAAGCTTGATATTGAGCAGAACGAAAAGTTGAAAGGGGCTCACGGAGAGTAAAAAAGGAATTTACTCGCATTTGACAGCAGTGATATTAATCACTTCTGGATGAGCAGATCGTCGTTTACAATAGTTAAATTCAATGACCTGAAGAAATATAGAAGTTATCGATTACTTATGTAGTCACCAAAGTTAAAGAGTCTACGCTACCCAGCAGGTAAGGCGAAATCTACCAATGACAGGGTGAAGTAGGGAAGGTGCGACAGCAAGGGAATGTGTGATCAATGGTAAAACACGTGATTTACCTCTTCGACTCCTGATTCTTTGGCAGGACCAGTCAAGGAAGCCATTCTAGCACATCTCGAATTTACGCTTCACTACATACCCGTTTGACGTTCGCTTTTCGATTTTCCCAATGGCTAGAGATATCATACATCATTTTCGTTGATGAGATTGCGCAACACCCACTCAGAGTCGTCCTTTGTAGCAGTGCATCTGCTATTATTCAAATCATTCAGCGATACAACAGAAATATCCTACCTTTAGCCTACATAATTCGCATGGTTGTCGAAAGCTGAAACATATTTCCATTCGACAAACTCACTTTGGCTCAAATCGCTTGCCCAGCTGCTGCTGCTACCACGAATCCTACAAGAGTCACACTTTTTAGTACGCCGCAATCATTGAAACTCTCATATGATCTCAAACGAGTCAAAATCTAAAATTATCAGTTTTTCGCCATATAATTACAATATCTTATGCTTATTATTTGGGATCAAGTAGCTTTATATCGTCTCCTGGTTGAGCATGGCTTCACTTGAAGTTTCAGACGGCTGCCGGTATAGGGGGTACATGATGACACCACTCGCTCGGGTCGCAGATTCTAATTCTGATTACATAGCTTCTGAAAACCACCAGACGCATTCCTCAAGGAACTTCAAGAAACAGGGTCAGATATTGGGGGGTGTTCTACCGGGCGACCAGAGCCCATTTGGCCGCAAGACTACACTTACAGGGAATAACCGCATATTCATCGATCTCACTCGGAACTCCGAACATGATTCTGATGTTCCAGGAGAGGAAACTCACGAAGATTCAACTTCTATAGTACATGGTGCTCAAGGATATCATCGTTTGCCCTTGGCAGACATTACTCATCATACAGTATCAATCAATTTAGTGATCTTGCCAACTTACGAAGATTCAATTGTATCATTTCCTTCAGTCTCGTCATTTAGAGTCTTTGAAGACCTGTGTGAGGCGCAGTTGTGGGAGGCAAGAGGCAGAGATTCGGGAACTACACTGAATGTTAGCACGCTGCACGTCAGCAATTTTGCAGGTAAATTCACAAGTGTCGATGCAATCGATTCGAGTCAAGATCCGGAAGACGAAACAAGTGAGCAGTCATCACTTTCTTCGGAAAGCATTCAGTCAAGCCCGTTGGAAAGTTTCCAAGATCGGTCATTGACATCTTACAATATTACCAGTTCTTGCAATGCTAGTTCTGTCACGGCTGTCTTGCATCTGGCTGATAAATCAGATCAAAATTCACCAGGCAACAAGCTGGAATGTCGAGAAAGAAAGCGCATTATTGTGTCGTCGATTCGCAGGCCTCCCCATGTTAAAAAGTCCATGCAGATATGGTTAGAATCAATCAATCGTCTGCTCGATCCATTCAGGGAAGACAGCGACTGCTGGTTTCACCCCGCGCCACCGCCGCCCCGCATAACTCCCATCGGTACATGGCGTGCTTGCGGCAATATACAGAAAGCTTTCAGCTGGCAAGATCACAATGGTAAACACAGTCTTGTCTTAAACTTTGGTATAGTTTCCAAAATTCTCTTTCACACAATGACAAAACGACAGAAAGATGGATTCGTCAATAGAAAGTGGCACCTCAGCCATCTTTGTGGGAATTGGACATGTTTGAATCCTAACCATACCACTGTTGAACCTGGAAATGTTAACATTAGCCGAAACAGTTGCTTTTCCCATAGAGGCGGCTGCTCACATGAGCCAAAATGTATGAAGGAGAAAAAAGCCAATCTGAGTGCCAAAGGTATTCCCATTTATCATGATGAAGAGATCATGAAAGGTGGCGACGCCAATTCTAGTAGTGGAGAAGTTCAAGGCTGGTCCATACAAAGTTTTGATTTTGACCACAATTCATTTGAGCACGAAAGATTGCTTGTGTATTAACTTCAAAAAGATTCATGATTTCGGGAACTTACAGGGCTTGAAACCGGCTGCAGACAAAGAATAAAGGCTCGCTTGCAACAAATATATGGGTGCATTATTTGATACCGCCATCTTATCCACAATTATACCCGAAACATCCATTTTAGTATTTAGACACTTTCCCATTATTTAATTTTATCTATTCTCTAGAACATCACAATCACTGTTTTGTACCTCGATATTTAATTTCTCGTGATTTTTTAATTGCTGGTGTTTCAACCCACTAAATCAGATGATGGTATGTGATTGTGATTGTAGATATCAGGTTCATATCATGTATGCAAATAGTTGCTAGCGTCGCCCGTCCTCTGCTCACATATTTCGTATCACTTCTCTTTATACATAAGACATCTAATTCAAAGGTCCAACTATTTGACAGGAAACATATCCAGTACCAGAATAACAATTTTCCAGAGAACTGCTGTCTCAACTGGAAGAAGCAGATCGTTAAATATTCTTAGCTTGCCTAGTAAGGCAGATTCTTCAAGAATAGAATCGACCTATTGAACTTTCTAGAAACTAACGAACCAAATACCTCAGATCACTTTAGCTGCATGATATATCAGATTATTTACAAGAAACGTCTGAATTCAGTAAGGAAGCTACAAAATCGCTGTGTGTTGTTTATAATTCTTGATATGTACTACTACTAAAACGTGCTTGTGGTATCATGACTCCTCGCTAAGTTTGGAGAGCATAATCCAGAAGTTACAAAAGGGCCCAGCATTATCTCTTCCACACTTTCGTTCACATCTCTTGCTGATCTTTTATGTTTATCTGTTCATTTATTCATTGTCTTCTCGGAAGCGTTGGATCGTTGATATCGCTGACGATGTCGTCAAGATTTCAAGCAAAATCTATCTTTTTTAAGAAGAGGAGCAGGAGCAAGACAGCATCAAAAGCCAAAGACAAAAGGATACAGGATTTATACAAATCTTTAGGATTTTACCCTGTTGCTGGCTCGGAGTTAAAGAATAAGATTAACGTCTCCGTAAAATCTTTTCACATTTCACCATTAAAATTCAAGTCGAAGGAGCACCCGGAGGCGCAAAAATTGGCAGAATCATTTTGCGCAGACAAGGAAACAGCTCAGTTTCTATGGCCAGAGGTTGGAGCTGGCAATCATCGCAGACTTAAGTGGGGAAATGATGAGATAAAGTGAGCATCTTGCGATTTCTTTAGTACGGTAACGACGACTAAACGATTTATGGCTAGAATTTTGAAGTTACTTACCCACATTTTCGCATTGAAGATGCATTACTCTTTCAAGAATCTTCGGCGAAAGGTTTGTGTAACCGGTGGACGATTTCGTGACTCATCTATTCTATGATTAAATCTTCGATAGGAAGCACCACAAAACAGTCTGGGGAGTGAACGAGACCTAGATTCCGACGACGAACTCTTGATCACCCCGGGACATCAAGATCTACCAACACGAACTCAACACCCAAAGACAGGTCAAGAATGTTCAAAGGCTGACGCAATACTTAATCCTATTGCGGAATCTTCAGCAATGAGATCGAGTAGGCGAACCATTGACGGTAGTAAATTGAGAGAACTAAATTATGTCAAAAGGTAACTCGACAATTCCCAAGTTGAAATCTTGACGTATGTTTAATCTAATGGTCGTTGTTAACCAGGAATAGTAGCCATCAGGAAAAATGCACCGCTCACATCCGGTACATAAAGCCAATAGATGACAAGAAGATGATGACTGAATTTATCTCACCACACTGGTTGGAAAATGAGGAATTCTCCTGGGTGGCCCAGGGAGGCCTTGAGCCTGATAAATATATTCTCAGGTTTATGCATGGATTCTTGTATTACAATACAGATCAGAACATGAGTCTGATGAATTTTATTCGCCTCTTCAAGGACGAGCCAGTAATTTCAAACAAGATACATTACGAGACATTAAAAGGCCGCCTTCAAATTCGGGTGGGAGAGTTGGCTGATGCATTACTTTCTGAAAGATTGTTATTTCGCAATGGCAGTAGCAAAAAAATATCACGAACACAGGAATTGGACGCAGCATGGGTGCAGAGATTGGACATCTTGGACCAGCCTTCCGAGGGAGCCAGTGAAGACACCGAGTCATCAAACACACAACATCGAGATGTTTACTACATCTCTGTATCTCCAGACCGCGATGAGCGTACAACCAAATGCCAACAACGCTCATCAATCCCTAAGGGTCCAACAGAGCTATCACGAAAACGAATTTTCCAATCAATATCCCTTGGTGATGATGTGGATGGAGAGACTAACGCAGCAAAGCGTCGAAGACTTTCGAAATACGACCAAAATCAACCTCCCATCATAAAAGACAAAGAAAAAGGGGTAGATGGAGGGCAAAGTGACTCAAACGAGATATCTCAACGTGAAATAGGCATCGTTCAACGCTATAGCTCGTATCAGTTTGGGGGAAATTCTCAATTTCTCGAAGTAAGATATCGATTCATTATCATAGTGAACTATTCTAATCAATCTGAAATTCCAGGAAGGCTTAGCACATGCGACGGCAACATCAACTCTCACCACCACGCGCAATCCTAAGACTGACAACTCCAATTTGAATTTGACAGGATCAATCAGTGCTCCAGCTAGAGTAAGCGGAGCTATAATCGAATCAGAGCCCAATCCAGCTTCAAATTCGCGCAGCGGATTCCTGTCAACCCACTCAGCATTTTCCGATCATTTATCCGCACAGTTACAACCATATTCCGCAAACGGTAAGCCCCCTCCGCTGTTAACTACACCACTCCAACCCATAACCCAAATGGCAGGCGAGCAAGCATCTGAGGATGATCTTCCACTTGCCACTTTCTCAAACGACAAAAACTTCATTTTTCTGTCGAAGCAAAACTTCGATTACGAGAATCCTCTCAAATTCAATATCAAAACCCTTGAGGATCTTTCGCTATCATCCTTTATTTCGCTTTTTGCTCAAAGGTCGGGTGTCAATATGCATAAAGTTGACGGTTTGAAATTTACAATCTTACTAGGCGATGATCGACTGGAGACAGTGATGAAGGGAGATGAGAGAAAGTGGGAAAATATAGTAGAGATAATTAGAGATCTGTGGAAGTATAGTAAGATACAATGGGTTATCGGTACAAAGTTGAAGAGCAGGGTCTGTAGGATATTAACTGAGAGGGTACACACTCGAGCATTGTGAGGTTGACTTGAATAGGAAATCTGTTTGCATGAGTCTTTATCAAGAAGAGATTTGTTAATCGAATAAATATTCTTAATGAAATTTTGTTTCTACCCTAAAGTCTCCAGCTTATGGTGAGTTTTTTCCAGATACTCCAATGTTTACATATAGTATTTCGAAGATGAAGAATAAAATCCTATGCTTAGGAACAGAGTCATATATATGAAGATCATTAGAGCGTTTTGGAAACAAAATTGCAGGACCTCAGAGTCTCCGAGTCTCAATTGTTTCCTTCTTGTCTTCTCTTATTTTCTACCTTCCGTGGCATTTGTTATATAATTATCGACATATTGTCCTATAAAGGAAACAAAAAGCCTAGCAGATTCATTAGGTGTAGGGGAGTATCCTTCAACTCAAATATGTGCAGCATTAGCTGCAAGATTAGAGGAAACCTGGAAGTGGAATATTGCCATTCTATTCTGATTCGAAGATAGGACTTAAAAGAAGACTCTTGAACACGTGTTAGTCCTGATTGATTCAACTCATTCTACCTCTGAGCGCCTTACCAGGCTACTAAGCAGCATTCCAGTAAATTGATATGCTACATCCAAAGCAGTTTACCGAGACTCAAGGTAGTTCTGCAATTTGAGAAGCGTGGCAGTAGTATCATCTCATTTTCTCAAACGTTCGCTCGTCGTTAGTGGCGATTCTCACCGAGTGTTGGATTCGATCGAATATCTTTGAAGTTAGATCTTTCTATTGTAGCTATCACATGTGGAATTTCTCGGGAGTGAACTCTACTCGTCTGGTTACACTGCGTGAAGACTAGCCATACTTTTTCTCAACAGCAGCAGATCTAACCCGCAACCGTAGAATAGCCGAGAAAAAACCAAACTATTTTAAGCCAATCTGATAATTGACATGATTGTCTTGACACACCTCAAGTGGAAGGCTCTTATAAGTCGGTATGCTCAAATATTATATGACTGAGTCATGCATCTTGCCAAGTTGTTATATTGAGAATCCTCCCCTGCGACCTTCATGATTACCGACATATTGTCAATTCGTATTCGCCTCTTTCCCCTGACAGACATGCGCACGTACATCCAATTTCATCCAAACCAATGTAACCTTTCACACACACTTCAATCCAATCACTATATTTACCAATCTTGACGATTCCTTGGATTCGTCTGAAATTTGCATAAAAATCTCTTCCGCTCATAACCATCTGTTATCTTTGTTCTGTATATTAAATCCAACAGTTGGTTGGTAAAATGATCACGCGAACCAGGAATCGTGCATACACATATATTAGCCCTCTATGTGTTACATACCACTTCTGGATGAGGTTGCCTCTACGCGTATTGCTTGTTAGGCAGGCGATGGATTCGTCATACTCTCTACGCTGCTCAGCATCAACTGTTGGTTTCATGCACGCTGAGATCTTGAAGAGGCGCAGAATATTAAATCACCAACATTTTGTTTTGTTTAGTGATCCTTCGATGTAACGGCATAACATAGTAACGGGTATCGGTTAACGGCTGTAGACCACGTTGCATCAACGTTTATCGGCTAAAATTCATTTCGGATGCAAGTCTTACCCTTCGGCGTTTTTTCAAAACATCAACCTCGGGATGGCTGCCGGAGGCGTAAGACTGCTGACATTGGCTTGGATGTGGCTTGCAGTGAGTGTGATTTAGAGGTGGTACGCAAGATTCAAAATGTGGGAGATTTCATAGGTGGGCTCAGATCAAAGTATCCACATTCAGATGGGATTAAGATAACCCTGACGATATCATCATACATCTGAAGTTATGCAACCGATGGAACACTCGTGCTGGAATAAAGTATCCATCCCCACTGGATAATCCCTCGTGTGATTTATTCAATGAAAGACTTCACAACAGACAATTGAGCCACTATCGGCATTGGAATGATATAGTTACAGATTCTATAATCAGTATTTACATTTATCTAATAAGGAGGAAATTAACCGGGGTTGAAAATCCGGCCAACCATTTATGCACACCTCCCAATCAAGATGTTAACCTCCCAGAATTCCTCATCTTCATCATCTCCATTTTGTTTCGCAGATTTAACATCTCTGTCCCAATTTCTCCATATTCTCTTACGCGCTCGCTTCCATTCTCCGTCTCCCATATTCTTTCCAATCACGAATTGTTGATACTCTCCAAACATGCATCGAAAGGTAAGATCGTCTAATCTCTCTAGGGGTATACCGGAGCGTCGAGAGAAAAAGGCGAACAAATTCGGTAAGGAGAGTGATTCCATGTATTGATAAGAGAAAGATATACTAGTGTCAATCAAGGAACTGGAGCGTTGGAGATAGAAGTCGAGTTTCGGCCCCACCGATTGAGGTGTTGTCGGTGTTTGCTGTGGCGTAGCTAGAGATTGAGTGGGGTGCGAGTATTGAGAGGTGGTGTCGATTTTAGGAGTAGATTTTACGACAGGTGTTTGCTGTTGTGGTGGATATGTCGCTGGATGATAATGATGAGGCGTGTTATTAGTCTTGGGAGTGGGCACGATGGCCGAGGCTTGTTGTCGTAGAGGGTTTCCAGACATAGATTGGGTACTAGGTGGATACTTTGACATGGAATCTGACCCAGTAGCAGGAACGATAGCTGGTGTTGGCGGCGTTGGCGGAAGCTTAGGGTTTAGTATAGCAGACATCGTAGTTGCTAATGACGATTGAGATGCAGGGATCTGGATTGTTGGGGACTGCATTGGAGATGCACTAACTAAATCTATTATAGTTCGAGGACTTGCGCCATTCAATCTACTTTTTATATGATCATGTGGATTCCGCTCATTGTAAATTTTCTTGTGTGAGTGCGTCGTAGTATTTTGTGGCTCAGCTGGCTGCTGCGGTTGCTGTGGCCGTTTTGGATACTGGTATTGTGAATTTGCTCTCTGTTGCCCAGCATACTCTGTATTATAAGAACCCGGGGCTGTAGAAGCTTGTTGTGTTGGAGACGGGCCAGTATATTGGTTCCGGGGAAACGACGCATGTACAGGGGAGAATTGCGTAGGGGGGCGATTGATAAACTGATTTTGTGCCACTGGACTTTGAATGATAGTGGGTTGAACAGGATACTGCTTGGGAAGTTGACGATGAAAGTTGGAAGTTTGTGTATTGGGGGGCTGACTGGTCGCGTTGTTATTGTATTGGCTTTTCGAAGATGTGAGAGGATGGTTCAAAGGTTGAGTTACAGGCTGATGAGACCGATTGGTTGGTGATGGTGTGCTTTCGGTCGACGACTTGCTCGGAGCTTGCTTTGAGAATTCATTTTGAGAGGGTGTGGATCGAACACCTAATTGCGATTGCGCACTTTGACCAGATGGGTTAAACTGCTGAGTTTGTGACAACTGTGACGTATGTTCATTTACAGAGTAACTTTGCGGTGGCGAATGTTCTGTACTAGATGGCTTTGTTGAAGGGTACTTGGCGCGCTGGCTCTCTGGTATTTGGTGAAATACTTTGGAGGCCTGACTTCCTGTGGAATGCGGGCGTTCTGTTGCTTGGGGGGCAATTTGTCTCGTGTCAGGTAGAGACTCTTGGCTTCCCATTTGGACCTGTGACGCACTTGGTACCTTTGAGACTGGAGTGGTGTTGCTCATCGTGCGGTTGTGTAACACATTAGTATTAGTTTGCGGGACGTATCTTGATGGCTGTTTGGGAATTGTGGAGATGTTATAATCAGTAGCTAACGAGTTCCACCATGGGTCCTGTGATCGATACAGTTCTGGAGAGGAAGAGTTGGCTTGAATTTGGCTGTGAGTCTTCGGCCCTTGTGACTGTTGGTTGAGATGCTGATTGGTTTGTGCTGGGGTCGACTGTTGGACATTATTATAAACTCTATCTTGCGTCCCCGATAGTTCCTTGAGATATTGTGATGTCTTAGGACTTGACAGTGAAGGGCTTTTGGAAATTTTACGCCCCATTTCACTATCAATAGGAGCCCCATGCCTCGTTTCCGTCTCGCGCAAACGCACTGATTCGGACTGACCCATATTTGCAGTGTCGGAAAGCTGATTACGGGTTTCAATGTCAGCTCTGCTCTGAATGTTCTCCTTAAACTGCACTTGATTCCGTGCTGTAATTGCCCCAGGGTTGATTTTGATCTGTATGTCAAGCTGAGGGAGGTTGGAAATTTCCTGCTTGCCATTTTGAGAATCAAGTTTATTTTCACCAGCATTGGGCAATCTTCTATTTTGTTGCATACCGTGCTGAAACCTCTCTTGCTCCATGCGAGAGATTTGTATATTTTCGGGGATTGCCGGTCGTTTTTGCGACATGCTGGAAGTTCGCTGGGATTGTGCTGGAGACCCAAGAGAAGTAGCATGATACATACCCACAGGACTCTGTGTATTGCCCCAATCCTCTGACGATCGCTTTCGCTTTGAATGCATCTGTTCTTGCAAGACGAGGGGGTTCAAGATATTTTGCTCTTGCCTGGCATCGTAATTGGTCGTCATATTTCGATCTAGCTTCCGACCATGATTATTCGGCTGCTGATTTGAGATTGCCGGAGAGTTCATTGTCTCGATATGGTGCTGATAAGATGCTCCGGAATTCGTACCCATCTTTTCGTCCATAATTCTCAGATGACTGATGAGTTCTGGATGCGGTGGCTTGGGAGAGCGCTCTTGGTCATATTCAGGCTGTCGCGGAGATTGTGTTTGCATTGCAGAAGGTGTTACGTTTTGGGTCGCGGGAGCTGATGAAGCCAGTGGATATTGAACAGTACTAGACTCCGTAGCCGGTTTTTCGCATGGCGTTGTCTTCTTTCTTGACTTTGTTTTTCGAGGCTTGGTATCCATTCGCTCCAACTGCCTTTTTCGGGAGGTCTCTTGCATCCACATGTCGTTTTTTGATGCTGTCGGTTTACTAACAAAGGCCATGGGATAGACACCATTCTGAGAGTTCACCGGGTATGAGTTGAGATGGACGTTCCTGGTCCAGGAGGGCTCTGATGATCTGCTAAGTTCCTGTGGAA